AGCCTGTTTTATTAGCAGATATAGTAGAGTTCTGATGATTTAAATGTACGTGACTAAAAGGATGTTTTCCTGATGAGTTTTCATATTGTTGGATGACATAGAGAACATGTCAACTCAGTGCATTTGAGGTTACTGAAGTTTCACATGCACTAAGTACTCCTTTAGAACCATTTTATGTGTCAGAGGAATTTTCCCATGGCCGGGATTCTTTAGAATTAGACTCGTGTAAATCCATCCATAGTTTCAAGTAATTAGACTTCACTGACTTACCAAGTATATAACACATGTGTCAGAACCTTTAGAAACTTTTCTTAACTGGACTTGGCTTACTTTCGTCTTACAGGGAGGCATGTATTATGAGTGCTTGTTCATGGTCCAGTAGATGAGGCAAACCAGGCCCAGCAGTACAATGTATACCTTGTGGTTTGGGCAGGTGGTTCCCAAAGGTAGATCAGAAAAATATGGAAGGGCTGCGTAGCACCGTGATGAGAACATCGACAAGAATATAATATCAAATCAGTGCTCTGCAATTACATATTTCAGAGCACTGATTTGATATTATATTCTTGTCGAGGTTCCCAAAGGTAGCTTGCCTCAGGGACTCATTACATGATAAGAGACTCACAGTGGAGACTTTTATTTATAGTTTACCCTTGCATGATCGAAATAGATACGCCTCTGACTGTTTTCCTCCATGGTTGTGTAAATACACGTACTCTCTCTGAAGCATTATTATTTACATGTAGTAGTTAAGGCTTTGTTGTATTCTTATAAATGGGTCATTAGGGAGACATTTCGTGGTAATTTTTTCAACCAGTGGTGATCCCCATAGTAACAAGCACCAATACCTTGCCGTATACATATGTCCAGCCAGCTACAAGCACCCCTCGGCAGTTGGCAGGTTTCGACCCCATCCCTGGGACCCGAGTGCAACCCGTTCACTTACACCACCCATCAGTTGAAGAATGTGGCCACCCTCTCTGGTAGCAGATCAGAGAAACATGCCCTGAAAGTTGAAGACTGGGTGCGCGACATGAAATACCTCTTCGAGATGAAAGGGCCCCAGCTGGAGCAAGTGTGCTTCCACCAGTTGGTGCGGCACACCAGTGGCCGAGCCGGGGACGTTATCTTGAACCTGGACCGCCACTTCCCAACACCCCTACTCAATGTAGCGGCTGCTTTCACAGAGCTTCTTGGAGAAGACCATCTGGCATCCTCCCCAATCGCAAGTTTCTATACCAGTACGCAGAAACCATAGGAGAGTGGGTGTGATTTCGCCATAGCCCTTGAAGCTCTGCTGAAGAGTGTGGTAGAGATGAAACAACACCAGGGTCGACTTGACTCCTTGAACGAAGACAGGGGTCTGATGTTGACGGATGAGTTGATCAGACAGCGGTTGGCCCCAATGCCGCCAAGACGGATGAATTTCAAGGCTCTTCGTCGTGAGCTGCATGTGATGCTGAAGAAAGACAACTAGCCAAGCAGCGGAGAAAATACCGTCTCCTTTAACAAACGTCCCCAAGTAGTAACCCTGTCCAGTCGAATGTAGCCAACACCAAGACTGGGGAGTCCAGAGGAAAACCACTACCAGCACCGATGCCCTCCAACCAAGTGGCGGACCTGACTGTTCTCATCTAGACGCAGACCGACACCCTGCAGCGTGTATTGGACGGCCAGCGTCTCCTGGGAGAGAGGGTTGAGAAGTTGGAGGCGCGCAATTCCTTCGGGCCCCCAGTTTGGCTAAGGTAGCCCTTGCCCACGAGGAGCCAATCCGTTGACGTAGCCCACAAAGAAGGGTTATGTTTCAGATGTGGAGAACCTGATTACCTTGCACGAGAATGTCCAAGCCGCCAAGCCCCGTTAAACTAGGAAGACCTGCTGATGTAGGGAATTCAGCAGGTAACTGTCTAGATAAGTGCCCAAATTTAGGTACCCACTTTAATCTTGAAACCACTACCAAGAACCAGGAACCAGCAGCAGGGAAAGAGTTGATTGAGCCGATAATGACCACTAAGGTGACTTTGTCCGAGTAGGAGGGCGAAGTGTTGTTAGACACTGGATCACAGGTGACTACCATCACGGATGAGTCGTAGCCAGTCATCCTCTTCTGAAGCACCAAGCCTTGAAAAAGTCAGAAGTCATCATTGAAGGTGCAGGAGGTCAACCAGTCCCCTACTTTGGATTCATCCTGATGGATGTGGTGGTTCTTGGCGAAGTTATCCGGGATGTCTCTGCATATGTCGTACCGGCAACAAATTTCCGATGATCTACACCAGGATTGCTGGGCACCAACGTATATCAGAGTGGGCCGAGATTCAGTTCACCGTAAATGTGGCCAGAGGTTTATAAGGGGTATCCGGAGAAAGCAGACTTTGGCATACAGCATTCCATTGGGTTTGTAACGAAGACGGCACGGACCTGGCTCATAAAGATAGCACAACCCGGCAGCTAAGGTACGTCAGACGGAGACCGTTTGTTGTGAAAGCACGTACGGAGGCGGATATTCCTGCAATATCTCCAACGCACACTTAAGGACAGGACCTCTCTGCCATAATAGAAGCAGGTGGGGATGTGTCCCATGCCGGGAGCCTTGTCTTTGCAAGTGCATTTGCAGAAATCCAGAATGACCATACTCATGTTCATAACTTATCATCAACAGGTGTGGTAATCAAATGTGGAGCTCAATAACCGAAGAGGTTCCAATGGGTGAAAATAGACACGTGGGTCCTGACCGCAAACCAAAGGCCTCTCGTGTTGCCACCTGCAATGAGTCTTCAGCGGTAGAAGGTGTAACAGAGGCAGTTTCGTCTTCTTGATATTGATTATGAACAGTTGAACGAGAATGACAGAAGACAGGTCTGCAAGCTGCTAAAGGAAAACCGGGATGTATTTTCAAGCGACCCTTAAGATTTGGGCTTTACAGATACTTTACAGCATGAAATCCCACTTGTAGACAACTTGCCATTTAGACTGCCGTATAGAAAGATCCCAGCCCAGCAGTTTCAGGAAGTGAGAGAACACCTTGTGGTTTACAGAAGCCGGGTGTAATTCGGCCGAGCACAAGTCCATATGCGCCGCCCATTGTCCTGGTCCGGAAAAAAGGATGGCACGATGAGGATGTGCATCGATTACAGGCGACTGAACTCCAAAATGGTCCGTGATGCCTATCCACTGCCCAGACTAGAAGAACCCTTGGATGCCCTCGGAGGTGGTAGATACTTCTCGTGTTTTGATCTTTCCTCTGGGTACTTGCAGGTCAAAAATACAACCCCCAAGACGGATGGCCTTTATTGCACAAATTTAGTGTACTCCATCCTGAGTTGATTATCCTATGAATGGATTTTATTCAAAGGCAAATCAACTCACCATGGAGTCCAATAAATTTGCGCAAGTTTCAACTTTGCACTCAACATTATTGTTGGGTCTTCCACAACAACTCCAATTCAAGCACAGGGTGGAACCAAAGGCTGTGATTTTAAACCCTTATGATACATAACTGGCGATTGGAATTGGAATCTTTTAAATTGATCGTTTCGTCGTTCTTCTCGTAAGGTATCGATGTTCGTGCGACACATTAAATTTCTACTTGTGCGCGCAGGACATTCACATGATACGCATGTATGTACATGGCTTGGCTACATACGCCGTCTGCAAGTTAATTTAGAAACATGCAAGATGCTTAACCTTTTCTCAACTGGACTTCCTGCTGATTTAAGATTCACTCCACACGTTTTTATGTCCTTCTATCAAAAACAAACTTTTATCGTGACAGGCCCAGAAAAAGTGGAGAAAGTTCTAAAGTGTTCTTCTCAAAACAAACGTAGGCCCTTATTTTCATTTGTATATGAATCATTTTCGAGGAAAACCAACGATGACGTAGGCCTGGATCAAATCCAAAATAAGATGAGAAAGGTTGATTATTTCAAAATGAGTCTTTCACGAAGGAAATTTGAAGGTAAAAAAAGCATGAATGAAGTTTAAAAACAGCTGATGGCAGCCGATTCATTTTGAGTTCAAACTGCGATAGGTGAGTAGCCATCTTTCTGCCTCACGCGGACACCGCATTTAACACTTTGGTGCACATGAGCACAAAAAATATAGGGCCCACGTGACCAGTTTTGCCAAACTCGGTGTGTCAGGATGGATTGTAGTCGCGCCTTCCTACGGAGCTTGCACAAAGAACGGGTGACACTCAAGACTAGATAAATTGATACTTCGCCCTGGATATTACTGTCACTATGAAGGCCTGCTGGAGAGGTCGTCCAACCCGTTCTAAGTGTGCTATACAGCATTGCTAAGGAACCACAGGCTTCACTGTTCATCCCTGGTAATACCATAAATATAGATGTTTCATTAATTCGTATACCTTTGATATGGCAGTCTGGAAGTAAGACGATGCACAGGCATCTTCCTCTAGTAAGGCTGCGGTAATCAAGATGCGGTTGCAACCATTTTAACCGACACCGTTTACGTGTTACAAAATACAAGTAAATTTTCATTTTAAATGATGTGCGTGAACCCACGCGTTAGAAAACGACGCTGCTGCCCTTGACAGAACGGGGTCTATACGCGCGTCTGATCTAGTTAATTTTTAGTAAAAAATGGTTTTTTAAAAGTGATATAGTTAAGTGTTCACCTAGTTACTTTTTTAGCGTCAGTATTTTAAAATGGGAGAGGAAATAGGATTTTGTTTTAAAAACGATGGACCGATATTTTTATTCATTCGTAAAAAAAGAGCCTACCCCCATTTTTTTTCATTAGTTCGGTAGAAAAGTGTTAGCGATTCCAGGTAAAAGATGACACTATATACGTTTCTGTATACTCACCGTTACGTCGATGGTCCATGTGCGATGAATAGAGTCCTCTGAGCAAACTTGTCGCTCATGTATATACTTGCCAAAAAATAAATCAATACCGTATCTATCAGCTGAACCAACTTCTGTACATAGGTATGTTCAAAGCACAGGTCTCGTTATCATTTATTTTATGCAGTAAAAGGTGTCCATAGCACTGTTCGCACATAAAATCGTTTGCTGTGCCTGGACAGTAATGGTCACCGTAGTACAACAAATATTTGTTACATTTCACTGGGATAGAGGGACAAACACGCGTAACTGGTCATTAATGCGCAAAGAAAAGGGTGTTGATACGGGAATGATAAAGAGTGGTGGGTGGATTCCCTGCCTCTTTCTCCTCAGCCCCTTTAAAGGTCAAGCAGACAAGGTTTTTGAAAACTCAAGAGGCACGGTTGTCGACTGCTACATGGATTTCGAACTTTGCCAAAAATTGCATTGGTAAAATAGAACAACTTGAAAATTTCCTCAAAGAGTTGTAAGTCGCATGAGCAAATTGCACGAGCAAACTGTCATCAAGCAACAGCAGTATACAGTGGCTACATTTTTATCGACGTGTCTTACTCCTAAAGCTGCGGTTGATTATGACACAGCCCAATTTTTGTAAGAGAATGCACTAATATGCTTGCCCTCCAAATATTCGATATTTAGCTTTATTCTTTACATTGTCTTGTATTACTGATTACATTGAAATGCGTTTACATTTGTACACGACATACAAAAAATCAATAGCCTCATTTTAAATAGTTGTTAGGTTGTAATGATTCTTTAAAGAAGAGAGCAACCAATGTTAATTAAATAACTGCCTACTGATTTAAGCTTGACCCGTTTTTCTTCTTTAACACAGATATAACTGAAATTAATATCATTTATTATAACTGAAAATAACTGAAAATCCGAGTAGCTGTTTTTATAAGACCGTACCTATGCGTTCAATGTAAAACTTCGGAATAATTTGAAATATCTAAGAATTTCAGGACCACATCGTAAAAACGGTTTATCAAAAAACTGCATGGCTCAGCAGTAAGTTATTGTGAAACGGGTTCTTAACAGACACGGTAAAGGTACAACAGAAGGTCAAAATTCCCTTCAACAAAATATATCCAGCAATGAAGCCCTAGGTTTGCGGACGATGAAAACAGTAATCATGAAAACAATTGCAATGCATCTTTTAGAAATAAATTTTTGCAAAAATTCCGATAACTCTTCAAAGAATGTGTTCAGTGAATGTTTTTCCCACACTTTTTCCACATTATAAACAGTCTTGTCACGATTATAAAAATGACAATGAATAATTAAATGTGTTCATTTCAATTAACTTAATTTTTTCAACACCTTTTCCAAGTTTGGGAAATAACATTCATACCGTATACTATTTTGAATATTGTTTTAGGCTTTGCAGCCTTACACTGCCTTTGCAGCCTTACACTTACTTAATTGCGACATTTTGCTGCCTTGGCCAACTTCGATAACCTATTCAGCCTTTTTCTGATATCTGCCATAGCCTCCTTCACTACATCACAGCGAAATCTTTCCAAATCCTGGATAATCGATTCCATAATTGGCCGATCCTTCAGCACTCGACGACACTGAAAATGAATGGAGTCGACCACCCCCAGTTCTGGCTTTTGGAAGGAGACGACGCTGAATACGTAACCCAAACTGTAGACGTCGGTTTGGATTCCGTACTGACAGGTGCCCTCTATCAGCTGTGGAGCTAGTTGCATACAGTTCCTGTAACAGTTTGCCTTTTCCTCAAAGCTGTACTGGAAGGGAGGAGGTGGGTTGTCTATCCTCGTAGCCATCCCCAAGTCAATTATCTTGGCACCCCAGTTTCCATCCGACTTGTTGCTTGGGTCTCGCCACACCATGATGTTGCGAGTATGTAGGTCATTATGAGACCATCCAGCTTGATGCAAAGCGTGAAGTCCTCTCGATATATCGAGGCATATGTTGATCCATCCAAGCTTGGTGAGCTTAGCTGGAGGATAGTCCACCACGCTGCGTAGGTGTCTGGACTTGAGGGCTACTGAATCACCAACGAACTCTACAGCGAAGGTTGTCCGGTTCACAATTCCCACCACCTTGGGGAATTCACGACGGTGCTGCACGGCCATCATTACCCTCACTTCTTCTAACATCTCTTTGTAAGCTTTCGCGTCATCAGTCACATTCTTGAGGCGTTTCAGTGCAATCAGTTCTCCACTTGTCCTTCTCTTAAGTAGGACCTCACCGTATACCCCACTTCCGAGACAAGTGGGTTTCCCCTGTGCGACCACGTCCTCTAGCTCTGTCTCCAAGAGCACAGGGATGATTGAAGATTCGGCAGGTAGAGGAGACGGGCTTGACGAGGCACAAGCCCCTCCCAGCCCACTGGTTGAAGTAGGTGACACCTGCTTTTGTCGCTTACGAGGATTGATATCTATTGGGCTCTCCGGAGGATTCATCAGTCTCCTGATGAGGTAAGAAGAAACTGAAATTGCTTATTTGATGGGCTAAAGGTAAAATCAAATAATAATGTAAAGGTCAAAGGTGCGAATTTTATGGAGGCAGTCCATGTCAGACTTCACATATATAGATGATTCCCCCATTTCATCTAAAACGCATAGTCTTAAGTTATTCAAATTATCCGTGACCTAGGCATTCCTTTCTTATGGTTTATCCCGGTTACTTATGATTGTTTTCTTTATTGTGACTAACTTGTGATTGTATTGATTAAGCATCTCTGCTTAGTAAGATAATGATACATATAATAAATAAGAGAAATGTGTCTCTTAATTGAATGAACCTTTTAGCATTGACTGCTGGTTTAGGAGTTTGTGGCTTGACTACTTGATGTTGATGAGGCTGCGTGTGTTGAGGTCCAGGAGCAACCTGCTGGTTAAGTATGAGTACTACAAAAACAGGGGATTTCCCGGCCTGCTGGATATTCCCTCCACTTCTAAGAAAAGACCCAAAAGGTAAAACATCAGTTTAAACTTACCCGCGGGAGAGAATCACTTAACTAAAATGATGCAGGATTTGATCATGGAAAAAGAATTTACTTTTTAGAATCTATTTAAACTTCAAAACGTCAGTTTGAAATGACAATCCTGAAATAAAATCATTGGCCCAATTCATTTGTTCCCGACGGGATGTAGGCCGATATTTATAATAGGTACCTTGTACCCAGTTGCAGAGGCAAGAGGGTATGAACTGTGTTGATGGCATTAACTGTGTTGATGACTGCCGGGGCAGGCTTAATGTGCCTATTGATACAAACATTCCTCTGAAAAGACAAAACTTAATATTAGCAAAGGTATCAGATAGCATACCCGGAAAGATAAAAAAATACACATTAATAAATAACAATGGGTGGGCGAACTGAGGCCAAAAGAACTGGCTGAAAAGAGGCCATCCTATGAAAGGAAAATCAAGGCACTTCGCGTAGACGAGCAAGACCTATTCTGAACCATAGCTATCCTTTAAAATAACCAGACACACGTTGGGCACCTTCCTCTGCCTCTGTGCAAGGTACAGCCGCATACACAGCTACAGATCGTACCTCATGTCCAATGGGTTTTAATCGCGGAACCAGGGTAGCTGTGCTTTGTCCAGCCTGAACCGGTAATGGACATGCGAAGGCATGCGTAGGAAGCAGTGTAGGTGGCTTGGGTGGGGTTGGAGGAGGCAACTGTTGATCAAGCACTGGCTGAGTTGCTTGACGCATCTTCTCAGCACGTCGTAGTGCTTGGAGCCACATTGGTTCAGGCCTATTGTTGCTACTATGAATGACGCAAATGAAAACAAATGAAGGGATATTTTTAGTGTATAGAAAATATTGCAGGGTAGTTTGTAGGCAAGATTCATATTTGATTATTCAATGTACCTGTTTGCCTGTGCCGTCATGGCGTGAACCTTTTGCATAATCTCACGGACAGTCTTCCGTTTTGAACTATCCTGAAAAATCAGATAAAAATGAATAGAAGTTAAATATTAAAGCACAAAATAAACCACCTCCTTAGGAACACAAATTAAAGAAGCATTTGACCAATTTCGCTCTCACCGGATGATCATGTGATCTGGGGCCCAGTTCAGATGACGTCTTCTTCGTCTCTGATGAAGAAGTTGCAGAAGAGTCCGAAGAAGGTACTTGTGAAGATATTCCTCTTGGCGATGCAACAAGTGGCGTCGACTGATTGATAGGGGCTGGCTGCGGCGCCTGGACTGACTGCATCCCCTCTGCTATTCTGAGCGCCTTCCGCCACTTTGGTTCAGGGCCACTCTCTCTACTGTGATAATTATTGGGAAAATGTTAAGGATGTCTGATATCCAGATGTCAAATTTTGTATCAAACATTTCTCTACCCTGTCAACAAAACGTATTATCCACTGTACCTGTTATCTTGTGCGGTCATGGCTTCAACTTTCTGCATGATTTCCCGAACGGTCCTCTGGTTTGTATCTTCCTGAAACATCAGATACAAAGTGATTCATAGTTTTAGATACTGACCCTCAGAACATATTGAGAGAAGCGACATCAGTTCCCGATTAGAAACAAATACATGGCATATGGGTACTCCAAGCTAACCTGATGATCTTGTGGTCTTCGTTTAACAGTTATTTCCTTTGCCTCCCTCGAGGACGAGCTTATAGAAGAGTCGGTCAAAGAAGACGATGATCTTCTAGGAGGTGAGATGGATGGTACGGATTGAAGACTATGTCCTGGTTTCTGAGCAGCGTCTGCCATAGTCCCTGGTCTAAAATTCATTAAAATGTACGTACCCAAACGGTACTGAAGCCACATTTTGTAATTTTTTTCTTAATTCCTGTTTATACCAAAGTATATCATTTTCATTTCCAGTAAGTTCCAATTGATGTATACTGTTTATGCATCCTTCACGATTTCAGGAACGGTGTCTGTTTTTAACATTCTCCTTCAAATGCAGACATATTTCATTACTACCCTCGAATTTTAATGCACGTTCAAGGCTTTTCTGTTGAAAATTCATCGACAGTGCCAGCCACATCTTCCATAATTCATAGATCTATTTCATACAGATTTTGCTTTTGCTCTTCGTCGAATAAATTTACTACCTTACTACCCTCATATTTTAATGCACTTTCAGGACTCCTTCTGTTGAAAATTCATCAGCAGTGCAAGTCACATCTTTCATAATTCATAGATCCATATTCCTACAAATTTTGTGTTTGATCTTCGTGGAATAAATTTAAAGTGCCATTAACAATCTCGACCGAGCAGTGGTAATTGGTGAAAATGCTGAAGACGTAAACAAAGTTTTCTCATTGAACACAGTACCTGAGTTGCGATGGCGCTGCCATCTTGGCTTCAGCTGGTGTCCTGAACTCTCTTAAGGTTGACTCCTGCTTGGAACTCTCCTGAAAAGAAAACATAAAGATGCAGTCATCCCACGAGATTCCCCTGATCAAAATATAGAAGTAAAACCCTTCCTGATATCTTCGCTTTTTTAACAAGATAAGAAGATACGAATTTTTAAAGCCACTTCAAGATTAAAGAAAATTGTGGATAAAATGTTTTCTATTTTTAATTAGCAACAATGTGCACAAGGCTGACTGCATCCATACCTCCCCGCTCGAGAGCTGATTTCTACGATGTGTAGACGATGAGGAGTTTTTCTCATCCTTCAAATCTTCGTCATCAACGCGGTAGTCTTCATTGTTCTCGCTCGATGACGACAGTAAAACAGAAGGCACGGTCTCTCTTAATGTTTCGGTGTTTCCTTGAAAATCTCCCTGTGTACCCCCTGGATCCGCTGATACCTCCCTCCCCTCCTCTAAGGCCGAGCTCGTAGAAGAGTCCGCAGAAGAAGATGGCGTTCTTCTTGGAGATGAAATCGACAGCTTGGATTCAAGGTTATCTGCTGGCTTTGGAGTAGTGGCTGCCACATGCCCTCCTCTAAAGTGTCGTTAAAATAATGCAAAAATTCTCACCATTCGATTCCTTTATAGTACAATACCTTCACGGTATCACTAATTGCATAAGGGCTAACCAATTGGAGAGCTAACTGCATGAGGGCTAACCAGTTGGAGAGCTAACGCGCAGACCACCGAAATCTGTTCCTCGTTAGAAATCCTACGGTGTTTTGGGTGAAACTACTAAACATGCAAACAGAGTTTTTGCTTACGTTTTCTCACTGAAGTGCGATGGCAGTGGCATCTTGACTTCAAATGCATTTCTTACAGTTGACTCCTGCTCACTGCTCTCCTGGAAGGGAAACACAAAGACCTAGCAATGCAAGACGATTCCTTCTTCTCAAAACACGTACTAGTCTGCGTAGTTATGTCTGCTTTTTCAACAAGACAATTAATAATTATAAAGACAACAAGAGAGAAAAAGCATGGCATAAAAGGCAACAATGTGTACCAGGTTCCGTACCGCTTTCTTTGGGAGGTGAACTATACGATGCTGAGATGCCTCCTTCAACTCTTTGTCATCAGCATCACAGGCTTCCTGGTTCTCGGACTGTGTATCATTACCTCTTTGGAAGTTTTCACCAACCTCAGTAGCAGGGTTGGGCTGGACACCATCCTCCAGATGGTTGATCAGAGAGAGCTTGCCTGATGCATTCTGGCCTTGAAACACTGGCTGATCGTGGGGGGTGGACCTACTCTCACCTTTTGCATCATTTGTTGGCCTGTGGAGAAATGCAGAAACTCTTCGTCATTTTTCAAATAAAGTACAAAATTAAAGGTTCTGATCATCTCATCAAAACATGTTTTCTTTGGGACAATACTAATAGAAAGTTTTGGTGGACCAGTGTGCATTTTAACTAAATGGGTATTTGGATAATGAGTGAACACTAAATCAGACAAAACGAAAAACTGGACAGCTGGTTATCACAATTAAATTTGAGCTACACTGTGCGTGAAGTGAAACTCATAAGCTGTGACGTGGATTCGTTTTTAGAACAAGTCGTCTGGAAAGTCCCTGCCTGAGGCCACCCGAGACAAAATAGAGTGTGTCTGAGACTGTTGTCCACTCACCTTTCAGCCAGGCTAGTCCACGGAGGTTTCGCTTCTTGCTCATCAGAGAGATTTCCACTGTCACTACCAGGAACGGGTGCAACAGTTGTCGCATCTCCTTGATCTTTGAGTGGAACAGCCGAGTTTTCAAGAAAATCTTCTAGCATTGGTTGCAACCTGAATAGTAAATGACAGTTGAGTTAATCTCTGGTTTCTTAAAACTGATACAAATGCCACAATTTTTTCTGCATATGCACAACAAAAAGCACAGCGGAAGACTATCTGTGTGTGCTGAAGAGAGCAAAATACTTATGGAATTCACAAGACGGTAATTAAAAATACCTTTAAATGGAAATGAGATTTTGCAAAATACAACAATGTTCTGTGTAACCAACTAACCTTTCGACCAAGTTAGGGACATTAGATAGCCCAGATTGGTCCGGGGCTAACTCCTTCCTCGGTTCATCGCACAATGGAGGAAGCAGGGGTGGTGGATCGGTACGTACCGGCCCCAGGCTCAACAACCGATCAGATGGGGGCAACCATCCGCTGGAAAACCACTTGCTGTTGAAGGTATGGCAGGAAAAGGTGTGGTTAAACTTTAGGTTGTTTTTCTTTTGAAATATTATTTCGTATCGCTAAACACTGAAACGTCAATGGAAACAGCTATCGCAGGGATGGATATTTCAACATTGACAGGCTTGTGACTTTACCGTGTCTTACTTTAAACTCAACGTCTGTATTGTTTTTTTTTTCAAATATAAACCCAAAGGGATTTTAACTTCACTTGAAGCAACAGGACATCATTATTTCATATTCATATTATATAACCGACGTGGTCGTCTTTATTTTTCCATTTTCTATTCAAGCAGTGACCAATGAAAGAACATAACATTCAGCAGGAAATTATTGATATTCCTTAAATTTTAAACTACAACTTATGCATTAGATACATAACTGGCTCTTGTCCGATGAGATGTCTGAAGGCCAACAGTTAAATGTTTGAAATTTTATTTTTCTGAAACTTACCGGTAATCCACCGTCATCAGCTCCTCAGCTATACGTAGCACTGTTATCATTGTCACTAAGTATTGTCTCAAGACGAATACCGCAGAAAAATCTCTTAGATCGCATCCGAAAACGCACTACCAAGAGAAATCCTTGTGTAACGAACAAACGCTAAACAAGAACAGAGATCTCGGTTGTTTTCTGTTTGCTTTTATGCAACGCGGTTGCGAGGCGATTTGAGACGCGCACGTAGTAATCGCGTTCTTGTGTCGTCACAAAAGTCATAATACATACAATACGCACTTGTACGCATAGGCGCTCGTCTGGTTTTTTTTCATAACTAAGCATGGACGTTATCGCAGATAGCCTGTTTTATTTCAGAGTGGACATAAGGTCCTCCTCGGCCTAAGACATATCTCACGATATGTCAGATGTTGTAAACTATCATCGCGGAATGGGACAGATTTAAATCATCCATAACAGTATGCCAATATGAGGACGACTGTATATGGAGAATACCTTTCGGACTTTGTCCATTTCGGCAAAAAAGAGTATAAAGGAGTTTTTAGGCCAGGAGTCCGAGTGAGCCCACTTGGATAACACGTGGTGGGGATAGGGCCGATGGGTTTCGGGACGTAAAATTGTAATCAATTAGGGCAACAAAATAATGTCACAAATGTTGAGTCTATATCTAGTAGGTTCAAGGGAAGACACGCTGTGTGTTTACAAGTGACGAACTAAAACAATAATTAAATGTAAAGTGCAAGGATATATAAATTAATCCAGTTGATAGCATTAATTGTATATAAAATACAAAAAAAATCTTTTGTTCATAGATTACGTGACAAGGTGCTAAATACGGTGTGAGTGGATATGCTAGAGCAGGTGGATTTATACAGTGGAAGTGGATTTCTCAGGATAAATTGGTGAATACAAAGTGGAGCTGGCATCCCGTGGTTACTTCAGTAGAATAATTACTGAGCTTGTATTTACAAGGTAGGGGAACAACTGGAACATTCGTGGAAATGGATCTTTGTGGATATACCGATTGGATAGTTACTGAGGTTGTATTAACAGAGGAACGTGAGCAGTTGGATAGCATTATGAAATATATGTCTATGGATAGATCAATGTACTGTGGTGAACTAAGATCAAAGATCAAGGCCTAACATAGGGGAAAACTATTGGGTGGAAAAACTAATATGCCTATTATGTATTGGAGATAGGAATTGTAAGATTATGAACAATCGAGGCGTTATACATGGGAATGGAGATTATTATTGGAAAAGCAACTGATACGTGTTTGGAATTAAGAGTTACATTAAGAAATCAAGAGTGACGTCGGGGGATTAAGGAGAATATGGATGACTTGGAAGGAATATAGGAGTGTAAGAGAAATTACAGGTAAAAAGGAGAGCGAGTTTATACGTGGGTTTATTAAGGGTTAGGGAATTAAACAGGAGACATGGAGATTTTTCCGGGGTCGTGACGATGATCATGACGAAGGCAGGCACTAAGGGCTGGCATGCGATATCAGCTTGAAACTGAAAAAGCCAGTCTGTATTACATGATTAGGGACAAAATAGTGACTGGTCGTAATTCACGGAGTTAGGAAAAAGGAATTGATTTTTACGGTAGAATTTACGGCTGATGAAAAATTAACTCTTAAGATTCTTGTAGTTAGTAACTGAGGCTTGGATATGGAATTTGTTTTCGATTGATTTTTTGTATTTGTGCATGATTTCTGGCATAGAATTTTATTATTCGTTTTGCTATATTTGCTCTTGTAGAAAATATTAATCTTCTTGTTGTTGAGAATGTGAAATGTTCATGAAGAAACGTAGTCGAAATGAGTTTAGTATTGATGAACGATTTCTAAAATCTGCATTTAATTAATCTTGATTTGAATAGATTGCTTATATGGATGGATTCTTGTAGGGGTAATTGGCAGAGTGGGTTCGATATCCGTGGTATTCTCTTTTAATTATGCAGGAGAAGAATAGGAAACTGATTTGAACTGGAATGTGTGTATGTGAAATTTCGAAAAGGTATTTGATAGATTGTGAAATATATTTTATTGTGTAGTGTGTGATGGTTAATAGATAATTGTAGGTCTAGGACACGTATCTTTTTTTATTGACTGTAAAATTGATGGGGTGTATGTGGGGTATATGGAGGCAAGTAGATTGATAATTTGTATGTTATCAGATTGAATGTGATGTGGTGGAAGATGAAGCCGTCATCAATATATCTGGCAAAAATCTTTATATTATTGTTTGTGTTTCTTTAAGAACAAGTATTCTTTACATACCAGCACAAGATAAGCGATCTATGCAGAATGGTAGCTCCCCATAGCCACGCCTATATTTTGTTTAAATAAAATTTACCAGTGCTGAAGTTGCTATATTTATAAAGGTCGAACCAATACATAATAGTAAGAGAATGGTACGTCGCAGATTGCAGTGACGTTAAACAGCGTTTCTGCAATGTCTTGTGGAGTGATTTTAGTATATAAACTGTCGAAGGAGATAAAGGAAAATCGTCAGAACCGATCAGGTCAATTAGTGTTTTAGAATTTAAGAATAGGCTAAGGGAGGTTAAACTCAGAAAACTGAAAGTCAAAGAGCCTAAGCAAATAATTCAAATAAAAAACCGAGAATTTTAGAAACGGGTGAAGTGATCCAACAGCATGTGGGCAGTGATGATTGGTCTTCCTTTGAGAAGGTGCTTATTGGAGGGGAGGGCGGAGATTTTAGTTTGTGGACTTTTGGAAAGCGGTCCATGGAAGGTAGTCTGATAGGGGGAGAATTTAGGGTAGAAATGATCTCTATAAAATCAGACTCGTCTATATTCATTTATATTCATTCATGTTTTTGTCAAAAATTCTGATGATGATGTTTCGTATTTAGCGATGTTTTTTGTATTTCTATCAGGTTGTCTAGAGTGATGTTGAGTAGGAGGTTGCGGTTAGGTTTAAGGGTGCATCGATGGGGGATATTTGCGACTTCTTCTAATGGACGTAGTCGCAGGTGATTTCATGATGTTAGGATTTGAGCTTCAGTGAAATGTTTGATTTTAGGTAGTTTTGTTCTGGGTTGGAGGGGATAGGTATTTGTGTGTCTGTGGTTATGGATTACATATTTTAAAGAGAGATTTGAGGTTAGATGAATGGAATTACTGTACCCATTCGATTCGCTGCTTTCTGCTCTTGGGAATTCTGTAGAACCAGATCCCTTTCTCTTTGGAATCTGCATTTTGTCTCGCACAACTCCAAACGCAACAACTTGATACCCTTTCTTTCAGTGTTACTCCCTTAAGCTATAACCAGGTTCAATGGTAAGCTATGTACGTACAGTACATGTACATTAACATCAGTGTACGTGTTTAAAAATGCACAGGTTGACTCCAAGAACACTAAAGATGTAATTTATACTACTTACGACGGCAGGGGCCATACTAAGAAACGGCGATCTCGTGCGCACAAGAAAAATCACGATCGAGTCTTTGTACAGAGCACTAAAAAACCTACTTAAATTAGAAACTGATAGCAAAAGATTTAATGGAATTTTCTGAAGAAAAAATGAACCAAGCCTGAAAACCTAAGAGAAAAAATCGTCAAAGTCACACCCCTGTACCTTTTCAATGGCCCGCTCACACTTCTTACCGCCAAGGCCCTTTGTGCGCATGTATGCATAATTATGAATATATTAGTGAAGTGGTTTAAAGACCGATTGCGCCTGCGGAGTCACATGACCAATTGTGGGTATCAAACATCAGCAAACAGCCTCCTCCCATAGAAAAGTTTGTTAAAAGTGTTATTTACCGAATAACAAAGTGGACTGCCGGTACAGCGCTGGGACTACTACCCTGCTGAGTACTGCACTGACAATTGGCTGTACTTTTGCTAAACAACACCTACAACGCACTTTACTACGGGAGCACACCATGTTTCAACCACTATAGGTCACGACTAAGCGGAATCAGTTTGATTATGGTTTGTGGCACTCACCGTTGCAGATGTTCAAGATTAATAATAGGGGCCGATATGATGTTGGGCAACAATATGAGAGAAAATAAAATGTGCAACCGTCATACTAAAGAATAAGCCACGGCTTGTTTCTGAACCGACGTGAACCCTAGAACGATGTTTGGGGACGGTACCTTCCGTCCAAGGCGAACAGACTGTAAACCCCTGTCTTATTTGGAAGAAAAACATGACAGAATCTGATGAGACAGGTGGTTGTAACTGTTAATCCTGTTACAGAGGGGCTTGACACAGAACTTTCTCTGGGGTGCAACAGATACGGCGACCTCCTAGATCCTTTGAGGGAGCCTTTGCGCGACAAACCCTCCTGATCCTGCAACCATCAATTTTCACCATCTCCTTTTAAAAACTGTGTGACCACTCCAGATCAGCGACTTAAATTGTGTTTCATTTATTTCTCTTTTATTAATTTTAATCTTTAGTTTTTCCTCACGACCACAGCGTGCTAAAAGGCAATGTCACCATACCACTGCCATCCGTTGGAGCGGATTAAACAACTTTACTCCCATATCTGTAGATAATACCACATCTTCCGTATGCTGCTCTTTTGAACAGCTTTTACTTGCTCGTGCAGAACCTGCCAACATGCTTCGCTCGCAGCGTTTGGGTACCAGCACTGTTTGTTGACCCATTCCATGGGCTTCCATGTGTGGGTCATTGAAGGAGGTGCATAATGTATATCAAACTAACAAGGCAAAAAAAATCAGACGAACGATTGTTTTCGAAGTATAATTGCCAAACTATTCACATCTCTACGATTTACGTGTGAACTTCACTTTGCTTTCTTTTCTATTCCATCAGATAAATATTAAACAATTATGTAGCTTTATTCATTATAGCCGCTCTAAAGTAAAATGTAACTCTAAAAATGAATAAACAAACACAAAATGGCTTTAAGATATTAAGTCTGCTCATGGACGGAGTTGAAGATAGCCGATGGCCAATGCCTACCAAAAAAAAGATAGAAAAATGCAAAAAGAAACTGATAAATATTCTAAATAAAATCTATAAACAAAACACAGGAATTAAAGCAGTGATTTTCATGACAAATTGTGAATTTCAACAGAAAGTGGGGCAATACAACAACAAAATGTGCATTTGTGCAGAAAAAGATCTAAGCAGTAAACGCAAGAAAAAACACAACAAGCTGTCCAAAGCTGAAGAGTAAAATTCAATTCAATGAATACAATTTGCCTAAAGTATCAAAAAAGGCAAAAGTAACTGTTTAGCAAAAGAAGAACAGATAAATGAGAATTACCGTCCCGTTAATCATTCCATGTGAACTTCTGCAATGCAAAGGGACAAACATTTTGTTATATTACACCAAATACGCTTACAGTTTTAGATATTTTGAGGTTTTTAATTTGTGCAAATCTCAGCAGAGCCTCCAAGGTAAAAGTCTCGTAATCAATGACACTTAATACCGAGAACCAATCATAAATTGTATTTGTTATTTCCAGGCTTTTCAGCTAATATCTGGATTGACAAGTGCCTTGCCCCATTCTTTTAAACATGGCCTCTGAATTTCTCTTGTAAACGTTTTTACTGAAACACATTTTCCTCTTCATAATCAGAGCGACTCCTGCTATACTAAATTAATGGCAAGCAATTGTTCCAAAGGGTTTTCGCTTGCAATATCCTTACAAATGACACTCTGGCACTAAGATGGACTCAGCTGTGCAAAGGTGTGCTAGGCATTGTTAATGATCTTGTTCACCGTTTCTGACAAACCCACTGCATTGATGGCAGTCAACGTCAAGTGGTAGTCGGTGTACAGTGCCAGCGGTGAGACACGAATATCGGTCTCCATGGTTTCAACCCACTGCATGATGTCACTACCTCCTGGGATGGTACCCAGTGATACCTCATACACCAAGGAGGAGGATGGGTTAGAGAATAGGCTATCCCAGGCAAGCACTACCATCCCATCACCCAGCCAAGAAGATCTGATCAGGCTTAGATCTGACGAAAAAAGGAAACCACAAAAGCTGAAAGGTGGCTACCAATGTCACGTGTCAGGGTTCATTGTTTAGAGGAGGTTAAAGCAACTTTTTTGTAATTTACACCTGTGTTTGAAGCACTAAAGTCCCATAGAATCACAGGGTACTATCTTTATGAGACAAAATATTTCCTGGTTAATTTGGTATTATTCAGGCTCTGCTGATTCAGCTGTTGATGTTGTCAAATTTAATCCTCATGGGTAATGTGTTCAAGATTGCGACTGTATATATCAACAACACATGATTTCAACTATTAGCTGAGACATCAAGGTGTCTCGGATAAAAATGAGACAGTACAACTGTGACACTTGGAAAAATTAATGGATGATAGCACTGGTTTTAAGTAAGCTAGCTATTTAAACAGTTATCTGTCAGCGAGATGCATATCTTGGATTGCTATCAATTAAATTCTTTATTCTTAATTTTCTTCTCGGTCAAAACTTTAATAATAACATAACGTGGAAGTTGGGAACTGAAAATCACCATTAATTCTCATAATGATAACCCTGCTAAACCTATTTCCTTCCCGCAGCAGGAGGGTTTTGAAAGTGGTCACATACCTCCTACAGCTGGCTTGGATGACTCCACCGTGAAGTTGCCATAGACAGCCTCACTGCTCAGACCAGCATGATTGACGGCTCTGACTGACAGGCTATATGTTGCATCATCAACCAGGCTAAGACCTGACCAATCAAGATGGGTCTCTGATGCAGACCCACAAGGCTTCCAGGATGCAAAGGCACTGGGTCCACTAAGATGGCACTGGATTGGGGGAGAATGTTTATTTACAATAATGTTATGGTTGACAGGATTTTTCCTAGCCCACAGAACTTAATGTGAACTTTCAACTGATGGAACTCACTTTATCTTACTGTATATCAAGACCCAACTCATTTTTCCCTTAAATTTCTTATGGTATGAGGATTACAGAAAAAAGGATATGAAGAGACTATTCTTGTTCATATTCCTCTTGAACGCACCACACAGACAATTAAAATATATATGTACTCACTTCATAATAATCAATGCCAAATGGATCTTTAAATCCATCCCATGATCCTTTGAGGGAATCTCTATGAGACTGGTAACCATCTTGTGTTCCATATTGGGTCTCTGATAAGGTCTTCACTTTGACGACAGCAGCTGCTGAGGTGGGAGGCTCTGTCACTATGGTGACGCCATCAGATGATTTCCATGACGACTGCTCGGCTTGATTATAGCATGTGACAGTGACATACAGGCGCTGACCTTCAACCATGGCCTGGGGTAGACTGGTGGTGATGCTGGAAGTGGCGTTCGCTGATAGAGAGCTGGGAAGGATGTCATCGAGTCCAGGTTCTGATCCTGGACATAAAAATAAAACCTGAAGTAAGTCTCTCACCGGGGTCAGGTTTATGCACTGACCACAGGATGATCAAATGCTGAAAAACTGGGCATCAGATATCATGGAATAATGTTAAGGCATTTACCATGGGTCAGATGCTTCCCAGCTGATGGTTAGATGCTGGAGTGAGATTCTGAAAAATTCAGCATCGGATGCTGATTGACTGCTCTGACGCTTGCATACTTAAGGACAGACATTAAAAAAGTGTCACAGTCCAACCTAAACACGGTCAGATATCTGCTGAAGAGGGGCAGACTCAGATGTTGGATTAACATGCTGCCCAACTGACATAAGTACTGACCAATTAACAATCCGATACCCTCAAACTAGGACAAACGATGGCCACGCATTAAGAGTAAATAACCTTAAAACTCAGATGACAACTATCAGATTCTACTACACTGGGAATCAGACACTGGTGACCTGATAGTCAGATGAAGGGCAACATTTACTCTCTTAGGGCTGATGGACGCTAAGCAACTGATCAAGTCAAAGAATGGCAGATGTTAACTTACCAAGTGCCCACTCACAGCGGTCAATGCCACTCTCAGGGTCAGATGCTGACCAATGGAAGGTGAGAGATGTACCATTTGCAGTAAAGTCTACATCTGTGGGAGAAATGTTGTAACTGCATAAAACTGGGTGTAGAGTAAAGTATTTTTAAGAACTGTCTGCACTGCATTGTAATACACTGGAGTTGAGTGAATGCTTGGCTGTCAACGAAACAAGGGGACATGATGTGCCCTTACAAACTAGACACGTTTCATTTAACGGGTTCCTATCCTCACAAGAAGTATGCAAGAATGCAAAGATATCGTCATCTTTTTTTCCTAAGGCAGAATCTACATTCCTGTCTCCTTGTTGCTGCATTCCTTAAGCAATATTTATTGTCTCGTCTCTATTCACAGAAGAATGTGAAACAGAGGGGATAAGATGTCTGTGACACTGACTGAGACACTCTATTATCTATTGCCTCTCAACCCTAACCCCCTAGGGTGCATCTAAAATCATATTGACATTGGAGGATTTGGGACAAGCTTGGTAGACATCGCAGCTATGCCTGATCTTCTGGCTGCACGCTCTGTGAAACCTGAAATTTACTTGCAAGGCTAATAACTTACAAGCAGGGATAATAAATCGGCTGTGAGCATAAAGGAATATGTTTGCATGACACATATTTATATAAATGTATTTGTGATGGGATCTGAGAAAGCCATTCATGTTGTGAAATTTGTAATTTTATGACAAACATCAACATAAAAATAAAGACACTCTAATTCATCGCTCTAGGTTGTCTATAATTGAGTTGCACACTCAGAGAGTCATAAGAACCCGGCTGACCAAATTTTCAGATATCAAGCTCTAAAGTTCAGAGTAAACATTTCATTGAGATTACACCAATTCGACTGACCCACAGACTGCATATCGAATCTGTAATGGCATCAAACAAGAATGTTTTGGATATTAACAATTAAAATGGTTTTTAAAAATCTCAATTTGTTCAAAACCAAAATTTGAGACTATTTTGCCATTATCTCCAAAACAAGTTCTGCGACATCCTATGGGTTTTCCTGGATCACATCACATAGTTTCCATATTTAGTATATCTATCATTACTATCGGTGTTTTGTCATACCATGTGCACCACCACCGTCAGTTACATAATGCACTGTGGGCGGTGTTAGATCAATCAGCTTGGGGTCAGAAATTGCTGTGGCAACTAGATCAGCAGCATTTCTTGCCATCACGGTGACATACACATAGGAGCCATGTGCCAATCTCAGGTCAGTGTTGATAGCATCTGTTTCTGTGCCCACTGATGTGAAGCTCTGTAACTGGGTGCCGCCCCTTGTGGTGCCTGGCATATTTACAGAAAAACACAAAGGTTATTCCCTCTGTTGCCCACCATGAGGTTCTGAGGGACAATAACGTGCCATTCTGCCTGAATGACCATGGCAGATGCCTCAACCTACCGATGGCCCAGCTGTAGACTACTATGGGGCTCTCAGGATCCATGAAATGCCACTTGGCCTGTATGGATGACCAGCTGTGAATAAACTGGGTGAGGACTTCCACAGATCCATCCCCACTGCTCGGTCCAGTTGAAACTATCCTCACCTATGGAGATAGCATAAACACCTTTCACATCTAAGAATGTGAATAACTGAATCATGCGAGTGTCTCGGATTACCAAAAACTGACTTTTGTGGTAAGCTTTCTGATGAGAAGCCTAAAAGTTTTGAGCCATTAATGCTGTTCATCTTAAGTAAAGAGTCTATGCACCTGACAATCAGTAGTAAGTAAATGATTAATACATTAGAAATTTGAAATTATAAAATTGCAATGTGTATATCAGCTCTAAACTGAAGTTTACAGTGTATAAAGATAGAGGTTCTGGTTACTTTATATATTTTTTCAGATTAGAAGGAAGGTACTAATTCTTCCAATGACAGATCTGTTAATCTACCTGCAAGTCATCGAGCAGGATTCCATTAGACGGTCCCACTGAGGAGATTTTCAGTGTTGAGATATCTTCACTGGCTGTGAAGTAAAACCTGTGCTGTTGCCACCTGATGGACCCGAGACTCTGGTCGGAGTGGCCGTGTGCAGGTCGGTCATACAACCTAAAGATTCGATTCAACCCTGGGGCCTCAATGCGACCTTCCTGATTCAGCAAAGGATTGTGGGAAGGCACAGCATGACTGGCAAAGACCACTAGCTGGTAGTGGTCTCCCGGTGTTGTGTTGAAGGCTTGGGAGATGGAACCATGGAGAGACAGGAAAGAATCTCCATCATGGGCAACCTTCTTCCCCGCAGCAACCAGAGTAAAATGGCTACCCAAGTCAACAGTCCAAGGCTGTAGTGACAGTAATTGTGCATCATCGGTAACATTACCAGTTGCCAATGTTGTTTGAGTGGTCAGAATAGTTGGAGCTGTGGGATAGCTGTAAGAATCACTACTGTGATTGGATTCCACTGTTACTGACTCTGTTGACGACACTGCCGTAGTTTCATACGTAACTGAATGAGCATCAAAAAGTGATGTAGCTGTTGTGCTTGTGTGTGTCATGTTTTCAACACTATCTGTTGATACATCTTCGAGGCTTATTTCTGGAAAGAGAAAAATTGTCAGAAGAGTCACTCTCAGTAATCTTGAATACCTCTTGTTTGTGCCTGCTGATGTATGTTTCAAAATGTTTCAAAGCAATGTATTGGGTCACCTGTTGGGTTAATAACTTCTGCATCCCCTCGAATGATGGATTCTGGATCAAGTTATCTCCAAGAAGGACACATTCTTCTGGCAAAGGGGGAGTAACGTCCACCACGAACCCATCTGAAGTGACTGTCAGTGACTGCAGGCCAGCTGCATCAGTAGCTGAGATCTTGGAGTAATACCTCACACCTGATGACGGAAAGAAACCAAATCTTGTCCTCAAAAACTCATTATTTTCACACACGTACCAAATTTATTTTAAAATTCTATGCTTCCAAAACCTTGGTATGTTAAAGTCGATCAATATTCACAAAGCAACATCAAAACTGTCTTAACCAATGCACTGAACATAAACAATTCCGGATTCCACACGGAAACAAGGCTCACCAATCTCCTACCTTCAGTGAGAGGAACAGCTAAAGCGCGAGTAACAGACAGATTAATCCCAACATTGGTACATGGCAAAATGTCGTCATCTGCCGGGCCGGGGGTCTGTCCAACACACCACTCATAATGGTCTATGTAGGATTCCAGATCCACAAATCCGTGCCAGGAGGCTGAGATGACCGCGCTGGAGTTCTGGTACTCTAGATCGTGTAGGTCTGTGGTAAACAGGGAAAGATTTCCATTGATCTTATGAACCTTGTTATTAAATCTCAAGGAAAACTGTCACAGATCCAGAATTCTCGATTTCACATGGCTAAATTAATATTAGACATGGTAATAAGACACACTTAGTACCATGGGTGAATATTGCCAGCATTTTGACTTTGGACGTAAGATCTGGCCACACCACAAACATGGAACTACTCACTGGGACTACTGATTTAGGCTTAGATGCCTTAATTGAAGGAGCTGATTAGTTTTATAAATTGTTGAATTAAATTCGGTTTCAGTCACATTCCTTACTCTACAAAAAACTGACACCAATGAAAAACTCAAACTGCATACCGATCCCATCAAACACCAGGCCTGGATCTGGCCCCCTCCTGTCCACCACAAACCCATCACTGCTTCTGAGCGTGTGCAGGCCGGCTTTATTGAATGCACGTACGTTGCTGTAATACCGCTGACCCCTCAGTAGGTTCAGGCTGCTGAACTGCGTAGAGTAGACACTGGCTGGAAAGGTGTGGTCTGCAAACTGACGGACATCTTCACCTGATATCCCATTAAGAAATATGTTTATTCAGGCAGGTGATTTTTCCTGTGGAAAGTTCTTCTCTTTTAGGAATTGGTGTTGTGTGTCCATAAATACAAGAAATATCTGTAGAATTTGATACAGAACTGAAATGAAACTCTCCTCAGTGGAAGTCCAGAGAGTGAAGGAAAAGACCAATACACCAAACTGATTACTTACCTCCTGGATAGGTACTGAGAGACACCTGGTAATGCGACATCACACTGTCCAGAAACACTCCTTCCCAGGAGATGGAGATAATACTTGGTTCCGTTATGTAATCAGTGTCTTTCCTGGAATCAGATCTTGCAAGATCCTTGACCTGAAAATGAAAAAATGTCTCCCTGGAAATCCTCCTCGCACACTAAAATAACCAGCATTTGTGCCATGCACAAGACAGTGAGGAGCTCCTCATACGCACATGGACATGTTATCGATTTCTACCAATGTGCTACCAACCTTTTTGCCTCTGACCGTCGAGATTTTGGGTGGTTTGATGTCAGGAGTTACGCCATCTGATCTGAACACAGCATACGCATTGGCATCATACCAGGCCCGGATGAACACGTGATATCTGAGTCCAGCAAATAGTTTCCTATCTGTAAAAGACAACATGCCAACACACTGCTCATCATCTTGCAAACTTGATGGATCTTGATCTTGCACAAAGCAGTGCCAACGCTAAAAATTAAGCAAATATTTCTGAAAATTTGGTCACACATGACCAAAACCTATATAAAAAGCTAAAGTTCTCTTGACTCGAACCCCACAAATTTAAAACTCAAAGTCAAGGGATAAGCCCCTACACTAAAAATTTAGCAATTCAATTGGAATGGATGGGATAAGGACTGATATTTTGTGATGCTTTTTCTCACATTACAATATACTACATTAGATTGTTATAAGCACAAAATACTCTGGCTATTGTTTTCAAGATTTTCTAGTCTAAATCCTGCATTAGACTGTCATAAGTTGTTCGTCAAGATTCGGAAGTATACAAGTGCGTTATGCACAAAGCATCACAAACAAGCACAGAATGCAGAAGTTGCCTGTGCAACCAGTCTGGCAGGCAGCCAATCAGCTATCCACAGACAACTTAAAGTGATCAAAGGCACAACGGTCAGCATACACAAGAAAGTGGAACAGACGGAAGAACCTGCCACGTATGCATTTCCGTATACCTTTATCAAATGTGATAACAGCATGATTGTCCTGGCCGACATCGAACCATATTCTTTCCCTGGCTGGATCAAAGACTCCTGCCGGCTCTGTGGCAGAGGAATTGGAATCATCACCTACACTCCACTCATACCTATAAAAGAAAAAATGGTTTTTATGGTGAAACAAGACAAGAACAGAAGAACTGTGTCAGTGCACATATGCTGACAAGATGCATATTCAATGTGTTGTCCACTTCAAGTGCATTTTATTGCAAGGGAAACACGGTTCACGCTTTCTGCAAGTGTTATCGAGGTATACTGCTGGTTGTCAGGAGAGGAAATCATATACCAAAGGGTGCAATTGTCAGCCCCACTTTTTGAGAAAGGAACCTGTAATCTGAATGTCTTCATAAGCAATAACAAATTCCAAACTGATACGCTTTATCATCAAGAATTACTCCATGAAATCCAGCCCCAGAGAATTTCAACACTGCAACTGTCAAGTGCTGAGCACCATTATCGTTATTATCAATTTTATGACATTTTATCAAACTCACCACTTGACATCCAGCCCTTTCTGCTCAGTGACTCTCCACACTGCAGCCATCATGTGCTGAGTGGCAGTATCATCAATGTCATTGACAGGGTCAGTATCGTTGAATGACATTAGGCTCAATACATCCAAGACTTCTATTTCATGGTTGGGATTACCTGATGAAAAAATGCACAAGGCAACAAACTAATGTCAGGACCAAAGAACAGAATCAACTTTATACATAAGGTGTCATTACTTAAGGTTGATTCTTTCAAGACAACTCACAGAAGCAATCTAAGTGTAAATTGTATGTCTAAGCTGAGAGTTGTACATTTAATGGACGTTACATCGATGTGTGGATTTTTTAACTTGGCTTTGCAAGCCTTCATTCAGTGGACTTTTTCAATCATTTCCCCTTCAACGGGCTCTTTTTAAGTTTTCTCTCGGTTACGTACTACCTCCAACACCATCTAACATCATCCAATGGTATCTAACAGCCACAGAATGAAGTCTGTCAATCTTGTTCCAATAAACATATCCGAAATGGATTAGTCCACTGCATGCAAGTGGTATTCACAATAACTGGAGGGAAGTAACAGAGGGGTCACGGTAGGCACCTACTTTGTAGCTATACAACTCCTACAGTAAATCACTAATGCCCACTTCTACCCCATCGGGCCAAGTGCACCCCATATGCATTTGAAACTCAGATGGTTTTTGTAGCCATAAGCTCAACTTACTATTGCTGAAATCCACACACGACCCCGGTGAAGTCGCACAAACTCTGTCAATCGGTGCGCAGGCGCAGTGGCCCTCGCAAGTTGCAGGCGAGCAGCGTCGCATGAGAACCAGAGCGCCCTCCCCGGGCAGAGTAGGGGAGGCTTCAAATGTTGAATGGTGGCGCTTACTAGGCAGGCCAACCTGAGTCAAACAATATAAATTAATACAAATTTATAAATACCTCAGACAGTCTCCCTCTTCAACAACGTGCAACTTGACCGTGTATTGACATTTGGTAATGCTTGGAAGTGATAATGCCTGCTGTGTAAATCACGTACTGGCACCTGGATACGAGACAGTTTCATTGATTCTGATTGGTTAAGAGTCTGTGTGCACGCGGCACACCACACGCGCCAAGTCCATACAAAGAGATTCTCTTGGACAACTATACAATAAAATGGATGAGGGTGTTCAGGAAAAAGAAAGTAAAATCCTACAACAAAATCGTTGGAAATCCGTCTTATATTGACTTGTTTTGACTCGCTGACTAAAAAGGTATGTATGAATGGGAAAAAACGTGCATTCAGTCTCAGAAGACTGAATGCCTGCGGCTCGGGCATCAATCGCGTACTGAGCCGGTCCTAAACGCATGTTTAAGACCAGCCAATCACATATTTGTTCCCTTATTAATAATGCATGAATTCCACAAGTTGTAGATTAGATGAGTACAAACTTAAATATAATCCCAATAGAGTTAAATTCATCAGAGAGGTTCTCTATTTGAACTTACAGAGGACATGTTTGTCAGAAAAGGGTGTTCTGATTTTGAGGACCCAACGTTTTTTACTTTGTCACATTAAAACATTTGACAAAGGAGTCGACTTTAACGTACAGAGGGTAAATACTTGTTACAAAACGGGCAGACAAGATATTATTGTTGAAGACCTTCTAGATTTTCACCATTACCTCACTGTCTACCACAGGACAGGATAAATCACAATGAACTCACTGACCCTATTTACAGCCCAGATGGAGATGAAGAGATAAGGATGACTGTGGCCTGTGATGCTGCCCTCTAGAGGTATGACAGCTCCCTGTACGATGCCTTCATCCAATGGTATGCCATCGTTGTTTTGGCTGACACGGAATGGTCCACTCTGTCAAAGGGAACAGAGGAACATATATCAATACTAAGCAGATGATAGGGTAGTATTTTGTTTCACAAAATGTAACAAATATGAGGGAAAAAATAAAAGATGGATTTATTTTTTTAATTTAAAACGCAAGAGGTAGAAGTTAACAGCAGTTGATGAGAGAATACAGATTAAGATGATTCTCACAGCGTCATCATAGAGTTTCATCTCCATGATATTATGAATTGGTATTACATCCTATCCTAAAATTGAAGTACCAAAAACCAGGGAATTTGAATTTTTTTAAAGTCCCTGTTTGAGACTTGTTAAAACTAAAAGCAGATGCTACCAAAGTCTCACCAAGAGACAACTGAGAATATGAAATTAGAACCATCAGCTTTTAATACAACATAGCACATACTTTTACCTGCCTAGCATTATTCAACAGAAATATGTCAGTACTCTTGCATCAGAGAAAGACAGCCTTCAGTGAAAATGATAAAATGCAACGTCGTTATTACTGAAAAATATACCAGGAGCCGAGTTCATGAAACATGGCATAACTTTGAACCATGAGTAAGCCTTGCGCCACAAATTTGTGCCCTAAATGTGTAAATATATTTCAGTTTGATATCATGAAGAGTTGCTGAGCCGCACAATGTTTTAATTATCATTTCTTGAACGAGGACAATCATGTCTTTTGCAATGGCGGTTCCTTCGTAATATTACAGCATTCATCAAACAGCAAATTTACCTTCACCAGTCATTTTGAAAAATTCATTCTCTTATCTTCTTCCGAACCGGGAAGAAAATCTCACAGTTCTATTGCAACCAAACAATTGGCTTCCATTACGTTCCAAAACTAAGTTGCATGTTTCCCATATAAGCTTCGAGTCCAGCAATGATGAGCCTTAACTAAAAACGAAGAGTCAGTCAAATTATTCATTTCTGCTTTGTTCAGCACAACTTACGCCACCTAAACATGATTGTGTAAGTTATGCCATAATTTGTTGCACAAGTTGCAGACTTTTGCAGTGCACTCATCTGAGGAAATCACTCTTGCCTTGTTGTGCAACGCATGCAATAAAGTGTGGCATATTAAGTGACATTATGCCAGAGTGTAAAGTTTCGTGAAATCAGCTGCAGGAGTGCCATTGCCCATAGCGAACAGATTTGTACATACCGGAGTGAGCTCTGAGCCACCATATGTGCGTCCAACAGAGACCAAGTAGTGGCTGACCCCAGAGTGTACATCGGCAAATCCCAGCCAGGCGAGAGCTAAGGAGCCAGTGGAGGTGCTGGTGTCTTCCAGCCACGTCATCCAGCCGGAGTGGTGGCGCGGGGGAGATGGGGGAGCATTGGTGGTGAAGTCGCTTCTGTCAAGCTGTTTCAAAAACAGGATATGGTGTAATTTCTGAAAGTTTCAAGGGTTTTCAAATGCCAAGAAAGCTACTCACAGTTGTGCTTAGCTTTGCTGGTTCGGTTGGATCAATCCAGATGATGTGATGGCGCTCCAAGTTTGCAGCACTTTCTGTACCTACAGCAAACGTCCCGACGGACGGTGGGCTTCCATCAACCTGATTAAATTCAAATGACATGACATATGTAAGATATTGATGTACACCCTCGACATATGTTAGATATGGATGTACACCCTCGACATATGTTAGATATGGATGTACACCCTCTATGACACAAGCAAGAACGACAACAAATTTGAAAAAAAAAGCTACAGTCACCGCTGCTTGATGCTTCGATTATACGATGTCCAAAACAATCCTGATGACATGTTGCCTTAGGCATTTGACAAGCTGTAGCCATTTGACAATCTGTAGCCATTTGACAAGCTGTAGCGGTTTGACAAGCTGTAGGCATTTGACAAGCTGTGGCCAGTTGACAAATTGTAGCCATTTGACAAGCTGTAGCCATTTGACAATCTGTAGCCATTTGACAAGCTGTACCGGTTTGACAAGCTGTAGGCATTTGACAAGCTGTGGCCAGTTGACAAATTGTAGCCATTTGACAAATTGTAGCCATTTGAGAAGCTGTAGCCGTTTGACACGCTGTAGCCATTTGAGAAGCTGTAGCAACTGCTGTGAGATTTTTCTGAATGTGTTAATGACAAAAAGTCTCTTAAACTGGCTGATTTGCAATTATCATCTGGGACAGTAAATACTACTCACCAAGACAGGTTCAGTCTCGGCCTTGGTACAGAGGCCAGCATAGTTGCAAGCCACCACGGTTATGGTGTAAAGACTGCCTTCATGTAACGTCAGATTGGTGAATGTGTGGTCCAGCTCACTCCCTGCAATCTACCAAATGTTAAGAGTACAAAAATTCCAACAATTTCATTGAATCACAAAGACATTGCAATCAAGACAGCAATATTGTAACTTACTTCCCATTTTCAAAATGTTAATCAGTTTTTGGATGATCCTAATCACTACTGTTTCCCACATTCAGTTCCTTTTGGGACACTGAATCTTTGGCCATATCTCAAGCCATCTTTGTTGTCTTGGATTTCTGACTTTTGAGATTCTGGATCAATATATGTCCATTTCTTGAACAAGAACATCAAGTTTACACCTTTGCCATCCTCTCCCCAGAAAAAAATTAATTCACTAGAGAGAACCTCAGCCTGACTTGAGAAATGATCACAGTCAACTTCTTTCAATGGTCACCCGTCCATTTTCCCACAGATAAGCTCTGTACCTTTATTGGAGGAATATTTATGTCTCCACTGTGGTGTGTGCTGACAGAGACGAACTGATCTTTCACACCACTCTCAGGGTCACTGAACTTCCACGAGAAGCGAATCAAATCACAGAAAACCTAAATAGAAAATTTACACAGATTGAGATTTAAAGTCAGAATTTGAAAACTAAGACAGGAATTGAACCACAGACGATGGAAATATTTGCCCACCTAGCGCAATACAATACAAAGGTTACAGTAGATAAAATAATAAATCTGAATTTTCTTACTTCGGAATGGCTTTTGGATTGTAATTACCAGTGTGTTTCTGACAGCCATCCCCTGCGTCTCATCAACAGCAGGTGCATCCACCACATCAGGGGGGCTAGAGTCCACACGGAACCCATTTGATGTAGCTTCGATCCACATAACGAGTCGGTTATAGGCGCGCACTGTGATGTAGATATCGGTGCCTACTGGCAGCTGGTCTGATGCCGGCAGGAATCTCAGAGCATCCTCTGACAGCTCAATGCGGGTAGAGGGGAGAATGTCCGCAGCTCCTGGTGTAGTGCCCGCGCGCCATTCATAGTGGGAGAGGCCAGAGTGAGGGTCATGAAAACCCCACCAATGAGCTCGCAGCTGGAGTCTACATTGCATAATTGTAATGGACAGTGTGTTAATGTGTGAGCTGCATGTTGATATGTAAGTTGAGGGTGTGGCTCCAGAGGTGTGGCGCCTTTGATGTTTGCAGTAATTGGTTATAATGTGGTACTAAGAAAAATTGGAACAACAGTGCTCTGTAGACCGATAACTAAGTCACTTCTTCAGAATCTTGATACCTCACAGAGGAAAAGTCACAGCAATAGGGATGTCAATACAAGTAAAAGTGACTGAATGTACAGACGTAAGGTCCATACCTCATCGAAAAATTACTTAAAGATAGCCGAGTTGACTTCTGGTTCTCCATTGCACAGAATGTGCATGGTGCAGTTTTAGGCCTCAATCACCCTTTGGCTGTTGTGAGGGGTGCAGGGTGCACTAGTTTAAACTGTTAGACAGAACTGGAACTCCATGGGAAGGAATAACTATTGTTTTGTATGAGCTCCATTTCATCCCTCTCACGCGTGGATACATGCATCACATGCAATCACATTGCAAGTTTTGTGCACATTCAGCTGACATTTGGATCCATAGTGGCTGTAAACATAGCATTTCCTTTTATGATGCAACACAGCATTAGATCTACCTTGAGGACTGGTAGTTGATGTCCCCACCCCCTGGACCCCCGTCATAAACACGCCCTGGCACAGGGGGCGAATCATCCACCATGACCCCATCAGAGGTCACTGAGATGCACAGGTCAGCAGCATTGCAGGCTGTCACCGTCACAAAGTAGGTCAGACCCGGAATGAGGTTCAGGTTTTCAATGAGAGCATCTGAGAACAAAATGTTAAGATCATATCATCAAAGTTTACATTCTTGTATTTCTATCAAGACCCTTCAGAGACAAGATACGTGTATCAGGTACTGAAGAAGGGTTTTTGTAGGAAGTAATCATCAGGCATGATGTTTGGTGAGATTTACCAGTGTCCAAGCCCACGTGCTGCTCAGGCACAACATCGCCGCACCCTGGACAGGTTCCAGCTCTACAGGAATAGCCAAGGATGGCACTGTGCGGGTCATGAAACCCTTCCCAGAATGCCTTGATCACAGTGCGATCCTCCTGAAAGTCTCCATCCTTGTGATTAGACGGTGCATTGGCCAGAGATCCGTCAAAGACGTGGCCGGCGATTGGGGGGCTTGCATCTACCACAAATGCTCCGTAACTCTTCAATGTGGTCAACCCAACTTTGTTGACAGCCTAAAAAATAATTATATTGAAAAACACAAAAACATCTACCGGATGGTGCTTACAATTCAAATTCTTTTTAACAAATATGAGGCTATAAATGGCTTCTCATTGACATGCATGACAGAAAAAGAACTGAGTTCAAACCGTAAGACTTTCCTCTCCACAAATAGTCAGGACAATAGGTACAAACTTTTATTGTGGAACTTCATAAGGTGGTAATTATAAGAGGTACAAAACAAATCTTAAAGTTTTTATTTTATTGGCAATCACAATTCACATCTCAAGTCTGGTTACAATTGACAGGGAAAAGCTAAAAAGGCCCCTTTTTAGACAGTTCATTGGAATAACTTTATTTGATGGTTGATGACTTAACTGGAACTGAAAGGTTTTAACTGAGTACCTCTCGGGGACTTTTCAGGACTTGGCAATTATACCAAAACTCTCTGGTAATATTCACAAAGCCTTCACATAAAACAGTTGAAACCTTCCTGGAATCGCACAAACGGACACATGTTCAGTAAACACCACTTGAAGATATGAACAGGCAAATCACCTTTCACCTCTGCTCGGCTCGGTCCACATGTGGATTGGGTTTTCAGTCCCTACCTGATTCCGTTGGTTTTACCCAGAATATTTCTTCTGGGGTTTTCCTCCCACCACCAAAACTGTAACTTGTTCTCACTGTATCCTCTCTACAGGTTTCTTCAGGCTTTTGAGCTACAGAGTCTAGGGCACTTTTGAGGAATCCTTGGCTTCATTACCAGAAAAACTTAGTAATAATAACTAATAATCCACAAAACCTGCAACTTGCCTTCACAGAAACAAAGTATGAATGACCTTCTTGGAGGAGCAAAGGTCGAGAGGAGTCACTGACCCCAGACACTGAAGTCTGGCGAGTGAATGGCATGACGTCTGCATGGCCTGGATGTGACCCTACAGCCCACTCGTAATACGCTATTCCACTCTCCTCGTCAGCAAATATATTCTCCCAACTGCAGTGAACAAGGTAAACTGTTCTTGTTAGTCAAGTTTTGCTCATGTTGCTTCCTTTCAGCCCTTCGGAATTAATCTTTAATCAAATCTGTCATCAGGTAGGATATCTATTGTCTTTAATTTGAAGAAATGAGGATCTTTCTAAACCGCTTGCAAAAATAAGAAACATTTGATAATAGTTATTAAATTCTGCAAATATAAATATTTCTGGCACTACCTCGCTGACACAGAGGTTGTTGACCGAATGAAACTACCTCCAATGTCCAATGTATGGAGAGCACTGACGACAGGAGGCGACGTATCAATAAAGACGGGCTCAGACGTTGCTTGAGAAGACAGACCAACAAAGTCAGTAGCTGATAAATAGAGGACAAACAAGTATTCAGTCATTAGCAACAGGCCTGGAGCACATTATACCATCTTGAACCTTCCAAGTTCAACACAGATAAAGGTAAGCATGCATGTAAAGTCGTGCTTGAGAGTTCATATACACTTGAACTGAAAGTGGTTAACCCCAAATAGACTAAGCTAAGTCTTGGCTTCCATTCTGGTTGACTGGCAGGCACATCCAATTCGTCGTCACATGACATACATGTATAGGATAATTTTGGTGCACTACGAAGTGACATACTGTCCATAGACTTTGTACACACCATATGTGACTTTGCGGTGCGGCAACTATCCATGATACGTCACTTAATGGTGAAATCAACGAATTCATTAATGTGTTGACACGAACATAAAAAAAAAAGAATTAAACTACACAAGACATTCAACTAGTCAGCTACTGAAGAATACATGACTACTGGATATGGTCTTACAAGCTGTATACAAACATGTACACTTCAAGTTCATGTGACCTTTCATATCATAAACTTTGATATGTACATTGATATTATCTGACATGATATTCACCTCTGATTGTAGCATAGTACATGTGTCCACTCTGCAACCTCAGGTTGTGTAGAATAGCGCTGTTGCTGATGCCAACACGGGTGAATTCTTTCACGTCACTTCCACCTTGCATCGAACCTGGTGACAGGACACGCAATATGTTCAGGTTTAAATGACAGCTCAAAAAAAGATGAAGCTGGCGATCTCTGAGACATCCAATATGCTGGCTGATGATGCAAGACATCAGGAAAGAGAAATGGCTCCTAACACTGTTCAAATTAAAGACACATATAGCTCACCAACTGTAAACCCAGAAAATCAATTTCAAGTACTTCACGCACAAACATGGGCAAATTCCATTCCGAGAAATGTAAAAGCACATAAATATGCCAATTGACTCTGAAAGATATACATAAGGCAAACAGGACAGGACACCAGCTAAAATGTATTTAATGCACAGTCTCGCTGTGACTGGTACTCAAGTATATTTTTTGCACAGCCTCTTCAGTTTTCTGAGCAACAATTTATTGCTCATGAGCTACCCAAACATTTGGAGTCAAATGAACCTTGCTTACCAACGGCATACTCATAGTATTTGATCCCGGAGTGATGACGTGCCAAGCCATGCTCCTCAATGTCAGTGAAGGATTCCCAACGTAGCACCAACTCAGAGCTAGAACTCTGTCAACAAAACGGAACACAAAGTGACCTATTTCTATATTAAAATTATTAAACATTCTATAATTAAAGCTTTTAGTGTGCGTACATTTTTTGGAAGAATGGATTTCGGTTATGGCGTCTTCACACCTGGTCGGGTGAAAGTGTCACAAAATATCTAAAAAGAGGAGCAGAACTCTACAGCATCATTTATCAGTTTGATGGTTCCCCCAGAGATCATTTTTCTGGGGTTGGGACAGAGATTTGATTTGATATAAAGAATTCTTTGCGTAGTTCACAGGATTTATAACATCCTTGGAAAGGTTTTTCACAGATTTTTATTTGAAAGACAACTAAAAACTTATATTATGCACATGTACATGCACATGCACATGATTTTCCACCTTCCCAAATATCTCAGTCTAGAGCACTGGGCATGTAATGCTTTTAACTACAAAAAATGCAGCTAAGAAAGTGTATAACATTTATTTTCCAAAAATTTTTTATCTATTAAAGGAAAATCTGAATGATGTAATTTTAAATTTGATTAAATTTAAAGAACTTATGATATACATGTAATTAATCTAATTATGTGATTTTAAAACACTTCTGCTCGGGATGCAAAAAGAGAATTTCTTTATCTCCTGTCAACTGGTCTATTCTAAAAACATTTAGTTAAAGCAATGTTAACAGTGACATGCTGATGTGCAAAACGTATTAACTTGATAGGTTCGATGTTGGCTCCAGCCTATCCACACGGGGCCAGGAGTTGGCGGCGTGGTATCTACGACAACCCCATCACTGCAGCTGGATACAGCGGGCAACTCTTCCTTCCAAAGCTCATGTTCCAGCGTGACCTCATCGGCGTGGATGCAAATGCGGTAACGCATGCCATGCTCCAGGGACAAATTGGGAACGTTGACAAATTCTTTATCTGTAAAGACAGAAATTTTGACATGAAAGCTGGTCAGATAAAAATGTGCCAAGCACAAACGACTCAATTCTGCCATACACAATGAACATGTAGAAAGGGCACAAGAACTGTCAAATTCCCTCATTTACAGTATTACAGATACACAAAGGTCCCTTTGTTAAACATCCAAAACTTCCTTTTCCTTCTACCTTTCCAACTTTTTTGAAGGCTTTCCAACTAAGGATAGGTTGACAAACAATGACATTAATTGTTATGTGATTTATTGACTCTACACTCCCATTTTACGTGCACAAACAGGCTGGCAGATAAACACAAGTTTGAAGACTTCTTCTGTTTTGAAAATCTACATCGTGGGTGCTTAAACATTTTTCAAATAGCGCCATCCGGCGACAGCAGTGTAGTAAAGTGCAACCTCATTCTCATGGGTACGATCTTGCGCCGCCATGTTGGTTCCTACCATGTTAGAAGTGCCTATGAGTGCATTAGGAAGCAAACCAGTATGTTAAGAGTGCATCTTTAATGTTACTCTTTCAAACGTGTCTTGGTTGGTACAGCTTTCACCTGAGGGCACATTGCCAACAGGGAGCCACATGTATAGCCCACTTATTTTGTGTTCCCTGTAAGCCCACGTAGGACTCCTAACCTGTCTTCCCACAGGCCTTCGCCCTCGGGTGATCACAGGGGTACTGCAGGCCATTGTCCAAGTTCCCAAAGTCAGCGGAGCCTGTGTCTTCAATAGCTGCCCAAACGTAGGCCCTGTGGCGGAGAGTTGGCCAGACGGCCGATAACAAGGACGTAGACAAGATGTAGTTCTTGTCCGGTTCAGGCCACAGTGCATTCTGCTCCACCTTAACTTCATCTAATTCAAAAGATGCATTCAATAATATACTGTTCCGTAAATCAAAACCGCAACATTGGAGGCCAAACATTAAAACCTTATTTTGACATAAATTTGGGACATGAAAATCAACAAATCTCAAAAAGTGCTTTCAATATTCCTCCCACAAATAACATAAGTAAATAGGTGACAGTCAGCACACGCTTCCCCTAGTTTGGATGTAGGTTCCCTTAACCCTAACCCTGCTAAATGCACCAGAATACACCACAGGTAAAAAGCTGTTGCAAGTTGGTGCATTTAGCAGGCAACACAAGTCTTCTGGTGGTATGCATTCTGGTGTACCTTAGGTTTTCTGGTGTATTTGGCAGGGTCAGAAAAAGTATACACAAGTAAATCTGTTGCACTGGTACAATCCAGTGCTTTTAGCGGGTAGCTAGTGGTACCAAGAGTGACATATATTAGTTCACTGCACAATGCACCAGTATGCACCGGTACATATTTTGCATTTAGCAGGGTACCCATGTGGGGTTTGGTGCATTCTGGTGCATTTAGCAGGGTCCTTGGCAAATACCCGGTGGGGGTTAGGGTTAAACTCTCCCTTGATGAATTTGTTAATTTTCAAGAAATGTACTTGTGGTTTTCAACATCAACTACTACTATTAATCATCAACCTTTAAACCCTATTCCTCCAGGGACAAACTGGGGCCGACACATTTCCAGTTGGTATATCAAAGTCAGAACATAACAGTAAACAAATATTTTCAAGACCGGACATTTGAACTTTCTTCAGACTTCTTATTGCGAAAAACTAGGCTGTTCAAAATCAATCTTAAAAAAATAAATCCCAACAGATTCAGCATGTACACGACAGAAACACCGGGGAACGTACTGAGTAAAGCAAATATCAACAGACTTGGTGGAAATCCTAGAGCAAGCCGTAAATATGAAACTCACGATCTGCATCAATGACAAGGTGGGGAACGATGAGTGTCACATCGTCACAGTCAACAATCTCGGCGCTGGCGATGGAGGACAGGCCGGCCTTGTTGTAGCCCCTGACCGACAGCCGAAGACAGACGTCCAGGTCTAAAGAACCGCTCAAAGATGCTGTGAAGAGGGCCTTGAAAACAAACGAGACTTCAAATGAGGTAATCAAACATTACATCTCTTGTTATTAGGCTGACAACTGAAATGGATACTGCTCACTTATCAACCTGTTGTGAAGAGGTAAAGATGTTGAGTCATCCAGATATTAAAGGTGCATGTAAATTCAAAACCATTTTAAATCAACCCAGGGCTCTGACTGTCAGGGTGGATCCAGATTTTAGCATGTAAATCAGCAATCTAGATTTTAACATGCAGAGTGTTTACATCTTACAGACTACAACTTGACTCACTGTTTCCCTAGTAACCAGGAGATCCTCAATTCTTGTCCACTGACTTGGCAGGGCTCCATCGCTGCCATCCTCGGCAATGCTCCACTCATAGAAGTCCATCAATTCCTGGGGGTCATCAGGACGGACGTAATCATGTGCAAAAGGCTGAAAGCCCACCTGGATCTCTGTCTTGCTTTGGGTGGTCACAATGTTGCTGACTGCGACCTGACCCACCTCAGGGGGTTGGGATAATACCCAGAATCCATCAGTGACGATGGGTTGGAAGCAAACCACTGTATGGCAGAACTGAATCTAAAGTCAAAATCAAAAAACATGTTCTAATTAAAACTACTGAAATTACTATCCACTGTACATGTAGGCCTTACAACGTAAAACAAGTGCATGGTATTTCACTCAACAGGAAAGAGAAGTTTTCTTTTCTAATACCTTTGATCTGTAGTGGGCTCCAGCATGTAACCCCATACTAGACGCAACATGTTGGAATGTCATGCCAAGATCTTGATCATCAAGCAATGGGATCCACACCATGGTAGTGTTGCCCTCGCCTAAGGAAAAAAAATCAAATACTTATTTTGTCACTTTACTGACTTTTGTAATAATACTATTAAGAAATAAACAAATTTTTCCACAATGTTCTGGCAATATAAAAATCAATACTGAATGCTAAAATATAGCAAACAGAGACAGAAGCGACCAACAGTCTTGCCTCATGAAAAGATATGTTCCTTATGCTTAATGTCTACATGGCTGATAAATTTACAGACAAAAAGTTTTAAAAGAGCAGTACATTTTAAAACACTTCACAATACAGACTTTTCCTTGATTTTTGGTACTTCCACAAGTCCCTGGATGACCTAAATCCACGGTAGGAATTAATTTTGATATGACTCACCAAAATATACCTCAACCTCCTGCTCGATGGTCAAGAGGACGTTGGTCACAAAGGGCTGAAGCATTTCAGGGATGGTCCATCGAGCTGAGATGTCCGAGGTAGAGGCCTGGTAGGAGATGTCATCCTGGCAGGGTGAATCAGCAGCAGACGAGTGATGGGACAATCCTGATGGTAGAGGCCCTGCAAGACAAAGATGACCAACTGTGAGAGAAGAGAATGTAGAGACCGGGATGATTCAACTGATGAGACATCTCATGTAGCAGACAGGTAGGTGGCGTCATCCTGGCAGGTTGAACCAGCAGCAGATGATCCAATGGGACAAGAGAAAGAAGAGAGATCTATACGGATGATTCAATGTAAAATTGATGAGATGTCTCAGGTAGCACAGATAGGTGATGTCATCCTTACAGGGTTGACCAGCAGCAGACAAGTGATGGGACAATCCTGATGGTAGAGGCCCTACAAGACAAAGACAAGCAACTTTGAGTGAAGAGAAAGAAGAGGGATCTACAGGGATGATTCAATTGATGAGATGTCTCAGGTAGCAGATGGTGATGTCATCCTGACAGGGTGAACCAGCAACAGACGATCTGATGGGAAAAGAGAAAGTAGAGAGACCTACAGGGAAAGGTCTAAGAGACCTAAGAGAAAGTAGATATTTACTGAGGAATGTCTGAAGCACATTGTTGGTGGACTGTCTATCATTCTGGCAGGGTCAATCAGCAGCAGATGAAAGGTGGGATAATCGTCACAGCGCAAATACTGTAAAATGGATGCAGTGGTTCCATTTACTGCTGCTGGAGTTTGCTTGAGCACTTCGGATCAAAACCTCTACACTCCAACAGGCTGGGGTAGAAAAATTTCTGGTTATATTTCACCAAGGACAATAAAGATCAGAGCTCTCAACTATGTGGTTACCCAGCAATTAGGTTGGCTCCTGGCAGGAAGACAAGGTTGGTCTACTAGAACATTACATCGAACAAAGACACTTACCACTCTGCTCGTCACAGCCCAATCCATCCTTTACCACAGCCCCCTCCAGTATCTGCCCCTTTGGAATGACTTTGACACCGTCTGAGGTAACACTGACATTTCCGACTTCAGAGTTGGCCAGGACAGTCACATAATAGCTCTGTTGACACCAAGTAGCAATGATACATGATCTTAATAATGTTAAGAAGATTCTACTTCAGCCCAGGGGAAAAATAAAATTCCATTGGAATCTGGTCTCAGCAAGAAAGCCAGCATTGCTGGTAATCAGGTACTCTGACCTCATTTACTGAAACCAATGGGTAAGAATAATGCAGACCAATCGGATGGCACAGCTACAATTTTGTTCGTCATCAACAATTCAACCTTTCTTGTCAAGCTCACCGTGAGTGGTGTTAGGTCTAGTCCATCCAGCTGATAGAAAGTTGCATTGCCAACACTGATGAAACTCCCACTGACATCTGAGGAACCTCGCTCCGACCCAACAGCAATATCATAGCTGACTTCAAGGTGGGGATGCTCAAACCCAAACCAACGAGCTGAGATGCTTGTGGTGTCCATCTGAACATCAATGTCCTTAGCAACCTATCAGAACAATTCAAGAGGACTGAATGAATGCCAAACCCTTCATCTGGTTCATTTTTTAGAAAAGATAGATTGCAGCTACCAGGATATGTAGAATGAATGTATGTAGTAGCAGTAGGATGCATATAGAACAATCCTCAAAAAATACTTCCAGAAATACAATAAAACAGGGTTGACTTCAGGTCAAATGCTTATTTGTATCTAATTTATCTATTACTTGACAATTGAGACTGAACAAACTAAAGTCTCTGTAGACACACAAAATTTCATCCACTGAATAGACTTTCCTGTAGTCAAGTACTCTTCATATGGTGTCAGAAGTGGTATCAATGTTTCTGATGCATGTAAACAGTACTGTCTGACACTTACCAACCTCAAACTAAAAACACTGAGCAAATCGTCTCTGGCACTGTTAGTATCTTGCTGCATTTCTTTCATACAACCCAAGTGTAAATGATCCCTCATAGCAGAGGATGACCTTGAATTTGTTGCCATTTCATGTCTAAAATCAAGAAAAGATCACCAAAATCGAACCTAATTTCTGGGTCAATGTAATCTCGCCTCTTTTGAACGGTGCTCTAAAAATATCAACACTAGTATATCAATTAATGGGCATACCCCTAAGTTGACAATTACTGCTTCCTGAGGGGGTGCAACATCCAATACGACACCCAGGGACGGCAGCTGCACGATGTGTCTGTAAACAGAAGAGGTCCCTACCGTTGACAATCCAGCACCATTCTGTGCCCTGATAGACACATAATACTCATGATCACCCTGGATATGCCAGTCTAGGCCATCCAATAGGAATGCAGCACAGAGTGTTCGGGACAAGCATGGGCCAATTTTGTAGTCTCTCTCCAGTTGATATGGAAGTGTTTCAGTGCCGCCTGGACTACTGCCTGTAAAACAGAAGCAGTCATGTTATCAACATCTTGGTTTCGTTTGTCTGTGGATTATCTGCGTTTGTCTTTTTCGTCTGTTTTGTGTGTATGTGTATCTAAATTAAGCTTCAGTGTATCTGTAGTTTGTGTAGTCTGTCCAGGTTGTTCCGGTTACAAGCCTTGGGCTTATATGAAGGGCCTTGCAACTCTCCTCCAGTAACTCTTATCTCATATTTAATTAGTAACAAGTAATCTGGCTTTATTTATTTGGCTTTCAAGTATTGCTCTTCATAATTGATATTATTTTCTCTCGTAACCTAGATTTATGGCTTTATTTATACCTGTACCTCTTAGTATTGAGAGTTCTAAATGAACGTTTATTGAATCGAAATAAATCGAACTGAATCAAATTGAATCGTCCTTAGTTTAAAAAGTGAACAAAGATCAACCTTCCAAGGGACTGATGCATCCAGTTTATAATAAATACACTGAAATATCAAATAAAAATTTCCCACTCAGAATATTTCTCATGTTGAAGACAACAAGAACATATATGTACAGTAGCCAGATTTCCCCCACAATTTCTGCAAGTTCAATTAGAAACTCACCAATAGCAACTTGGTACCTCAAGCTGGTATCCTCATCATCAATGAAGCCATCATCTCCCCATTCGGCAATCAGGTACTCATCGTCCACACGAACAAAGACATTCCCAACAAACATGGGTGGGGTTGTATCAACAACGATCGGACCAATCACCTTTGTATAAACAAAACATTCAAAGTGGTCGATTTTGGATTCAACTAATTCGAAAGTTCAGAAGGTTTTTTCAAGCAGACTAAAGGCAATGTGCCATAACCCAACAAGTGATTATTAAGAAGTCGAACTTCAAACACTGCCTTCGATTCATTCCTCTTTACTTGGCAAAAGCATTTTTCACACACACCTTGAATGAAGCTAACTGAGCCTTGTTGGTTGCCTTCAGGACAAGGTAGAATACAGATCCATGGCTGATGTGGGGATGGTACATCACAAAGTGATCGTGGCCTGATGTGGATGTGAAGGTTACAAGGTCAGGAGTCGGGTCTGAAGGTTGGTCAGGGACTGGGTTTGAGGGTTGACTGCTAAGACCAATCTCGTAGTCATAGATAGAGCTCTCTGCATCTTCCCCGGTCCAGGATATAGTCACCTACAAAAGGAAAGACTAAGATCTTTAAAGTCCAAGCCCAGCTCAGCCCAACTGAACCAAGCTCAGCTCAGCTCAGCTGACACAGTTTGGCAAAGCTAAGCCAAGCCAAGGCTGGGCCAGTCCAGCAAAGACCAGCTTAGCTCAGCCCAGCCTAGCCCAGCCAAGCCTGGCTCAGCCGAGCTGAGTTCATCAGTCCAGCTGAGCTGAGCCCCCGTTCAGACAAGCCAAGTCTAGCTCTTCCTTGAAAGCCCAAATCAGCAAAGTCTGATCCAAAAATGCACTCATGGTTCCAATAGGCCATCAACAAAAATGCTCCTGCAACCTTTCACATAATTTGTTTTACATATTCTCAGTCCTCTTTATTTCCTTTCCTTTCTAATTTTAATTTGTTGAACAGTCTTTATCCGCAAACTAAATGCAAAATGTATCAATATTTTTGAATATTACTGTAAATTGAACATGTTAACCTTCTGCCTACCTTGCTCATTTTTTGTGTAATAGAGTAATAATAAACTTGAAGGGTGCGATACAATAATTATTTACATGTTTGTGAGTGGGTAGAAAAAATTTCTGCTCAGTGGCCCAGATCCAGAGACAGTCCAGGTCTCCTTGGAGTACCGATGTGGAGTCGTTAGTGCCAGCCATCTCAGGATAAACAGACAAATCATCCAGGAAAACAGCCTTGGAACTGAGTGGAAGCACAAGCAGGGAGTATTGATCAGAAGCTGTCATATGTACACTGTCCTTGTTAGATCTTCTGCAAAATTCCTACTTTATCCCCATTTCATATGAGGTAATCTTAACAAAGAATCTTTATTTGTAAGGTCTTATGTAACAATCCTTTCTCCTACACTTCAGGAGGGTTTAACTCCATAAAGTGTATCATTCTTTTTTCCATGTCTTTTCTTACACTGATAACCAATGAAAACCCATCAATATTCAACTTTTGGTCTCAAGGTTTCACCCCACCGATGGTATACTGCAGTAACAATGGTCAGACGAACATAAGCAATCAATGTAATCACTTCCAAAGATTCAGAAACCATTTTCAGAATAATCTGTTGGTACGTTTTCATTGTAGCAAATTTATTTTTATTCTTGAAGCCATCAGTGGCACTGCAGTTTACGAACTGTGAACTAATTTTGGAGAAAGGATGAAGAAACTTATGAAAGTGTGAAGGAAATTCCAAATATTCTGGGGAACAAAACGCAAGGCAGGGAGTGAAACAGCGATCCACACATGACCTGGGCTCGGGTCAGCTCCATCTACATACCTGCAGCCGCTGGATGCATTGAGCACCTCTGTCTTCCTACGGTGCTCGTTGATGAACCACACCCGACCCTCAGCATCCTTGGCCAGGCCGGGCCACATCCGAGCGTAGCCCAGGGCGATCTGTGACAACTCCGGTGGACTGGTGTCAATCACGACACCGTCGGAACAGACGGGCTCTGAGGGTTCCAGGGCCCTGTTGTATGCGATGACGGTGACGTAATACAGACCGGGTGAGGGGGCCGTCCAACTCGCATGCGTGGAGGTAGTTCTCGTCATCTGTGCAATTCGCAGCGTTAGTACAGTGCACACCTGTAATACTCGTTTGCTTATAAATGCAAATGTTCCCTGCCACCCTTCTCCCCTGTCACATTCCTATAGCACTTCTTCAACTGTGCGACATTGCTGAATGCTACCAACTTTCAAAATGCCCCGCAGAAATTCTACTTCACTTGGGTAATTCAACCGTTGACAATTCAGGCATGAAGTACATGTTTGCACTGACAAGTGAAACAAGAGTAATTAAAAATTTACAGATTGAAGTGTAAGATTTGCTCTGCAAGAAACTCATCTTTAGGGTATCTGCAATTCTTTTGAAACTTTGCCTCAAGTTTCTTTTTCAGAAAATAAATGTGAATTTGGTTCTCTGAATGGTACAACTTCATGCAGCGGTGATATGTGATACTGCTTAGCAAAAGTATGGGCCAACTAAATTACAGATGAGAACCAGTCAAAGCTAGCACACACTGCATGGCTTTTTCGTTGGTAACCAATTTAAAGGAAGTATTTACTGTGCTTAGCCAAGTTGTGTTTATCACAATTCCACGAAATTGGACCCTTGACATGAGAAACATACACCACAGCAAAGAGATGCAACATCTTCAGGTTTGGTCCCACAGTTGGCCATGGAAACACAAACCTGTGGACATCACTGGACACGTATTTACATGGAAAACCATTCAATTAACCAACTCCGATCAGCCCTTTACCCCTGTGCAATCAATTTAAAAATGTATACGCAGGCAAAACAGCCAACTATTTGGGAATCAAAATGGTGTCTAATTACACGACATCTTGGTGCAGCTCTCTCCACAAATGGCTCTGACTTACGCGGTCTTTCACAGTACCGATCATCGTCGTGTCATTCCAGCACGAACTATCAAACAGATACTGATAGAACTTGACTCCGCTCTCCCTGTCAAAGAACCCCTCCCAGTGGGCCGAAAGGATGCTGCCCTCCTGAAAGTCCACCTCGTTGGACCCGCGTATCCCATCATGCACCACGCCGGCTTGAGGGGCTGAGGTGTCCACAGTTACCTTCAGGAAAAAAAATTGAGATAGCGCTAAAGTGAAAACACTCAGGAGTTTTTCACCAGGGTTACTTTCTCTGAAGGTCCAAAAGATTTTGAACAATCCAGGCCCCAGACAGGACGAAAATAATTTTTAGAAAACACAACAAAAATCTACAATCCATCAGTATATAAGCACACAGAGCATTAACTGAACTTTATTCATATTTTTTGGCTCGGAAGTTTTCAAACTTTCTCCAACATCTCTAACTGCGCAAAAAGCAAATACTCTCAAGACACACCAAGTACATCATGAGGTAATGACTTCAGTTCTGCCTTCCTCAACCCCAAAAAACTTCAAAAATCCCCCAGCTTTTGATGTGTCTTGCAAGTTGTGGGTTGGGTTGAATGCCGTTCACGTCAACACTTCATCGCAACTTTTTTAACATGGGCATACACAACGTACTTCATCAAATCTGTGGTCAGATTTTATTAGATACATCTGGCCAGAAATTCAAACATTCCTCAACAACGGATGCTTGGCACACCTATTCTGTACATAAAAGACTTGAAAATTTTGGAAAAAAATTACTCCAATGATAAATAATCTACATGTATGCATCATACCTTGATGGTCTGGGTTGTGACAAGTCTTGCTTCATTGGTAACCGTCAGTGTGATGAAGTAATCATAGTCATGGACACCGATGTGGAATGTTGGATTGAACCCGTAGTCTACGGCATAACAGTCGCCAATCACGTCACCAATCGGGATGCACATACAGCTGACAGGATCACAGTCCTCAGTATCCTGGCAAATAAGCAAATCATTTTAGAGTGTATGGGGGTCATGCTTTTTTGTACTTTTACTGCATGCGTTTTCTGTCGTATCAGAAACCAGTAGATGTTGCTAAAGCTGTGAACTACTGAGCATAGCAAGTAAGCTTCTGTAATTGTAATGATGAGGAAAACCATTTTAGCAATTTTTGGACTTGTTTTCACATCTGTGACAATATGTACTGCTGAACTATCTTACTGCATTGATTTTCCTGGCTGGTACAGTCTGGCGTCCATGCTCCATCTCTGTGCCTGTGTAGTTGTCAAACAGTCGCCACTCGATGGTTCGCACTCCGCTGTGAATGTCGTACGTCCGGAAGGTAACACTATAGAGCAAAATATCAAAGTTCCATATGCATAAAAAGTTATCAATAGATACCTCAGACAGTTTCCCTATTCAACAACGTGCAACATGACCGTGTATTAACATTTGACTATGATGATGCCCTGCTGCATAAAAGTGTGCTGGCACCTGGATACGCGACAGTTTAATCCATTCCAATTGGTCAAGAACTGTGTTTGCTGTGGCACGCAAAACTCACCAGGTGAGCGCCAAGTCCATGTAAGGAAATTTTTCTGGGCTACTTGCAAAAGGAATGTACCATAAAATGGACAGGGTGTTCAAAATAATGACAGTAAAATTCTTGAACAAAATTCTCGCAATTTATCGTAAATTGACTTCTTTTGTCTTTCTCACTAAATCAGTATTTATGAGTGGGAATAAGCATGTGCTTGGCCGGTCTTACACCAACATTAAAGACCGGCCAAGCACGTATGTATTCCCTTATTTCAGAAAGGTAAAATGTGCCAGCATTTTAGAACTCAAAATACTGACAAGCTGTAACAGATAAATGTATATAAAGCCAACAATCTCACCTCATTTCATGCAGATCGGCTGAGTTGTGAACAGCAAGATTCACTTCCCCATCTCGTACCAGCCACAAGTCTTCGATAATTGGCGGGGATGAATCTGCGTGGACCAGCACACTGTCCCTCACAAAGTCACCGGCTAGGTCCCTGGCCTCCACCCAGAACCGAACGGAATCACCATCCACCAGGCTCAGGTCGTAAGTCGCCTGCGTGCTTGTGCCTTCATTGCTCCAGTTGTCAGAGTCGTCGTCGCTCACGGTGACCGTGGTCCGGCCACCGCTGTGGTCGATGTCTCTGAAAGCCCGGAACTGTGTCACGCCCAGGGCATTGGGGATAGATTCGCGGCCACGCTGGCCAAAGTTCTGATCGTAACCTAAGGAGAAAAGGAAAACAGTGAACCTGGTGAGTTTCCAAATGGCTTTTTTAGTATGAGACACAAAGACATGCAAGGTCTTGAGCACAGCTGACAATAATGGTGATGCAACTCAAGTGCCATCTTTTACATAGTAACATGTTTGCCACTCATGACTACTGACGACCTGATACACTGTTGGGAGGACCATGTATTGAAAAAAAAACACTAAACTATTCTTAAAAAACACAAAAGCCGCATCACGTCAAATAGACTGGTTTACATTTTACAGAGAAAGGTGGTGTGAGACACGTATATCAAAGGCAAGTTGCAGGTTTGGTTTAAAACTTTTGTGCTCAAAAATGTAGACAAGCAGGACTTTGCAAAGCACTATCGTAAGTTTACGTAAATATTTCAATAAAAAGACAAGCAATTTCAGAATAGGTGAATTGCAACTAAGGGCAAAATTTATTACCACAAAGCGCTACATACCCTACTTAGATGGAGCGGAAGAGCACACTGCTGCAATAATATTAGGTTCAAATTCAAGTCTATGAAAACATCAATCCAAAACTACATGTACTCACTGCTTTCTATGCTGCCATGGTCATTCAGGTAGTACCCAATGCCTTTCAGCAATCCTTCGCTGTGATGACGCACGTTGGTGAAATGGTTTGTCCAATCAAGCCGCACAGAGGTGGTCCCTCCGCTAGAGTCTAGACTAGTCAGCCACTTGTAGCTGGTCTCTGGGGTGGCTGAGACCACGCGCAGTGGGGCATCACTGCGAGTGGTCACGTCATCGGGATCGTCGTCAAAGAACACAAACCGCCTGCTGCGCTTGACGTTGCCAGCGTTGTCAACGACGTCGAGAATGATGGAGTAAACACCTTGGGGACGCGGGGGACGAAAAGCATGTGGAAATGCCAGTCAAGTTTTGGTCTGGAGCCTCAAAAGACGGCAATAAAGGCAATATACATGCACCTTGCTCGGGTCTGAGATCAAAACAAAATTTTAAATGAAAAAGCTTGAAATCTGGCTTCTGCCTGAAAACTTTAGGGCTTCAACAAGTCTTTGATTTCTTTGTTATGGGAAAAGTCTTTTTTTTCAGGGTGGCAAGCTTTGCTTTGAGTTTATTTTAATTAATTCTTTTGGATTGATCCGCATAAATGTAGTGGAAAGGTTTCACACTTGTAGGTAAAGAGAGTATCATTGAACAATTATAAACAGCAATGGGACTTTTGAATTTCAGTGTCAGATTTTTTGCATCAAAGTAGAGGCCATTTCAGCAACACTGGCAAAATTCACAGCATATGTTTAGTGATGTCAAATTTGTTACAATTCATCCGTTTAACCCTGAAGTGTTTCTCATAACAATACAAACACAGCCCCGCCACACACTCTATCTCCAACGTCTCATCAGCTACGACATGACCTTACCCACATGGGGAAAGGTGACACTGTGGCCAGACGTGGTGACCCCCTGATAGACAGCGGAACTGTCAAAGATTTCTGTCATCTCGCTGCCGTGGGTGCCCGACAGCTGTCGCACTTGGAGCTCGTATTCCTTGATGCCTGCAAGATCGTCTGCCCATCCTTGCCAGCTGATTGATGTTGTGGCCTTTGTAAAAGGACAAGAGAGAAGGAAGTGATCACTGAATAAACTGGTGAAGATGGTCACGTAACCAAGAGAGAAGGAAGTGATCACTGAATAAACTGGTGAAGATGGTCACGTAACCAAAATAACATGCACTGAGCATCCACTGCCATTTCCCACAAAGTAGTGGAATCAACAACACTCAATTAAGCTGCAAGCCGGGTCTCAGAATTCAGTGTATTCACTACCAACATCCACAAATAAGGGTCAACTAACCTGTGAGGTAACATCATCCCCTGCGTTCAGCATGGTACTTCGGCATCCACTACTAACGTCTACACAGTGGTAAGGGTCAACAAAGTCAAAGGTGAAAGTTGAGTACCCAGAGGTTGTCCTACCACTGTAGTACCGCGTGTAAAAGGTGCCGGCATTATCCCTGTTGTGGAGCTTCAGGAATCCACCATTTGAGGAATAAACGTCATATCTCAAACTGTGACAGAAGGGCAGAATGCAGATGAATTTACGAAAATTACAGGTTAATGGCACAGAGATGTTGGTAAAATGAACACAAGAACTAGGATGGGCATGATGAGTTTACAAGTATTCATTATTAAAGGCACTGTCACGTAGTCAAAGGATGGTGTTGATTCAAAATGATTCTGTGTGTCACATTATAGTACAGGGTATGAAACAGACTTCATCATTTTGGTATTTTTGGAAGGCCTTTGTTTTTGTAAAGATTTTTTCCTGTTTTCTCTTTTTTAAAAAATATTTTTCTCCCCCAAATCCCTGTAGACCTTGTACATAATTTTTGCAGTCAGCAAGGCAGCCAGTTTTAAAACTTCAGTCTTAAGCTTGAACCAAGTTCAGACCTAAGGCTGAAGATGTGCAATGAAAACTGATGTCATAATGACATCATGGCATGTCACATGTCAAGCTGCTATTGGTCAAATTTTTGCTTCACATACTTGCAATCATCCAATCTGAAAGAATGCTGGGAGGATGTTTCTTGTGTGTGCTTCTCAAATATGAAATGAAGTCACTGGGTGAATTTTTACCACTTTTTTATTTACTCATTGTTTCCTATAATTTTCTGCTCTAGTCACTTTTAGCATTTTCCAAGAAAAGCTAAATTGTAATTTCACAGATATAAAAATCCCGACAAAGAGATTAAAAGTATCCAACATAACGATGTCATGATGATGCGCCTTCAAGTAATTTAATGTGGCTTTTTACATCTTTAACTAACCATTACAACATTTTACACATATTTCCTTACAGCAAACCCAGAGAGCTGTCAACAGGAGGAAATGCCTTGCATTCTGTCTCGATTAGCAAGCTTTTTCTTATCCGCAAATGGAGTTCACAACAGCTGATATACCCCATCCACACTAATAGCTCAGTGCTTTAATACATTAAAATTCTGACTCAGCCAATCAACAGCCGTTTTGGGAAAAGCAACTCTTTCACGCTATAATGTGAAACTCCTTACCTTATATCGTCACCAATTAAAATGGCTGCTAGATAAAGTTCAGGAATTGCTGACATCTTGCATGTCAATGCCAGCAGCATACGTGTATGTACAATACACAGATCATTTTGAGAATTATTTGGGGACTTGAAAATATGCTTGAAGGTGCTTACATGTACTTGTGAAAGAAAAACATCCAATTGCAATATCAAAAACTTTACCTCGGCCCTGCATCAAAGCAACCGTCAAACGCAAACCCCAGAATTTGTGCACACTATTTAATCACCATGGAAACAATTCACATATACTTACACGTCTCCAGTGGCAGGAGTCCAGGAGGCGTAGTCTATTGAGAACTCCAATTCACTGATGACAAAATCAGTTCTGGGCGACAGCTGAGATCCAGCTCCCGAGGAGGACTGCGAGCCAACGGTATGTGTTCCTCCCTGGGCCCCTGTAGCATACAAGGTGAAAGACAAGTTCAATCAGATCACCAGGGAGTGCGTAATCCCAAACTCCCCCCCCCCATTACCATGACAGTTGTTAAATATTTTCAAACAGGATGAATACAGCCCAGTGGCTCAGATGTTCACAGAATGATTCTTAACCCTAACCCCCCCCCAAGGGTTGCTTGCCCTAACCTTTCCCATTCACACAAAGTAGGCTGTTGGACTTTGTTTTTCTGAGGTATGCCAAACCCAATGCTAAATCCAGCTGTCTGGCCCTACCAGACCTATCCCCACAGAATTAAACACTTAAGTACTGTTTAATTCTGTGAGGTTGGGGAAGGTTAGGGTTAAAGTGATTCTCAGCTCTGGATGTGGTTTAAGTGAGGCTGCAGCTGAAATCACATCTTTCCTTTTCACATGGACAACTAAAATATTCAAAAGTTGTTCCAACTGTGCCAGCAAGGTGACAGTTAAAAGTCTGAAACCACTTCCCCTCTGTAAAACCTTTTCACCTTCAATTACCTTTTTTAAAAGGTAGGCTATTAACAGCGACAGATTTTGGGATCAACACGGGAACACACAAAGCTAGACAGAGTCCAAACAAACCAAGTTATGTGGGGCCTTTTTGTTTTCAAAGACAAGCATTATACCCCGCAAGCTGAAGGGACCTTAGCCAGAAGCTTAAATAAAACTTTTTATAAATCTTAGACAAGATCAAATTTCATGCGTTGGTCTTTATCTTTTCACTGATAGGAAATAGCAATTAAAATTATCTTCAATCACACCCTTGGGACATTTAACTTACTGTTAACAACAGCTGTTGCTCGCGCAGACACAATGCCCAGCCCATAACTATGGACATATGCGTGATTTGTGCTGCAGGAGGCTGTAAATAAGTTATTGACCATGTAGGAGCTCTCCCAATTGATCCTGATGCGTTCAAAGTCCCTCACATTGGTGTAGACAGTGGCTGTGCTGCCTTGGTCCCTGGGGGATTCCAAAGTGGTTGTCCCCATGATCAGGGTGGCTCGATGCTCTGACAACACCGGGGCTTGACTGCTGCCCACTTCAACCGAAAAGAAAGCAATGAGTTTCATATTTCTCGGAGTGCTGCAACATGACCAAGATGCAATGCACTGCATCACAAACCATTTGCATCCAAGAGGCAGATTTCAAACTGATGTCTTCCACGTTGCATACTGAAGTTAAACACCTCAATTTCAATCAGCCCACAAAATAATGACACAATGCATATTTGCAGAAATGCACTTTTTCATGGAACAAGCCCAAGTTCCCAGAGAATCTGAAAATCAATTTTTGTGACTGTTCCAGGGCTTTCCGGGACTAAAATATAACTATCTTTCATTTAACACTATTTTGAAAAGAAAAGCTGTTTATAACAAACATGACAAACTGAAAGACTGTCCTAGCTGCTAAAATAGACAGACAAGCCTGTATAAAATTTATTATTACTTTTTTTTTTTACTGTTTATTTACTTTTTATATCATGTCAAAAATGGTCCATCAAAAATAACCCTTGCAGGATCTTGACTTCCATGACTTTTCCAAACAGGATTCCCTGTTTTCCCACTCTTCCATTACTTTCCAGGACAAGGTTTTCCAGAATTTTCCCTGACAATGGAAACCCTGATGGAAGCTTCAAAAAATTGAATTGCTGCTGCCACAAAAGACACCAACAAATTTGATTTTCAAGATGTATTTTTGCGTTGGGGATGTTAATTTATATAACAGGTTTTGCCCTTACCCAACGTATAAACACTGTATGCTCAGTGCTTGTCCGAGAGCTTGCAAAAAAGTCACAAGCTTACTCGAGTGGGACTCGAACCCACGACCTCCTGCTTACTAGTGCAGACGTCTTAACCACTCGACCACCGAGCTTGCCGGGGTCGGCTGGCCGGTCCGAGTCAGGTGAAGCAGCGGGTACCGCAAACTATTTTCAAGGTGTATTGGGGAGATTGTATGGGCGTTGGGGAGATGTTAATTTATATAACAGGTTTTGCCCTTACCCAATGTATATATTAATAAACACTGTATGCTCAGTGCTTGTCCGAGAGCTTGCGAAAAAAGTCACAAGCTTACTCGAGTGGGACTCGAACCCACGACCTCCTGCTTAATAGTGCAGACGTCTTAACCATTCGACCACCAAGCTTGCCGGGGTCGGCTGGCCGGTCCGAGTCAGGTGAAGCAGCGGGTACCGCGAACTCTTTTCAAGATGTATAAAAAGATGTATAAAAATTTGAATAGACAAAACATACTGACATGTTCTACAGTCGGGCCCCGAGAAGCCAGAGCAGCAGGTGCACTGAGCGTAGTCTGCGCAGGATCCTGGAAAGCAGGCATTGCTATCGCTCCTCCAGGAACATTGCTCTGGGGAAAGGGTGACATCATGTTAAATTGAAGGACCATCTAAAAATCTTCCACCAGACACTGTCCATCATGGACACATGTAGGCTTGATTTCTCCTGAGCTATCATTGGATTGGATTGATTGTTTCCCCCGAAAATGGGGAAATGGTATTGCACTTGGCTGGACTTCTCCAAAGACTTAACCTTAAAATCTTAGATCAAATCAAAAATCAAATCACAGTGCAGTTTGGGATGAAATAAGAAATCAGGTGGACCACAGCGAAAACACAAATCTTGAATGGAAAGGCGTAGGTGATCGTACAGTTTTTATGATTCTTGAGTGCTAGTACATACACTAATGTGCTTCACTGATGTTTCTATAATGCAATGTTATATCATGGAATGTTATCTAGGCATTAAAATGTAAATCTTTCACGATATTTTATTTTTAATTGTATTTTTTGTTTCGTACACTGAAATCTTTTTGCCCTTGGGCCAACAGTCTCAACTTCTGTTAGAAATAAATGAGTATTCAAATTCATTTCTCTAATAAAGTGTTTAAGCAAGGACGTTTGAATGGAAAATTGTCTACCATGTCACATACAGTATGCTTAGCCTTCAGCGACCCATGATTCTTACCTACATTTGTCTTTTCATGGCTACTTTACCCACTAAAAAACCTGACTCTCCTAGATGTGTGAAAATAACAACTTAGAGTGAACAGAAAAATAAGTGGACAGCTTTTTAAAACTGATTCACCAACTTGTTCTACAATTTGAATTAGCTGTTGATCTTCTCTGGAAAAAAAAGACCTGATCATTTTTACCAGGTAGAGGTTGATGAACAATTGCATGCATCACTTTGATTTGAGAGATAAAGTTGCTTTGTTTGCTCTTGACATAAAATGGGTATAGTCAGTTATGATATTCAGGTCAGCAAACCTAGACTACTGGGCTACAGCTAACACTTTGAATATAAGACTGAGGTATTCTACAAGAGTGGCAGAAAATGAAAATGTCACTTTAGCAGGTAAATATCCAAACTACTCACTGATACACTGGGTTCGGTCAGAGGACGGCTTGTACGCTGCCCCGAATGAAGTGCCATAGTCACCATTGCAACTCTGGCAAATTTGGTTGTGTGAGGTAGTGCAAGTCACACTGTCACAGAATGAGATGCGTGTGCACTCTGAATTGGTAAATAACAAGAAAAAAAAGAGTCACAGCAAATTTAACTCCAGTGGAGGAGCACAAAACTTGTCAAGCGACCGATTGCGCCCGCTACATGTTAAAGTCACACGGAATATTATGGGTATCACTCCCATAGCAATGTGAGTTTTGAGTGCTGTTTACAAAGCAAGCCGATTTACAGTATAGTATCCAGCACATCGGTAGTCTGAATACGGTACACCTACAGTCAGATTTATTTTTGGTAAATGATAGTTACTATAAAACACTTTGCTTTTGGTGGACACCATGTTTGTTGATATTTAATACCTGCTATAGGTTACATGACTCAGCGGGGTGTTAACCAGGGTGTCTTTTGGACATCCTGTAGACCAATTGATGCCTTGTTCCGATACACAAATGCATTTAAAAGCATAAAGCCTTGTACATGTATTTATAAGGTTGGCACTTGTTGACAACCCATTTCCAAATGCTGGCTAAAATCCTGATTGGCAAGACTCATGCAATTCAAAACCTGCCCGATCCAACTGAGAAATGTACATTATCATGAGAGTATGGCTACATAAAGGACAGTTATACAGCTAAACAAGACATTTTTATAACACAAACATCATATAACTTCATACATATTATCAATGCATGGTGTGCCTTAAATAAAAAGTCAAAAATTCAAAACTAAGTGAGCAGTGGCAACTTTATTTTTTCGGGGGATGAGCACAATTTAAGTCAGATTTTTCGATGAAAACTCATCACAAGAAATAGACCTATTTTCAGTTACACTGTCCACCAGCGGCTGGAAACTCTACAACTGGCCACCAGCAATTGGAAAAAAAAAAATTTAGAGTAGAAAAAAAAACTCAGCCACTTCTACATATTAAAACTCAAATAAGCCCCCTTTTAGATCAAATGTGACATGCAGTGATGACATTTCTGCAAACTTCAGCAGTTCTTACAAAACAGCATTGTAAAAAACAAGGATCCATACAAAAAGAAATATTTAAGCACAAAGAAGAGAGTACCGTCACATCTTGGCGAGTAGTAGCCCGGGTTACAGTTGATGCAGTTATCGGGAGTGCTGCAAGTGCCTCCGTTGGGACAATAATTCACATGGCCATGACATATGGCTGAAATGAGCACAAGAACATTCATATGTGATAACAGCAAGAATATTGCACTTGGATGGTTCAGTTTTAGGCCATTTTCCAATACTTGACTTCGGCTCAGTCTCAGGCTTGAACTGTTGAACTACCTGACTTTGAAGTTGTAAGTGCAGTAAGTCTGATAGTGTCACAAAACATCAAATAAAATGCAAACAAGCCAAACATTACAGAACTTCAATCTAATTTAAATGCTTCAGGCCCACAATCAGGGATTGATTTCAAAGACAAAGCTGGAGACGAAGTTGAGTATTGGAAAACGGCCCTAGACATCATGCAGCCTGACCTCTGCTGGGCCACAGGACTGCTGCGAAGAACTGGCCATTACATTTTCCATCCGACACTTTCTTAAGAGTTTCCGATGGACACACGATGCTTTGGGGCAATATTCAGATTTTGGGAGGGTTTCAGACTTACTTTTAGTACAAGTATGTGTCAATTGGCCAAGATTGTCAAGAATGCACATGGGAGAATCAAGTCATCCCAGGGTAGTACCATAGGGTGGCTCAGTTTGGACACTTCAATGTAAACCTTTGCAATCAGGTGGAATGGAATATTGTGGAACCAACTGTTACAATGTAAAAGTTGCACAGTGCTCTTTTTGCAGATTGGAAGTTGCTCCCGGTCATTGTAAATAATTGGAAGATGAGGACCTGCGTCGGCCTTGTACAGTTTTTATTGTTGAGTTCAAATGCGTACACGTTGTTCACATTACAAAAAGAAGCCAAGGTCCTTCATTAACCCTAACAGTCACAAATCCTCCAATTTCAATACGATTTTACACACACCCTTGGAGGTTGGGGTTAATACAGTAAAATACTTTTATTATGTCCAATAAAATGTTGCAAGATGCAGATATTTTGACCATTACATCAACAAACTTGACACTCCGTCCTGACTCGAAATGCACCCTCAAAAACAAAGAAGAGACAAGCTGGTAGGAAGTTTTTCGACCAGGCTCATGCACACACCAAGTGCACAGGCACCAACCTTAAATTCAAAAAGAAATTGGACACATGTGCTCAGGGTGTCTTGAGCCAAACAGGCGTGAACTTGTGTGCCTGCAAAGTGAGTTCCCGACCAGAAAGGGCCATTGTTGAGCACAAGATAAAAAAACCACATGCCCTCTCTCGTTAATTCACACCATGGAGCAACTTCCATGTTTTGCAACGTCCCATGACATGTTCAGGGAAAGTCTATGTAACAGAATGTTGCAGACGAGCATTCTGGAGACATTTAGGCTGCATCCAAATCTGTTTTCTAGAGTTAGGTTAAGTCTTCACGCCATTCGAAATGCGTGTAGATGCCCAGATAACAGACTTAGCCTTAGCTCTGGAAGCCTGTTTCGGACAGAGCCACAGGCTCCATAGAAAAACGAATGATACTCAGATTAGCAAAGGGGCATAATGAATTGACCAAGTTCAAACATACGAGTGTCACAACCAGTGGTGCCTGACACGGTACCAGTCCATCCATCGCAACACCGATAGCAGTCTATTTCCCTGCCAAAAACCATACGTAGCATAACAAAATTTCATTATCAGAAACTGTACAGCATGGTGGGCATGCACACATATCCTTACTTTCAGGATCCTGGTATGTATGTAGGTAATGGTGGGCTCAATGTCTTCATTCAACCATGAATTTCAAGCAACTTAGACATTGTTCAATTGTGTAGAGTTTCTGAGGTGGCAAAGGTAAATTTAGACTGACACAACGAAACACACCTTCAAAGAAGTTTACAAATTGCACGCAACAACAATCTACAGACAGGCATCTCTAAAACTTTTTGTAAAAGTAAAAGATTCCCATTCAAACGGTACCATGCATCACATGGGTCTTAGGCCTAGAGAATATCAAGGTAGAATATCCATGTAAAGTGAGGAACTCTATATTAAGGATTTTTCAGGTGGACTAGAAATAGTTGTGTTAACACCATCTCTTTTGAGCATGTGGGGTTCTGAAAAGAGATATATCCATGGTGCTACCACAAACCTATCTAGTATACCTCCACCATGAAACACTTCAACTCTCAAGGATGTTTCATTCCCAAAGTGAAGTGTGAATTACGGGCAGTGGAAAGAATTCCGTAGGCCGAATCAGATGCCACCAGTTTTCCCTTTCCCTACAGTTACCCATAAGGAAAGAGTTCCAAGACAACACAAATTTACCCTTAAAATCTTACAACCGTCAGAGAGTCGTAGCCTATCACTGAGCAACAGTAAAAAGTGAACTTTAGCCAAGAAAATTCCGAAGCATTTACTTAGTAAACACTCAAAATGTCCGTCCATGGTGTGGAACTCTTTCCGAATCGTTTTGAAAATGAAGGCCAGAGCGACATTGCTTTGAAGTAGTTTTTAACTTCTTGATGCGCCGAGTAGCCCTTCTTTTAACATTTTGTTATGACCAGTGGAACGATGAACAAAATGATAGAAGAGGAAAGAGACCTACATCACATACCCACGTCCATGGGTACGGGTGACACTGCACGTTGCCCAGGCGAAAATCCACCTTGCACCAAATAAAAACACTGACCTGCGCGCCTCGTGAGCTGAGCGAGAGCCCTCTGTTGTTTAAATTACGTCAACTTTTTTTTTTCGAGTTCCGGTCCCCGTTTCCGACAACTGACCTTTTTATCAATTTATTTATAGAAATACACATGATTTCAAAACTGAGTGATATTTGTGAAAACTTGTAAATTTCATTTGGGAGAGACTCTCGATAGACATTCTAAATTTAACTTTTGGGGCAATGCAGCAAGCCTATATCGGGCAATAATTTTTTGGTGCATTTGTTTTATTTTTTACGTCCCTTAGACGTTTTGTCGGCCTAATTGTAAAATGTATGAACTGAATCTTAACTTTTACACGAGTTATGTTGTACAGATTTGTACCCTTCCCTGGAAATCTTACCACAATCAATTATTAATTTATAACTGTAATTTTCAGGCAAGGATAGAAATGATCGATCCATCAGCACTTTCAAGGCTTCCATTCGATCTTCAGCATGGCTTATTTGCCTTTAAACCACATTAAGCGGAACTTCTCTCTAAATTCAAAAAAGTGAAAATTCACTCCATTCGACTGAAAAATCAATCCCTCAGATTGAAATTAAGGACAGACGAAATGGAGTGAATTTTTTCACTTCAAAAGACTGAAATTTCACTCAAGCTTCTACTGGAAGGGGCTATTTTCAGCCTTTTTCAGTCTAAATTCAGAGTGATTTTCACTCTTAAATGTCTTGTCCCTAATTTCACTTTTTCCGATTTAGAGAGCTGCAGAAGCTGAGTGTTCAATAGGATTGAGAGTTTATGGTTTCAGTTCCTAGAAAAAGTAAAAATATTGACAAAACTTCCCTCAACATTTATCTGAAAAGCTGTGATCCAAAAAGTTACAGTCTTGTTAATGGGAATTATTATCTGAAAACGTTTGACCCACCTGTGTCGAGTACAACTAAAGAACCCCGTTATATCCCAGCAAGATGTATAGTAACGCTGCTGGCACTTGTAAGAGCAAGCAAGGGCGCTGAGGAAAGAAAAAAAGGAGAGTAAGTAGAGAAAAATGGCCAGGATTAGAACCGGCTCCTAATGTACAAAGCCTGACCTGTGAACAAACACCACTACACACAAGCGTGTTTTTAAAGGACGAATGATACAACACATCGCAACCCATGAAACGATTCGATGCGCTGATATCTCTTAATTAATTATACCCAGGTAAATCCAGACTAGTGTGAAAAGGGATCTAGCCTCTTAACTTTGGCGACGGAAATTCTCCTGTCAAGGGCCTAACTGATCAACTGTAATTTTGTGCGGCAGTTTCAGCGAAATATGTCTGCAAAGCACTTTGCTTCAATTTTGCCTTTTCTCTCTTTTGAAAAGTTGTTTGGCCTACCTGATTACACATCAACAAAGGCTGATGACTAAAATTTGCCCATTGCACGGGCGAAATAGGGGACTTTTCCCCTACATACACTAATTTAAATTATAACACCTATCTTATGGAGGACAATAATTTATGGCTAGTTGAATGCTAATGAAATATGGAACACTGCAAAAACTGGGGTGTTAACACCCCGGTGTTAAAAGAGAACTACACCAACACTTTTCACTGGTGTTAAAATTTGATGTTACATGTATTTGGTGTTACTTTTAACAGCCTCCAGTGCGTTGTAACACTTATAGGTGTACAAAGTAACACCAGCAGTGGTAAAGTAACACCCTATGGTGTAGTCATTTGATAACACCAACAAGTGTTGATTTTAACGACACAGTTTTTGCAGTGGACCTTGGAGGGCGTTGAGCGAATACACGCCCACTGCTTCCCGGACACAGCTTTTGCAGTTTGCAAGAGATATGCAATAACATGACGCTAGGTACTTAAAAATGCATACTGAGAAGATGCGAACTTACCGTGAACAAGGCAGTCTTGCAACAAAGAGGATCACCATGAAATGAACAGCGATCAAGGTGTGTACTCGAAGGAACATTGTCAGACCTGCAACAGGTATAACAGTAGGCACTTGAGTTTTAGGAGAAGCAGGTGCAATTTGACGGATATACACTTGAGGGGGTGGGGCAAAACCGCCCCAGTGGGGACGCAAAGTCCTTGGATGATGAGGGAGGGGGAAACAGTTATTCCGTCTATCTGCTGAAAAGGAGATGAATATTCTCATCACCCTCCACACTTTTTGGTGGTGAGAAACAAAAGAAGGTTTTGAAGTTATTTTGTTACTATTTTAACAGCCGACTGTATCATGAGCAATACCCCCTGTCATGGTCAACCCTCAGTTCTCTCCATTTTTCGAATGTCTAAGGCCAGGTTTTTATATCATGGACTTTGAGGTCATCATCCCTCACATTGGGCAATGCGGATTTACCCCGAAACCCTGCAAGTTAAAAGTAATTGTATCCCATCAGCACTGTTGTCAGCACTTGATTATAACGTCCTCCACCCACAGGGTCTGAGCTGCCCAATTATGGCAATCGGTCATTCGGTCTATACCAGGCAAGATATGGGACGGAGGGATACCCCCCACCTGTCCAATTCTTATACACACTGTAGACTATTGTTACCTAACACGTCTTCCTAGAAGTCTGTAAAGAATTCCTGAGATTCCGATCAAACAATAACAAACACAAAGGCGGGGGGGTTCTCTCCATCCCATATCTTGAATCATATGATTCGGTCTGGCCTCCAATTTGTGGTAGAGGTACCCACCAATTGAAAAGCAAGAGGCCATCAAGCCAAATTTCATTGTTGTCGGATTGTCCGCCGTCCTTCTTTTAATGGTGTGACCATAACAAACTGTTGTCAATGACTCCACCTGGATACTTAATAACTTATACCACTGAAATCTACAATCACTATCGTACAAATTGTACCGCAGCCATGTTAGCAAGAAACATTGATTTACTTTGGACCAACATTTAAAGGCTACAATTTTTAGTGAGTATTGACGCAACACAGAGTACAATTTTTTTATTGTTATTTCTAGAATCCAGTTCTCACTCTTCAAGAAGGCCATTCATAAGTTACTTTGCCGAAAAGCTGCCATTATCCGAGAGACAGGCGTGGGTATTTTGCAAGTTTCAATGTGCATTAGAGTGTGTTTAATAGGATTCCCACGCTCATGAACTGACCATAACAAATAAATTTCTGGAAGCAAAACTCAGTGGACATCTCAAGGCGTGAGGCTGTCAAATTCTTGCATTGCCTCCGCCACAACTTTTAAACACGTGAACTAGCAGACTCACCTGATCCGATCAAGTCAGTACTGCAGAATTAAGGCACCTTGAATTGGCCGTATGGACCGGGGAACGAAATTAGTCCGATGTAGGGCCTAACTCAGACTGTGACTAATCGCACTTCAGTCTCCCATGAGACATTGTTATGGCCACGACGCACGCGAGCTTGGCCAACCGTCACTCGATTCCACGGCTTTGTGTAAATGTATTCATCATTCATCAAGTTAAGTCTATTTTCCTGGAACAATATTTTCATGATCATTATGTACCGTGCATGTTTCTCAATAAACAGGACCTCGAATTCAATTTATGCTGAATGTCGTGTTTGCGTGTTATGGCATGTTGCAAATTGAAAAATAAATAAATTCACCGATGTATTATGGATATCCGCATCCTCCTTTTTAGTATGCAAATCGTGTACGCTTTCAATGCTTCGAGTTCAGTAAAAAACCACAAACAAACAACAAAAGTAAAAGGCAAAATAACCTCATCTTTCAACATAGATACAAGAAGCAGGAAGCCACCAGGACACATCCCATGCTTGTCATACATCTCTAGCCCTGTGGTAGGAAGAATCACGGTTATAAATCTCTGTCCTAGGTAGGAGCAACTCTTTCTCCTCAATCTGTCCTCATCCTCTAAACCAAATACGATCAAAGCAGACCAAGCCCGTGTAGCTGATACGTAATGGCGAGCATTAGGTCACTTTCGCAGTTTCGAATTCTGGAGATAAAATATCAGCTCATTACCATACACTGTTTCCACAGTTCAAACCAGTATAGCACTGTTCACCCTTTGCATCAACACTGCATATAGAAACTATGATTATTGGCCAAACAGCTAGCCAGGCGGCCTGAAGGAGATGGACATTCAAATCACGTGACTAGACTAAGAGATACTAAAGGCAAGTAAGGGTGAGGGTCAAGGAGAAACAAGATTGGGGACGACATCGATGAAACCACACGGGGCACCCTATGGGGGAAGAGAACATGTGACAGAGAGAAAGTTTGGTTGAGAGGAACACCTCACGCATGGAAGTAAGCAGGCTTGGAGCCAGACAAAAACAGACAAATATTTTGTAATTTGGAGTTCAGTCTCACCTGTTACGGTGTTAAGATGTTAGGACTGCAGTTAGGCGGCCGTTCTGCTCTTCAGTCTCGCTTGTTCTCTTCAGTGAAGAGAAAAAGGGCTCGTGGGTCGGCATTAGCAATGTCACACCGCTCTGACTTCGAACTTCAGTTACCAGCCCCAAATGAGCACATAGATTAAGTCATAATACAGTGCATGGCAACTCACCTGACTGACCAACTCACCTGTTTGCCACAAGGTCGTTGTCAAGGGCCGTGGCCCATCAAATATTAACCTTTTATTACAGAGTACAACAGTGTGTTTTGTCGTCTAACAAAACTTGAAGCCATAGCGGAGCTCCGATGTACATATACTTTTGACTGGGAAAGGTGATCGCTGGATGGCATGAGGGTGGAGGCTGTAATTAAACAAACTGCGTTGAATTTCCAAGTAAAATGTAACGCAATAGGCTGAGGCTTTGTTAAGGTTTTTTCATCGGGAATTCGGTGAAGTGCTTATAAAGGTGTGTGAAACTAGAAGCTTAAATGTGTCTCGAGAAAATCTGAGCAATTTTGTCACTTTCGTTGTGATAGTTGAGACCAACGCAATTATCGTTATACCCAAGACTCTTTGTTGACACCAATAGAACACGGAGGTCTCACGAAGGTGTTTGTCACCTGAGCTGAGCAAGGGAATATGGATCGAGGACAAGCTTGGGACCTAATTTTGCTACAGTCGCTGTAAAACCGAAAACACAATCATCTGTTCGTTATTATTTCTTCTTGGTTTATTTTCATCTGACCATGCCGTTATTTATAAAGGAATAAAAACTCACTTCTTTCGGTTTGTCTATGCATGCTTTCAGCTGGGAAATCCTAGTGAATCCATGTTTTATGCGTTACGGAAAGGAATCGAGAACTATATAGGTCTAGGGGCCTACATTCGAAAATCCAGAACTGATGATATAACAGGATACTTTGTATACACCAGTTCTCTGTCGGGTGCAACGGCTTGTTTGTGAAGGCATTTATTTAAATAATAATCAAAGACACCGTGCATGAGTCGGGATTCGCATGACCAACCACGTAACACATCATGCATCTCGAGGTCGAGATGACAAAGTCTTCAGCTGCAAAATGTGCATGCTACAAAGTATAGTGAAGACTTCCGACGTTGTGGTGAGTCGCAAACTCTCTAAATCGGAAAGAGTGAAATTAGGGACAAGACGTTCTCGGAGTGAAAATCACTCTGAAGTGAGACTGAAAAGGGCTGAAATAACCCTTTCCAGTGGAAACTCGAGTGAAATCTCAATCTTTTGAAGTGAAGAAATTTCACTCCAATTCGTCTGGTCCTTAATTTCAATTAGAGGGATTGAATTTTCACTCTTTGGGATTTAGAGAGAATGCATGCAAATTGTCAGGTCAGCAACCTCCTTTCATCAATAGAGTATAGCACTTTCGCTTGTACATATTCATTTTGTAAGATGATACAGCAAGCTCTTGTCTTTGACTCTAACTGCAACTTGAGTATTTTGCTGATATTGGGGACTACATGAAACTCTTACATGTAACATGGGGAAAAGTTGCTGATCACATTACCAGCTATTTTGTGTAGTGATTGTTCATTGGGCACACAATTATGTAGTCGCCGCGGCGTCTTGTGTTGCGTAAAATTTCCATACATCTTACGCTAGATCGAAGCTTGTGAGGTGTAGCTTTGGGGGATCGGTGAACTTCGCAACCGGAGCTGAAAACTAATGTTCCAAATGTTAGCCCCCCCCCGAACGGGCAATTTTTGTTTTGCACGATGGTCCATGGGAGGGGATGCATAAGGTGTGAAGTTGTCCTTGCCTGCTCCATCCAAGCATAAGTAATTCGTAGGTTAGCTCCTGATCAGTTTGTCTATACGAACATTGAGGACTTTTTCTCGATGGCTTTATCTCTTTCTGACCATTCTTTTTTTTGGGGGGGGGGTGTTGTTTTGGATATAATTTCCGACTGAGGATACCTCGTCAATAGTGGAAGCGTTATCATTTATTGTTATTGCGTCCTTCGGTATCCACAGTATTCCCGGCAGCTCGAACTTTGATCATAGTATGATATCATACAAAGTGCAGCTCTGTGGTCCGCAAGCACACCAGACATCGGTATTTGTGTTATGTACACCATTACACGTATACAGGGATTATTTTTTAACCAGTGATTGCGGCATCAAATTCTCACAACTTAAAATTCTGACTTCCTCTGTAAACTCCCGGATTTCCCTAACTCTCTCAGTAAAAAGGGTCCCTGATACGGAAAAGGCGTGAACCACGAGGCAGTGATTGTCAACTGGCACTGGTTGCTTAGAGCTAGCTGTGAGCCCGCGACCTTTGGTCTCACTGTCCACGCAAGTTCATTAGTCGTTCCTCATAAGCTTGCGAACAGGAGCGTCTTTCAAATGAAGAACTTATTTCGCAGTCTAAAGCTGCAACCAAAGAGATCCAGCATCATTCTACTGATCTGAATTGGTACTTTCGAATAAGGTAAGTAGATCTGAAGGCCTATATTTACCCGTCAAGGTTTTCTTATGGAGAATGTTGTTGAAGCAACATCATATGCTACCGTAAGCGTCCAATGATAGGTGGTTTTGACAACACCTTTACAGGGAGGAACCCTCAGAACAAGCTATGTGTGAGCTCGACAGGTGTCCCGATTAACAGTACTCGCAGCAAGTAGGCTCAGCCTCAGTAGAAGCATATTGTTCTTTATTTTGTTGTTTTGTTTCAACACAGAAGATTAACATAAAATTGACGTGTTAACTTTTTGGTGTCTGTGGATATGTGAACAGGCCGAGGGGACGGTATCCTATACGTTATCATGTATATCTCTTTCGTGGCTGACACAGCAAAGTCATTTGGAAATTCGTGGAGGAATCACCGATTTGCAGGAAAAGCACATTAATTTTGTTTAGCATTCGCATAAGCTTTTCAGCTTAATCTGCAATGAGGTTTGGGGTATATCCATCACTTTTCCTGACTTTATTGTTGAGCGGTAAATGCTTCCAAAGCACTCCCAAATCTGCTTACCCGTTCGTAATTCGCACAGTCCTGAGACGATTCACTTGTCAGTTTGATATTACTGGGGTGTGAGCTGAATTTCGTGGATGAAGTCATCGGGTGACACATCACGGTCAACATGGCCATGACCAGGCTGGTCTTTATCCGCTTCAAATGCCCAAATTATGTCAAAATCAGAAATAAAATTCCATTCCAGCGAATTAAATGCATAGGTCCAATAACAGCATATTTATAGCCTGTCCTGGCGAACTATATATAAGCGCAAGAAATTGATTAAATAAAATTAAAGGCATTTAATTTTCCTATTCCTTTCTCTTCGTAGATAAACAACAATGATTTTAGTGTTGTTTACAGGTTCTATTTCCTATTGCAGAGAGGTGGGATAAGATAGTGATTCCCACAGGAAAAAAAGCACGTTAAAAAAAAAGAGTGCGCTATTATCTTTTAGAGCAAAACATAATGGGGCAGAAAAAACCTAAGGGGATGTGTCCGGTAACAATAGTCTCTAGAGTGTCTACAGGTTTTGGCCATGCAGGGGGTACCCCTCCGTCCCGTATCTTGCTGCCATGGGTATATGCACTGTTTATGATGGATCCTTTGCCCCTTTTTGAGTCAATGATGGAGTAACAAAACCCTGCCTTTAAAACAATCGTGGTAATATCTCTTTATGGAATATGCATTCCTAAATGTACCGTGCTGCAGTGTGGTGATTATGCCCCCTCCCTAAAAAAAACGGTGGGATTAGTAGTGGATACGTGGAAAGCCACAAAGAAGCAAAATAGGAACAAGTTCCTCTTTTCAGGTGTGGAGGAAGTCCCTGGCTGATCCCTAATGGCGCCTGGAAACATAATACCTCCTCATTTCATTTAGTAAATTGTAAAATTTATCTCTTCATAAAGTACTTACGTTTCTCTGTCTGACCTAGGCCCTATATATAACAGCAAAAATCAAGGTAAGGTTTTAAATGTACACTTCTCTTGTGACGGTTTTGAGTCCTCCCCAAGGAAGTTCCAAATACATGTACTAGAGGTGGTGGATCCTTTTGCAGTCCAGTTATGAATTCAGAGCAATTATGCGCCAGGAAACTTGAGTATGGAACAGGGTGTCTCAGGCTTTCCTGCCTATTTTAACTGAATTAATACTTTAAAAACCTCCAAATCTCGTGTGCATGTATGGATTTCTACGGCAGACCACCTCAAAAAGTTTAATATAATTTTCATTTGTAATTTGAGACGTATTAATTAATCGCATCGCTTTCAGTTGTGATACATGAATCAAGAAATGAATATCTTTTCCCCTGCGCCCAACGAAAAAATCATGGACCGTTTTCATCGCACTGAAGATAAACATGCAGGAAGTGGTACTTTAATTTATGGCATTGCGTCCTGTGTCATTTCAAATACTGGTTACGGTTTATCAGATAAGAGTACAATTTATTGTCCGTTTGGTTTGACACATAACACATGTATTGCTAGCATGAGGTTGTGTTTCCCTTCAATTAAGGTGCCTGATCTGAACAAAATGCCCGGAGTTTCCATGATCTGTCTGTCTAGTTAATTAACCTTTCAAAGGCCATTGACGAACGTTTCCCGGGAGAAAAATGTTCTACGCGACATGTTGTTGTTTTGGGGGTCGGGTAAATTTGCGAAGCATTTTGCAGGTTGAAAATTCATGATACATTCACTTTTTTGAAACAGTAATTTCTAGCATAAAGGATGCACGCAGTAATTATTTTTGTATCGAAAAACAAAGCTCCTCGCCGATTTCTCTAGTCGCCAGACAGCTTGAGTGTACGTGCATTAAATGATTTCCTCACTGCCTTGCTTTCTTATAGCCGAGGAGGTACTGTATGACACTAAATAACAAACAATGAAAGGGGTTACCCTGGGGGTTTCCCTCTTTATTCATCCTGAGCATCTCAAGGTTGGGAGACACGACTGACGAACAAGGAGCTCGGATAATCATTTCGAACGCTGCCTTTGACGAACACAATGACATCTGCGCGGTACACTTGTGTTTCGGGTTTCAACCCGTCTTCGGACAACGCCTTCGTTCTTTCCAGGCCCAGAGCGTAAGCTTGATGTGTCGTGTACATGAAAAAATGTCAGTGTCACTAAGATTTCATTACCCCCACCTCCCTGGCAGCCGTCCTAAGGTTCGGCAGGGGTTCCCTTGTCTTCAGTAAAACCCAGATTAATTTTATGCTCTGCTAAGTGCTATGTTTATTTTGATTTAACTGTTTGGTCCAGTGTTCAGTTTCAACTCCACACTTTTGCTTCATACTTGATTTGCAACAGAATTCCTAAATCTCTTAACCTGTTTTCGAGTTAGATCATCATCCCATAACACGAATTGAAGAGTCCAGTTCTTTCCGCACGCTAGGCCCTATTTACGACGTAATCTGAGGACGCAATACGTGACCTTCAAAACGATGGGCCCGGAAAATGGCCTCAACCCTAACAGTTGAAAAGCTATCCTTCCCTATTGTCACTCTCACGGATTTCCCTGTGCGGTGTTAGGATGGGGCTGTTCAGGCACGAGTGACACGGAAATCCACACCTGACTAGGCACGCGTGCAGTGGCCATAGCAATATTTGAGTCGATACCGCTTAACTGAACCATCTACATGCACAAAGCTGTGAACTTTGTCATACCGTAGAGCTAGGAACACACATGTATCAATGCTTCTCACCGAACTAGAGCAAAATCTGTGACAGTATCAAAGGTGTTTTGCAACTCGTGCGTAAGATTATTTTTTTTACGAACGTGTCCCACTTCAGCTAATTAAAGGTGACCAGGAGGCCTGCTTCGTGTTCCATTTACTTGAACGCTACGTACGTTGCTGCTGTGGAATTTCGGTAAGTCTAGCCAGCTCCACGATATGCCAGTGTATGACCGAGGCTGACTCTTCAAGAGTTTTGAGCGTTCTGAGATACAGTTGTAGTTTATTTGCTGTTGTTTAGACAGGTTTCAAGGTGATTTGTAGATATACCTGCACGGGAACATTGTTTACAAAAAATATAGCCCTTTGAGTTGAAGCTCATTTTTTTCCCTTTTTGAAACAGTTTTTAAATGATAGCCCCTGGTAATGAAATAATGCTTCCAACACTGAACAAAAAGTCTACATAGCTCTACTGATTGAATATTGGTTGCATCTGCACTACGTTGGACGATTGATATCAATTTTCATTGAAGAAATTTTGGTGTATTATATTTTAATGTTGTCGGTTAGCTTTCATCTCATTCTGCAAACCCTTATATTTTGCAGCAAATTAAAAAAACAAAAACTATCGTCATGCAAGGTCCTTCGGTCGTGGCACAGCAGTGCTTGATTATTTTCCTATTGCGGAAGTCTGCGCGATCAATGAAAAAGACGAACGCATGATGGTGAAATCATTCGCTTGTTCCCATCTGCGCTCTTACACCACTGAGACGGGGTTGGGCTAAGTTTCAAATGTCACAAGGCTTAACAACCAGTGTACGTTCACTCAGCGTGCACGTCACGTTGATTCCAGTTATTGCGCAAATTATGTAATTGTCCAGTGAGGGCTCGAGGAAATGACGTCATGCATCTGAAGAATTAAGTTAACACATTCCAGGACCCAGTAAGGGTGGTGAAAACAGACGAGAGGGATTCGCTGAAATAGACGTTTGGCCTGTTATACAGGTATAATAATCGTCACCTGCACTTTTTTCTCATGGGGTCTTACATTGAGACATACTCACATGTAGTTTGCAGCTTGTCACAGTTGCCTCCTCAGTTCCTTTTTTGTGCGTTAATCTTTACAGTACATGTTTTTTGCGTCTGTAGTTCAAGCTTTGCAAGTACTGTGGTCGTCATGTTTAGGGTGCATGCATGCTTCAGCCCATTGTCAACACTGACCCACGCTGACAAGAACAAACTAGTTTCCGTTTGTGGGGATATTCCCCAGATATGCCCCTTCATTGAGTCCGCCTGATACAAAAAAATTGTCTTTGTGAATGATTCTTTGTATCTGTTTCTGATTGTAAATCACTAAAAAAAGAAGAAGAAAACTGTCCATGGAATTGTCTCTGAGGTTCTCGTCCCTTGTGTCAAAAAGGAAAGAAACACTTGCATAATAAGTACTATTACACAGCAAAGCTCTGCCCACGAACTCGTGAAAGTTTATACTGAACCAGCTGAAGTCTTTCAGGGGTATCAACTTGTCCAGAATTTGGCTTTCTCAAGTTTCTGATTTTAACTTTTCGATCCGAATTCTTGAATTCCGTTGCCGTCATCATGCCTATGGTATTGGAATAATATACCTCTGGCCTTTGGGTTTAATTGACTCTGGTTCGGAAAAAGAATAGACACATCACAGCCTAAACAGTTAAATGATATAACTTATCTCATTTCAAAGTGCGTAGGGATTACTTTACAATACAGGTTGCGTAGGTCTGTAGATTTCGTGGCCATACATTTGTTGAAAATTCCCATTTCGGTATAGGCCTACCCAGAACTTACTAGCATTTGTTTTTTTCATGCTTTACAGGGCTTCCGCACCATTCAAGCAGGCCTTGGGGTTGGCCTAGATTTGGTGTGATGGCTATGCCGGCACGTAGGACCGATCTCTGGTCCAATATCACCGTGCTGCGCAAGGCCGTTCTCATCTTCACCGTTCTGGCTGGCCTGGTCGGTCCCGTCCCAGCAAGCTTCATCCGCTTCAAGCCGGACACAGAGTACATCTATTCCTTCCACTCTTCCACGGATTTGAAGAAAGTTAGGACGTTGCGTGTGGAATCCAAGGTATCGGTATTTTTTATTATTCGGATCGAATTTCAAAATATTTACTTTTTTTACCTCTCTGTCAGTGTAAACAAACCCGAGGTGAACCCCCCCAACAAAAATCAGTGAATTTTTGTGATAAAAAAATTATGTAGCATGTTTCCTGTTCCGAAAGTTGATATATTGAAAGGTATAGCTTGGGAACGTTGCCAAGGGCATATCGCAGCAAACAAGGAACTTTTGCAGGAAATATAGCAAAGAGGAAGCCAGAAGAATTAATTACCCGGTACCTGAACTACTCCATTCAAAGTTCAGCAATTTGGCTGCGTGAAAAAGGAGAAACGGTCAGGTTACTGAGACATCCGGCAGTATTTTTCAGATGAAATTACACTCTGCAAACTGGGGATTCATGGTACTGACTTGAATCCGGTTATGCATTCCTCACCGCAATTTCCATCCCCTGGATGACAGGCAAGGGCAAGTTCACATCCGACTAAACCCAATTTCCGATTAGTAGAGCAAACAGCGGGCTTCCTTTGAACATCATGGAGGGGAGTAGTTGGAAACTCTCCAGATAACAACAAATTTAAAAGTACAAACCGTCAGAACATAGTTACTACATGTATTATATACTTACCTCGTGTAAACTTTTGATGCTTATTAATCACCTCAAAAAGTGAAGGAAGAACACTATAATAATTTTAAAGATTCACCTGCAAAAATCCTGAATGTAGCCATGCAAATAAACATGTAGGCTAGATGCGCTAACCTTAGATACCTAGTGAGGAATTGTGAAGAAAAGATGTCCACACGATGCAAGAAAGGAAGACGTTCTGTGGACTTACACTTGTCCACAGGACGTTTCCCCTTCTCTGAAAAAGGGGTTTAGAGGCATTTTGGGGTAGGGGTCATCTGTCGTAAAAGGAAGAGGAAAAGTCAAGGAAACCTTGTTCAAAAAGCCAGTTGAAAATCGTGTTCCCAGTTCAAGAAAAACGAGTATTTTCACTAAGTTTTCTTAACTGTACGAAAAGAAAAGAATGTCCACACTAGGTATGTAAGGTAAGTGGGTATACACGTAACATCCCCGATAAAAAAGAAGGTTATGGCTCTGGTCGTATTCGCCTCCTCAGGGAAAAGTTTATCATAAGCCTACGTATTCCTGTTCTCAAATGACAAACTGTAGTGCTGTTGGCCTGCGTTTTAACGCCATCACAAAGACGAAAATGCTGAGTTGGGTTATTCATTTGTTTTGAACCTTAGATTGGCTTCGTTTTGGTGAAAAGATCGAACAGTGATCATCAAGAAATTTACCTTCGGGTTCACTCTGCGGAAGTGACCAGCGAGGAAGAACAAGGTAACTGTAGATTTTGTGGGATTCCCCTGGGTTACCCTTCATTACTGGAGGGATAGGGCCAAGGGCGTATGCCTCCTTCCTCAGCGGATATCTGTGCCTCACCAGTGCCGCTCCTCTTGCATGAACAAAACCTGTATACTGGCGTCTTTGTGTTGCCTTTCATGTCCCTCCCCCGAAAAAATGTGTGAACCCTTCAAGGCTCGAGAGCTTACGCCACTTGTCCCTGACGATCTTGTTAATAGTATACCAAGGTACATCTGGTTTAGCCGTGTCGTTTAATTTCAAATATGATCCCGATATTCATTTTTGTCTGTATTCCGTTTCATGTTGTTGTTGTTTTTTTTTTTGGTTTGTTTTTGTTCTTCCGTATTCCCCGTGCACGTGTTTTGAGGTGCCGTGACGCTATTTATGCGAATGGTTTTACGGGCGTCAAGAACCCCATTTCTCATGTTTGCGAAAAGGTTTAGTATTTGCGTATGAGGATGCATGTTTTCCAGCATTGCTCTCTGATGAAACCAGTTCCACTTTTTTTCATGAACTGAAGCTGCTTTGTCATGTAACAATTTTCTTCAAAACACTTGCGCAATTCTTTCTGTAGTTGTTAAATCGTATGTTCCTGGTGTCTTCCAACTTTTGTCAGCGTGAGGAGAATGTAAAATGCACTAACAAACTCTTTTAAAATAGGTGGAAAACACCATTATAGCCTGCTTTCTTACAGAAAAACACCCTCAGTATTACAGCTGTGCTCAATAAGTACTTTCAAATTCAGTTCACAAACTAGAAACAGGATGTTTATTGGTTGCCATGGGAACCATTGAAATGGAAGTATGTACTGATATACGAACTAATTTTTGTTTGAGCCACGTCAATTAAACGGAACTCGTTAATATTTGCAATTTACTTTACACAAACCGGACTCGTCCCAGACTGGAATTTTGAGCCATTCACAGACAACCATCGGGACAGTCGCACAGAATCACTACATTCATTTTGTTATGGAACCCCTGCATGTGTTCCTAGCCAGGTATACAGTACAGGACATGGGACAAGTGAGCCCAAATCATCAGGTTTTGTTGTTAATCGCACAGCAGGTTCCAAAATAGTTTCATAAGTTGCTCTGGGGTTTATTTTTTAATGCTCTGCTCACCGAAAAACGGGCATTCCTTTAAAAGAATACATTTTGGAGGACCACACGCGCGGTTCAGTGAGCTAGATATCTTTTCCTGTCCCGATTATTTGGATGCATGATCATGTCGCAGTCACTGGTTGCTGTTGTGATGTAACTAGGCCCCCCTATGTCTGTTTTGCGGATGCAGGGACTAAAGTGTAGATCAACAACAGCCTTAGGTTCATCGGTGGGCAACATGTTCTTATAAGGTGTGGCACGGCTCAGTTCTTTCCGAATACGAGGATCATTATTACTCAAATAACGTGGTATTCAGAATTAAATCGGATTTCCCTCTGCTTCCTGTCACAACCCCAAAAAAACCTCCCCAAAGAAAATTCTATTCATGATGCTACTGCAAGCTACAGCTGCGAGGCAGTTGCTCCGATGTAGAGAATAAATCGAGAGATTGAAAGAGCATTATTCTCTCGTCCTTTGCCTTTGAGGTTAGCAAATGAAATGAAATGAACTCGACCAACCCGGATGTTTATGGGTTGCCATGAGAACTATAGAAATGGAGATACTGACCAAATACTTGGCGGCAAATCTACACAATAGAATTTCTAGTGCCCTCAAGCATTTTGTGTCCAATCGTTTTCACAGTTTAAATCTAGTGATAATGTCGGTTCACGCTTGGTTCGAAAAACAATCAAGAACGCAACACTGTGACATCAGAATTCGCAAAAGTTGAGCACATTTCAACTCAAGCGAGTATTGCTGCAAATGTTTTGTGGCGTGGAAATAGCTTACTTTCGCATTTGCCTAAAATGAACCGGGCAGGCCTCAAATTTGGTGTGTTTTGAGCCGTTTTAGTGAAGAACCACAATACCACTTTTCTAGCAGTTGTAATTCAGGTTTTCATAAACAGTTGAAACATGTTCAAAACCGTAGGACGAGAAGACCGAACCGTTTCCTGTTTTCTGGCAACAGTTTTACTGGTTGATCTGGATAAAAACACTTGGCGCGGAGCGAGCTTAACGCCAACTTCAAACGCCAGACCCAATACTCTTAGTGTAAATTGGAAAAATGAGCACATTTCTAATTCAAAGCAAATTTCTCCGCAACTGTTTCATGAAGTAAAATCCGCTTAGCTTTCGCCGTCACCTGAATATGATCTATAGTTCTAGTTAAAAAAAAATCGCTTTTCAGCGGCTTCATGCATGTCAAGATTGTGTTCCTCAAACCTTGCCCATCCTGATTTTTCGTATCAATGATCCTGTCACAGCTATTGTGTGCTGTTTTTCTCGCTGGTTTTTCTTTTCTAGTGACTCAAGTGTTGACCATGAATTAAAGAGCCCCAAATTAAACTGTGAACAGCACGCACTCTTTGTCAAAGTTGACCTTCACACCCTTGTGCTTACGGGCAAATGCATGTGTTGAATATTCGTGCAAAGAACCTTCAACGGACGATGACGAAAACAAACATGCCGGTGTTGGGATAAATAAACTGCATTTTATACCAATGCCGCCTTTTGTTGTTTTTTTAATTGATCTTTAAACATATTCTTTACAGTTCCCGTAAGCGAGGAGAGAAACTTTGATGAGTGGTAAGTTTGAAAAGATGGTCCTAAGAAATTCCTCCCAGAATGTTTATATAGGATTACTGTATAATAAGCAATTATTGTACGAACCAAGAGGCTGGAATTATAGCAGATATTGCCTTTTGTCCTGGGAGTCCTTTAATTTAGCAAGTTTTAAGACGTGAAGATGAAAACATGTCATCAACTATGAAAATATATGCCATATGCAGGGAGTTTCCCGTGCAGAAAGGGCATGGAAATCAATGATTGATCACCATTAGCTCACGAACTAAGATTGCTCGCTCTTAGGTTACAAACTAAGATAAATGTCGGTTTCTTACTCTTTTGGGTAGGTTTTCTTTTGATGTCAGTGAGAATGGAGTAATTGGTCATGTGTACTACCCCCGTGATGAAGATGATCACGTGATCCTGGCCAAAAAGGGTCTGACCAGCTTGTTGGCCAGTAACCTTCAACATCCCCCCGATGGCACGGTAGGCCTATGCTGCTTTGATTCACTCAAGGCCTACTCAAATTATCAAGATGAAGTATATTTGGCACAGTTTGCCTATTACGGTTTCGGCATGCGCAAAGAAGTCATGTAAAACTTTCCGTTAGCAAGGGCTGTGAATTTAGGGTGACAATTGCTCTATACCGTGAGATATTTCAGAAAAGCATAACTGCTTCTTGGTCATTAGACTCCCAAAGTTTCCTTCACATCTTCCGTCGTCTTTTGTCACGTTTCTCAGTTTCCTCCTGACTGGAAACTAACTGATTCTTGGGGAAATGACTTGTATCAATCTCAGTATTCTAACTCGTTACAGATCAAGATTGTACTGTTTCACCCTGTTACTCGTGACTGCTCTACGGTGGAAAGACTTATGACAAGACATTGACTACATCCCTTCTTTTGTTTTACCAGGTGAAAGAAAACGGTTGGAGCTACAATTGCACTGAGTCGGGTCACGAGGGTCACCATGAGGCGTCATACACCGCTCAGATGGCTCCGGGCAATGATGGGATCATCGTCTTCACTAAGACAAGACATACTCATCCAATACCATACGGCAAATCCAAACACCAAAAGGTGACAGTGCATTTTGTTCAATCAGTGGTCATTTTGTAGACAAACAGAGAGAAATCCCACAATTATGTTGTGTCCCTTAAGTACTGCCGCCGCCATACTTTGAATGGAGACAAGACTAAGCAGACAATGAAATGAAGATACCAATTGGGACTACTTCGTTGTCAGTCCTTTTTCTTCTTCTTTTGAAACTAGAGAAATTCAAGATTTTTTTCTTTTAGATAATTATGTAAAATATTGTTTAGGATGATACTTTTTCGTCTGGTGTCTTAAAAGGAGTCATTTAAGGTAAAGGGAAACAGGGATTCCTAATTCCATTAGAAGAAATTATGCTTTAATGCTTCAAGTAACCATTTCTGACGACTTAGTATCATTTTTATTCCATAAATATATTCAGACTTTAGAATCTAATTTGCACTTACATGACCCATTCCGCCTCGATGAACTGCAGGAGATCCACTATCACCAGGGCATGCAACTACCAACTATGGTGAAGATTATGGACCACTTTGATGCTCCCAGGAAGTCAACACCAGGGTATGATTGGGGCTTCATATAAAAATGTCCCCTTCAAAACACACATTTAAAACGCTAAATGTTTCTTTCAGTCGAGTTCATTTAATAAAGTGCATCTCAGCCCAAGACTCTGTCAGCCATTAAAAAGAGCTATTTATTGCAACCACTAATCTACTGAAAGTGATCTCGTGATCGCCATGCTAAAACGTCAAAACCTTTTCAAGCAAAATGAATTGATCATTTTCTTTCATCTTTCTGCATCGGAGGGGTCGTCCTTAAGTGGAGTTTACCTTTAAACATGCCCATTACAAATATAGCATTTTTAGATCCTATTGTTCGGTTCAACTTGGGTTAAAATCTTTACAGTTTTAACTTTCTTGGAATCTGCAAAATTCCAAATGTCTTCCCCCATTTTTCTGTATGCCTCACAATTTCTATTGTGTCGCCCCAAGAAAACGTAATATTTTCAATCTGATAGGTCTTCGTTAAAAATGTTTGAAATGTTTTTCAAAATTGCAGTCAATTAAAATGTTGAGGTCACTTTTCCACGCCCGCAGTTGCATGTTTTACCCACAGAATAATTGTTTTTGTTTAATTAAAAACATATGGAATGATGCATGGTTTCCATTTCACAGATTTGAGCATGGGCTCCAGAGGAGTGAAGAAGATAAAGGAGAAGATTTCGGTATATATGTCTACTTAAATGCATATATATGCACTTTTCGATTATTTCCTCTTTTCCTTTTGCGAAAAAAACTTAAAGTAAGACCGGCAAACCGAACAGCTACACCTGTCATTGTCATATTCAATCACAGTCACAATGAAAGGCCATTAGAGGCTTAAACACATCAAATTCTGAAGAAGAAAACCAAATCGATACTTTCAGGGTTTTGCCAAGAATTATCGCCCAGTAGCTCGCAAAACAAATTACGCTCATCGCAGTAAGTTTGTTGAAAGACAGCGGCTGTATCACAGATGGGCCAGGCAGTTGAAATAATTCGTTTTAGAGTGGAATTCCCACAGTGAAAACCGTGACTTGTACAATTATTAATTGCAAGCCTTTCTTTAGCACCAGAGGTGTCTTTTTTGGAGATCATTTTCCAATCTGAACTGGGGTAAGAATTGAACAATTTCTTGCTGTACTGTAATGTTGTTCAGAGCTTCCGGAGATGCAGAGCTACTCCGAAGGGCAGCTGACCTTTGTCCGGGAAGCACGCTACCCCTCGCCCACGGGGCCACCCGATGAGGAGGATATCATCACGGACTCAATACACCTGAAGATGGTCAGTCGACCGACAGTTCCTATTTTGTTTTAGAAATCGAAACTTCCCTTTACTCTAAACCTAGCTTCGTAGAGTCTTAAGTACAGAAAAAATCGAAAACTCCATGAAGTTTTTTCTTGCTTTTATTTAACATAATTTTACATCGATTCAAAAAGGCAGAATTTAATTTCGTTATTTAGTTTTGGAGGTGTACGTTAATGCTGTTGAGATTTTTTTGAAAAGCGACATGTGCAGTTGGAGTTGTTTCCACATTTTTCTGAACAGTCATTTACTTCGCGACCATAACCTTGTTAAGATCTGTGTCACAAATCGGCTGAGGAAGGATTAGTTTATTGGTAAGGCAATAAATGCGTTTTTTGAAGATGAGGGGCAGATGAGAATTAAGCAGTGTGCACTCCACCTGATTGTTTGTCAGCTTTGATGTCCCAAGTCTTGAAAGTGGTGCATTCCATTCAAGAGCTTAATTTGTTTTTCTAATTAACGTTGCTGAAAACTTTTTTCCTCAGACACCAGATAGACACCAAAATTTCAACTTAACAGAACTGAAGGAAGTCATAGCAGGTAACCTGACCTGCATGAGAACGGCATCAGTGAAAGGTAAAAGCACATATTACTACAGTTCTGCAAGAGTAGATTTTAGGGTACGGTGTGATTGGTAATTCAAAACTCCTCCTTTTGTCTGACCGGTCTTACTCTTTGAGCGTATTTCCTCTCCTCAAATTATACAGAACTTTAAATCTCAGATTGGGCTTGTGCTGTCATGAACAGTCAACCATTGATCAAATCTCAGGTTAATGCATTATGAGGTGCTTTCACATCATCATTTAATGAACAAAATTAGCATTTTACCGTACTGTGCTTTTGAAATCAACAGGTCCCAATGACCCGAACAAGTGTTTCCAGGGTTTAGTAAGAGCTTTCCAATCTGTGCCCGAAGGACAGCTGAATGAAATTGTTTCTCCTATGTATAAGCTGCCACTCTCCAGGTAATTTCCTCGGTAGCATGTCCTGATTAAGGGTAGGGATGGGAGCCGAAACGCCCTTTATTCTGCAAAGCGTCAGAAAAACTGTTAACAGCACACAGTGCTCCTTGTGAAACGCAGATGCTTTCATTTCAATGTAACTTAGAACCTGACACCTCTCTATATATGCTTCAACCAAAAAGTGACAGACAGACAGATTGAAGAACATTGTGTGAAAGAACTGAACTCAAAAGGCCATTTTGGAAGCCTATACTGAGCTGTTTGGCATCTATATCCCAATTCCCCTATGCTGTGTGAATTTTTTGAAATAATCCCTCGGACATAAATCGAACTTGTTTAAGTGAGAAATGTTGAAATGATTATTTACTCAATTAAAAATAGCTGCTTTTCCTGGCAAATGATGTAAAATTAAGTACATTTTGTATTATATAACAATATAATGATAAATTTGGAAGATCGTTTATTAGCTTTCAGAAATAGATACTCATATTCAGGTTGTGCCAGTGTCCAGCCTGTGTCGTAGTATGCCAATGTCGATTGAGACTTTCTCTTCTGCTCCTTGGTGTTTCAGTTTTCCGTGGTTGCAGAGTTCAGTTGCAATTAAAACAAACAAAAAACATGCAAAACAAAACAACGTTTCATGGTTCTTTTTCGGTCAGACGGAATACTACATTATCAAAAAACACACTTTTACTCAACGCAGACGTGTTCGCGACAAGCAGGATCGGCAGAACATGATGGATGCGGTTGCCGCCCTGCTGACAGATGCGTCACTGTCACTCCTCACCGATCTGATTCTACTGTCTCCAAAACCAAACAAGGAGCTGGTAGAGAGACTACTCATCACCTCAGCTGGTTTCGAGCACACTGTTTCGGAGGTGATGCAGGTCTAGTTTTTGGTACAAGTTTCTTTTAAAGTATCCCCTTCGCAGAAATGAGAATCTAAAAGAGTGTAATGATGTGAAATATTTGGTTTTAGCAATCGTGCGGGTGAAAAATCTTTGTTTTTGTGTTTGTTTTTCGTGCAGCATTTCCTGGCGACTGTTGAAGATATTGTCTTCCAGCCTGGAAAATATCCAGGTAAGTTTTGCGGGTAAAAAAGGGAACAAAATGCATATAGTTATTTTTGTTCAGTTAGAAATTTTGTTTCCACTGTATTGAAACACTCAGTTACTAAATTAACAGATCACATCAGATGGAAGGCCTTTAATGTTTAGATAATTACAAACAAATCTGTTCAAATCTGTAACAATTGTTCCATTCTCTAGAAATTTTAAGACATCCTGAGACACAGAGAATAGCTGTTATGGTTCTTGGTGCTCTAGCCGGCCATCAGTGGAAGACTGGATACAAACATCAAGCAGAATCTATTATCCTAAAGATAGAAGACAAACTGGGCGTTCACGGTAAGTTTGAAAGCTCTGATAAAAATAAATCTGGCACTATTTCCTTCGTTTTACTTCTAATTCTGAACTGGGTTCAGTATGTTTTGGGCAAAAGCATGTGGAGTCTAAAAGCATCTGATGCAAGAAAAAAATGAGTATTTATTCATTTTCCTAGCCTAAAGGTATATATCCTTTTGTCGTGCAAACTTTTTCTATCATCGTAGATCCCTGGGGATATGAGAGAACCTTGACGTCTCTCACTGAGGACGAACAAGAAGAGTTCCACCACGACACAGTGGCTTTGATTGAAGCCCTGGGCAATGCTGGGCTGCATCGCTCCTTCGCTCACATAGAGAGCTTCACCAACTCCAGCGCCACTCATCCGCTGCTGAAAAGGGCCGGCCTGCACTCCATGAGAAACTACCATCATGACTTGGTAGGCAAATTAGTTAATGAGGCCTTGGCTATTATTACGCTGTGCCATAGCTGCGCCAAATTGAAATAATCTGACTTTTGAAATATCGGCACGGCAATTGCACTGCGTTTAGCGCCAACATAGGTTGGCACATTTGGCTTAGAATAAGCTCGACAGAGTATGCCGCGCCATCTGTGTTCTAGGCGCTGATGGCACAACAGAGTTTCATTAAGTTTTGCATGTAGCATATCTACTGCGCTATTACCATGCCGTGGCCAGTAGTCAAGTTCTAATTAAGTTTAACTGACTTTCTCCGAAGGGAGTTATGGTGTTTCAATATGTTTAAATTTTCCGAAAACGTGATTTTTTCATCACTGGTGAGAATTACTATTTCTGGTTCCGGTTGTCAGTTGCTCTCGTTTTTATTTTCTGTAAGAAAAAAAGAGATGTATTTCTCCCCAACAGAAGTGTTTAAAGTTGTCAAGCCTGATAACCTCACCCATTTGTGCACGATATGCGATTGTATCAAAAGATTAGGTCTCAAATATCCGTGATACGCTTAGTTTCCTTGCGTTCGTTTGCATTCACTTGCAATTTTTACATGAATAGGCTGCAGAGACTATGTTGAAAGCTGCCCTGGATGATAACGAGGATGAACATGTCAGATATGAGGCTTCACTGTTCTACAAAGTTCATCCAAACGGTGGCAAGCAAAACATCTCCAAGTTTATCAGCCCCGAGGGGTGAGTTCACTTGTTCGAATGTTAATGTTATTTTTGATCCGTAAGCTATCATCATCATCATCATGTGCAAATACATTTGATCAGTTATTTGATATTAATTGTTATTGGATATGAACGTTTTTGAAGAGCAATTTCGTATGAGCAAAGTGTTCTTCTTTTTTGTTTGTTTTTTTGGTTTTTTTGGCCATTTTTAAACTCTATATATCTATTCTATCTTCCACAGTGTCTCCGGCTCCAATTCTTCCCAAGACGTAACCACTACAGAAGTAGCGAGCGTTCCTTCCAGGCACCGTGTCCGGCGCGGTTTCTTTGACGGCATCGAATTGAAGTTGGCCAGCCCGTCAAAGGATTGGAAGAAGCTTATCGGCAAAACACAGACAGGAGCAGAGTTTGGATTGACCATCAGAAACCAACTAGACATGAAAATAGGTAAAGAGTTTGACTCAGTCATGAATGTACCGATCAGAATGCTAGCCCATTTCTTGTCGGGGAAAAACATTTTTGTAAACAGAGCGAGTTGTACATCAGTGAAAAGATCTCTCTGCACCTTGTTGGATCTTTAGTTGCAAAGAACTCGAAGTAGCCACTTTAATTCGAAAGCTGAAACTTTCAAGCAAAGCCGTACTTTCCTCTATTAATTAAATTACTCTCCACAGTAAACTGTGATAGCCTGTGCGGCCAAAATGCTCAAGTGTCACTACACGTAACAAAGCTTATGACCCGCCTAATGGGAAAAAAGGATGCCTTGAAGATGAGGACATGAACTCTCAAACGTCAATAATTTTTTCATCAAGATTTAGTAAGTGTCTCGCCTTTTCAACATAACAGCTCCACTCAGCGGCCATCTCCGTGTGGATCTTTACGACGAGGCTTATGCCACTGTTCTGGTTGGACTTGTTGGTCAGAAATTTGACATGGCCAGAGCCCGCTTCTGCTTCAATGGGTACATCGAGTACAACCTCAACATTTTACAGGTAAACTGTAAGAGAGAAATGGATTACGCCTATCAAGATTTCAAGATGCTCGGGTACGCTCGAGCCTGCTGGAGACATTCTCGTATTGCAAAATTCAATGATCATGACGAGGTTGGTGACTTGTTTTAGGAAAGATAAGAACCAGAAAGTAGGACAAATGTATTGCAGTCACGTATACAATCACAAATAGGCCCTACATTATGCATGACCACTGAAACAAGCCACCAGCTTTGTACTGATTAGTTGTTTTCAGCACTCATAATGACCAGATAGATATATAACGTTGAGTACAATATGATTGGTATTTCGTTTCGATGACAGGAATTTGGCGTCGACCGTATTAATGAACTTACAAAATTATATGACACTGTCATTGGGAAAGTCGTTGGTAACATCGTGAGAGGAGTGGACATCATCGTTGATCTATTCAACGGTGACAGTAGAATCAGCGAGCTTTTTGATGAATTAGTGCAGACACTTGAGGGCATCCCAGGACGTATCAGTGTAAGTGTACTTTCATCACTGTGGTTATTAAATTAATGTTCAGTACCTAACCTTCATCGGCCTTAGGTGGTCTTTGTATCTGGCAATTTGACAACTTTTGGCCCTTCACCCGTAAATGTCTTTCATTTTGTTTTCTTTACTTCTGTGTCATTTTGTCACAAGTTTTCACAAACATATGGGGCACATAGGTTCATAATTGTTAAGATCAAAGAAATTCCATCGAATGTCTCAAATTTCAGGAAGTTGTGGTCACGTCACCCACCGAGCAGCCCAATGATGGCGATTGTGATCATGGTAATGGTCACACTGATTACATACAACCCAAGATACCGTCGGGGTCACATCCCTGCTTTGTGTAATCTAATGCGAAATTTCCAGTTTTCGTGGATCAAAGAATCTTTTGAGTTTGGGTTTTTAAGTTAAAGATGATACATAGTCATGTAGTAAATAATCTTGAAAGTTGAACATTTCTCCTCTGTTTTGGAATAGAATGTAAGATCGGCAGCAGCTAATGCAGTGGCCCGACTGTCTCAGTTTGACCCAGACCAACTTCCACCTTCCATCAGGGGGGTCATCGGTGTGGTCAACAAGGCTGCCCAGCTCTTCAGTGATATCAAGACTGATGTCATGGAATTCTATCAGGTTTAGTTTTACGTTCTTTATAATTTTGGAGTTTCAGATGTGTTTTTTTTAATGAAACATCTTGTCTGCACCTTATTTTGTGATGTGTTTAATGTTTTATAATTAAGCCGAAAAATATATGTGAAAAGGTTTGAGAACCTCTTCAGATAGTGTCAAATTTATCTTAAGTGTTAAGAAATAACCTTTTTGTGTTATTACAGGCTGTCAATGAAGCAATCACTGTCACTTTGCCCTGGGCAGCAGAGCAGATCTGGACGTCCATTATTTCAATTTCAGACACCATTGGTGACTTGTTAAAGTCACCTTTGAAAGCCATTGGTGATATCTTCAAAGGAATCATCAAGTAAGAGTTTACAGTTGTTATGACTCTTAACTAAAGACCCACAAGGCACTGCGAGCGATCTGTTCAATTTTCAAAAGAAGTTTCAATATAATCTCCATTTGAAGTCCTGCTAATAGCGACTGCTTCAGTAAAAACGGAAGGAAAAGAGAGAAGTAACAAAATTGCTGCGACTAATCTAGCAGAAGTGCATGCCAGAATAGCAAAACATACTTTTATTGCACCTTAAGGTAAGGCTGTTGGAGATTTGAAACAGGCTGACTTGTGTTAATCTGTATCTACTTTGATCATGTGGGATCATACTTTTTTTTATATTTCCTTCGCTTGGGCTGCATCCGAATCTCTTGTCTAGAGCTAGGTCTAGGTCTTCGTTCCATTGGAAATGCGTGGAGACGCGTAGACAATAGACCTAGCCGTAGCTCTGGAAGCCCGTTTCGGACACGGCCTCAGGACGGAGTTCTTTCCAATATGATCGAATTCTTTATAATCCATCCAATACAGTATCAAGACGGCAGTCGATGCAGTTATTGAAGCCAAGATGAGAGTGGATGAAGCCAACTTCTTCAAGGAAGGTAAGGGACATGAGGAATAAGTTGAAGAGGAAAGTTCAGAAAAGGGAAAGAGCAAAGGGGCCTTTGTGGAAAAAGTTTCCTCTTTTGATTACTTGCAACAGTTCAGCTTATACACGACAAGGGAAGGGTGAAAGACAAAAAGGAGAACATGAAGCAACAGAGGAGTTGCATAAAAGAAGTGTGATGCAGTGATTTGCTCAAGACTATCAAAAGCAAAACAAAGGAGGACTTATGAATAAACTTGTTACGAATGGATGAAGTACACCCAAATAATTATAGTGGACTGGGGGGGAGTGTTGGATAAAAGAAGAGGAAGTCATTACAAATGATGATTACATGTTGTCAAAGGATAGAGAAGGTATTTCCCATCTTGTAAATAACCTTTAGGATGTATGGTCGTGCCTACTTCTCCTGCTTTACAGGTCAGAGGCCCTACTGGTTTGATCTGCCTAAGGTCATCAGTGATATGCTCAGAGAATTGAGAGAGCACCTCAGTAATATCAAGAGAGACCTGGTCGACTGGGTGAAAGAGATCGCAAGTTCGTTAGATCCGATCAAGAGGCTGACAGGGGGCGCAGTTGACTCGGTAAGATCACTGTAAAACCAGTTTCGTGTGGGGATACTCACAACATGGGGCGATCTCAATACTGTGTTAGTACCCGATATCAGCTTGACAAATTAGGAGGCCCACCTTATGGGTACATATTGAACAAAAGAAACCTCTCCGTCAATGGTACAACACCTATGGAAGTAAAAGTACTCTGTGCTAGTAATGCCAAGCCAGCTCTTACGGTTTGCAACATCGGTAGAGAATCAACCAGCAATGCTTATTTTTTTTTCTTTTAAATATTCACCAATGCGTCATCTAGAGAAGCACTTGTTTTCATTCTGTTATTTAAACACCAAATTGATCTCATCTGCCTTAACAGAACACCCTCAGGAGACAAATTGCCGCCGAGATCGAAGCAATCATTTTGGATCTGATAGGTCCGATAGAACCGATCGAGAATCTGCTGGCACCATTTTTTGAGCTGTATGATCTGGTTGTCAACACCATTGAGGGCATCAAAGAAGCCTACCTAACTCTGAAGAATTCGTGAGTATGGCATGGACCTTATACTGTGTAATTTGCGCCTTCCTAATGCGAACATTGTAATGTTACTCGCGTCATTATTTTAACCTGTCTTTAGTCATGAAGTCAATTGTTTTGATTACCGTTAGGATTGTGATGTCAGCTGAAGATCTGCAAGTAACTCTTAAGAAACTGCACTCTGATGCAGGATTCTCAGCAGTGCTGAAGTTGAGACCACTTCAGACATTCACAAGACCAACACAAGACCACCAGTCTGAATTCAAGTTACAAGCTATTCAAATAAACTGCAACAAAAGCATTCCTTTGTCATTGTTCACCCTGTTACTTGTGGTTGGTCTTGTGCAAGGTCTTGTGTCCGGTATTGTGATGATTTTGATACAACACTGACTCTCACTGCACATCGGCATGCACGAGGAAGTTGAAGAAGGCAATAATTTTTAATATGTATAAATATTTTCGTGTGTAAGTTTGTGCTTTGGATACACAAAACAAATTCGCCATAAAAAGAGAAAAAGTTTGTAATCCTTAGAAACACTTTTATAAGTAAGACTCTTCATGATAATAATCTTTTTTTCAATCTCAGTTTTAACATATCATCAAAATAAAGGAAATCGCTTCAGAAACTCTGACAGACAGTGAAAGATTGACCAAATGATTTTACTCCGTTTAGAAACACTACTTGTAGCTCTCTCACGTACAAAAGGGGTATTTATAGTTTAATTACTCATCATTTAAATATCAGTTACTTTTCGACTGTGCATAATTACTGTAAACCTTTTAGCAAATGGTAACTTTAAACAGCTTAGCACCTGTTGATTTATAAGAATCTTTTATCAAGTACAGATATTAAGGGGGTGACAAGGGGAAATAATTGCAAGAATTCTGTTTTAAGGTTGAAACAATCGTCTCTTCAGATACCAAGAGTCTCAAGCTCTCATCATGAAACTCTTCGGACCCAAAGCCCACAAGAGCTTTCCAAGGAAATTCCGTGAGCCTGGATCCGGCGGTTGTGCATCCGGTGGCTTCTACCCAACCGACTCAAACGGACGTTACCGGGACAGAGGTGTTGATCTTGAGATACCGCCAGGAATACCGGTAATAAGCGAAGAGGACCAAAATAATGATTTTCAAATCAGCCACTTAGAAAAAAGTGTGTAAAAATGATAAAATTGTCAATATGTTCATTTCTCTGCTGTTTACTGATAGAAAGCAGTACAATCAGTAGTTTCCTTTGACCTACACTAATTAACCTTGACCTTTTGAAGTGTCTTTTAAATTTCTTTTGGAATATCCTTTAACCGAAAAACAAAATGAAATAAAACAAATTGCCACTTGTGAAAAGTCACAAAGTAAATCCTAGCGTGGTGCTCACCTGTAAAATGAGGCCCATGCACATGGTCTGATATGTGAGGACAAGAAAATAAGGGGGTAAATACTTCTTTAACACTCACCCTGTGCATTCTTAATGGTTCCGTCTTTTTGTAGCTGGTGGCGCCGTTTTCAGGCCTTCTTTTCAAGAGCGCCGGTACACCCAACCAAGTTACCCTGCTTGCCCGTGGTGGGGCTTTCCGTAACATCAAGATCTACATTGACAACATTCAGCCCAACAGCTCCCTGTCTGTTTCCAAGGGAGTAAATGTAAGTACAGATCATATTTCCCTTCGTGAATTTTAAGGGCATTTCTGGTTGAGATACGCCAGTTGCCAGACGTTTGCATTTAGACAAAGTGTACGCACTAATCAAAAGTTACTTGAATACAAATAGAATATCTCTATTAGATATTATAAATTGGTTGTATTCAGGGTTTTATTTGCAACAAGGATTTCCCTTTGTACATTTACAATGAACATTTTCATTGGCCAGTGTCACTCGTCCTCGATGAACTTCAGTAATTGAGTGAACTTCAGTAATAACACTCTAAGAAGTAAAGGTTCAAATTTGCACGCTTATCATTGATACAACTGTTACAGCAGCACCAATTCAGGTGCAAATCTGTCCCCCAGTGCATGGTGTATGCTCCCCTGCAAGTGCGCATACACCCAAGTAGGGATTATCACACCCAAACCGCCGGGGTGCAAGTTTTCACCATTTAATATGGGTGCTGCTATTGTATCAATGGGGGTGAAAATGCGAACCGTCAGTACTAAGAGTGAACCTGACAAAGCAGGATTCATCTGTGTCAACTTCTTTTTCACTGCTTTCCAGGTCATAGCCGGCGCCAGGATTGGCACAGTTATCCGATCCACGTCTTGCACGCCCCCTAACTACATCCACTTTTCTATGAAGAACATCAAGCCCAACCGCCTGGCTTCTATCCTGGACAGTAATCTCAATGACGACCCCTCTCCCGCCGATGATGCTGCCAAGGAGGGGTACGTGGACCCCACCAACTACCTGGCCAAGAGGCCCCTGGAGATACCGCAGTGGATTCAAGTTTGCGACGACTACAAGCTGGTGTGGAAGGTAGGTCCTGCTTTGAACGCCAGGTTTTTATATATTGAGTGAATAACAATTGTGCTAGAGTGGTTTTAATCGAAATGTTAAAAAGAACAGAGGCCTAAGGATGATACCGAACCGAGCCCAAGGCGAGATCCATAATCTGTCAATGAATTTCAGTGTTTGTTATAATTTTTCATTAACAGTGTATAGTGTTTTTCTGGACTATACTTTAAAAGGAGATGGGGTGAATATTTTCAATTATTCATTTAACCTATGCAGGGACGGACAGTGAAAGAAGGTTCTCTGCTCAACCGGGACAATAAGAAGGGGAACAAAAAGAACACCAGCCCCGGACGGAAACCTCCTCCAAACACCCAAACTACAAAGCCTAACCCGGCCAGGAAACCACCAAAACAGCCATCTTCCCTTGACAATGCAGTATCGTCACCAGGTATTTTTCGTTTGGTTATCATGCTCTTGATAAACGAAGTGGAAATTGCTTGCTCCTCACCCAAAAGCATAAATTTCACAGCACGTGCAGAGTAATGGTGGCTTTTACACTGTTAAGCAGATTACATCAATGCACAGTTATCCTTGCAAGGGGGGGATCATGAGGAATGGGGTCATGCCCCCCCATAAAAGTTTCTAAAAATAAAACGTAGTTGGGATTATTTCGTTTTGTTTCCTACCAAAACTGTGAATCATGCCCACACATTAACCCTCACCCCTTAGAAAAGCCGTAAAAACTTGCACAAATAATCTCCAATCTTTTTGGCCCTGAAAAATTGGTTGTTGAACTACAGCACATTTTAAATGATGATGTTATTCTTTCTGCCATGCAGAGAAAAAACAAGAAACTATGGAGGCGCTTGACCTTCCTGAGACAAAAACTGGCTCAGGATCACCTTTCAAGAACTTTACTCTGCGGAACCTTAAGATTGGATCCATTCTGGCATTTGCCCGAAAGTTAGGCTTGGAAAAAACTGCCGATGACCTGCTGACAGTTGTCAAGACGATAGTTGTAAGTTCACTGTTATGCTTGTGCGTAACTTGTGCACCTGGTTACTGAGTTTGTTGTCATGACAACTGTGAATATTATAGCGACAGTGCATTTGTGATAGACACTTTACAGACTTCATGCTTATTATTATAGAGGCATATTTTGCCATTCAAGAAGGAAAAGATTTTCCAATGTATAATTATCATGAAAACTGAAGGGTGTTACTGAATACCAAAATGATGCCTTGCCGTAAACGCTCAACCAACAACTTACATCCAAAACCGTTACCGGTTGTGACCACCATATCACATCCCAATTCGATTTTAATCATCGTAACCGCAGAAACTCGTGAGTGATAAGCCGTGTGTGCTGCCTGAGTCTTTGACAACAGATTCCTTGAGGATTGAGCTCCAGCAGCGTGGTCTGAGCTCACAGGGAGATAGGGAGACCCTAATCAAGCGATACAAACAGCCCGAGGATCGTAAGTGATTGTTGTGAAAGTCGGTTAACTTTGTGTTCTGTTTTCTTACATTTTATAGATGTCTGTGTCTTACACTCGATGCCACTAAAGACGGGGATTTCAGTGTACAAATGCTAAATGTCCATGAGTGAAAACAGTAGGAATAACATCATGACGTGACAGATGGAATTGTCCACTCCATGCGGGAACACCGATTGGAGTAGAATATTTCATCTGTCACTGAACGATTTATCAGTGCCATTTTGGTACCTTCCAAGATGCCACCCTCTCCCGATTGCCCACAGTCATTTTCAATGGCGTTTATATATTTCAACACAACCTAATAAGTCCAAAACAGACACCTGATTTCCTCTTTTTTTATTCTTCAACATTTCATTACCGTGGAAAAATTGGACAATTTTCAAATGGATATATTGTTTTTTAGAATTTTCAATTTTTCCAACTCCTTGTGACTGTTGAATAGCACGGACTGTTTTCCGTGAAATCGGACTTCATCTTCTGTGATGCAGCTGTGCTACACGCCAGGTTGAATGATGACAACCCACCAATCGAATGAGGGGATTTGTTTGTGCATTATATAGATTTGAATATGTTGTATCTTAGAGTTTTGTAATGGTGACACATTCAAATTTGAATTTGAGTCAAACCAATAATGTGTTGGAACCACCTAGATGTGAAGTTGTCCGCTTAAGACAGCCCCCTGTAATCTCAATTTTAGGTTAATAGCTTTTCATCTTTCCATCAGTCATCTTTTGCTTAATATTCGCATTACTTTGATTGATTGTAGGTTGTCCCCTACTTCAAGTGTCCTTGCCCAAGAATGTGTACTGTAAGATTGACGAGAGCTGCCTGGGTGTTGAGTGCTGCATGAATGTCAAAGTCTTCATGGTGTCTCTGGCCTTCAAGGCATTCATGCGCTTTGACCCCTGCGAGTTCCAGTTTGTGCTTGGGGTCAATCAGTGGAACCACACCATCCAGATATTTGATGCTGAATTTGGTGAGTTTAACATTTTGCTCCATGTGACTGAAACTAGTCGGTCAAAAATGTAATTGGCCGATAAAAACATCAAGTTCTCTTTGGAAAGTTAGTTAGTTTTCAATTAATGATTTGCTTTGTTGTGACTGAATTGTTATGATGTTTTTTGGCATTAATTTGAGGCTAATGCTCTTCTCTAGGCGAAGAGTTGGAAGTGCCAGTCCCCTTTGACATCCCATTTATTGATGACATGGAAATGCGTCTCAGGTAGGCATTGTTTGATTGAATATTCTTGTAATTAAGCCTGTTTGATTTTCAACCATTGGAATGCGAATAATTAGCATGTAATATTGGTTAACAATACCTACACATTTTGGGAAGGGCGCTATAAGTGCATTCACATGACAGTGATAATCAAACACTCTCTATTTGTTTGAAATTATGAGAGTTTTAAACCAGACGTGCCACAACATCATACATTTCAGGAGGAGGAGTTGAAGGATTGTTTTTGCAACTGTTCATTTTGCTATACATCTAGTTTGAGTCGTGACTCGAACCTGGTTCCCTGATGATTGTACTTGTGTTGACTTTATTGTAATTCACATTACCGTAGGTTTGGCATCGAGAAGAGCAGGACTCAACTTCTGGTGAGCATGGCCGTGGGTTTCTGCCCAACAACCGGAAATGCCGAGTGCTTGTCATTCATCGATGTCCTGAAGGATTCAGCCATCCCTCTACCCATCTGCCATCCTAATGGGACCTTCACATGGCCAAACAGTTAGTCTTCATTGGTTTTGAATACACAAGATACAAAAAAAGGGCAAACGTTTACTTTGATTGTGTTCTTGTGTAAGTTGGAAAAACTGGATGCCACTTCAAAACCTCTACAGTTTTTCATTAAGCTAAGAAAAAAAAAAGAAGTAAGCTAATCATGAAGACTTTTAATAAACGACAACTTAAAATTCTTCTGCTAGTTGGTATGTGTATTTCTGTTACATGAACTTCCTTATGTCTTTGTTTTAGTCGACCTGGAGGAGTACTTTTCTAGAGCTGCCTTAAAGAACCTGATCAAAGCGACGGGAGAGGAGTTACTGCAAGCAGGAACAGAAGCTGCTTTGAACTACGTCCTGGATGAGCTCGGCATACCAAGAGTAAGTCTTGTCGTATGCAAAGTGACCTACTCTGCAACATTTGGTCATCAATACGAAAAGGTCTTAATCTGTTATGATGTCATCGTATAATTACTCTTGCAGGAGTTTTTGAGTGACAAAGAGCCGTGTCCAACGCCGACAAATATGAGTAAAATGCAGCTGATCGACACACTTGAGGAGAGGCAACTTGCAGTTACAGGAACCAAGACAGACCTGGAAGCCAGGCTGTCTCTAGATGACAGAAGTAAGTAGAATGCCAGAGAACTCTCTTTGATCTTTTTCACTATTTTCACGTGACCAAAATATTTGACCTATAAGCTACTCCATGGGCAAAACATTTATTGATTCTGAGTATTTGTGTTTAAAACTATTCCACCAGTTCTAGTCTTTCATTAAGGAAAGTCTAGGGGTCTAGAGCATGATCAAGAAGGTCAAAACACCCACTGAAGTTTGGAACTGATATAATCACTTTTCTCTCCCCAGCTTGTCAGTTCTTCACATTGCCAGCATTCCCCCCTGAGCTGGCCAAGGTGGCCTACTGCTCACTGAGTGACAACTGCCTCCGTCTTGATTGCTGCCTTGAGCTCAACATCGAAAACCTGAAATTCCGCCGGTCGTTCAAAGCCTTTGTGGAAGTAGATGCCTGTGACTTCACCTTCTATGTTTCCTTTCAGCACTTGCAGTACAAGAAGTTACTGCTAAGTTATGAGTGGGGTAAGTTGACTCTACTTTGTGGGTTATTGGAAGAAGTTAAGAAACCTGCGTATTGTCTCTTTGGGATTGTAAAGTCATTGACTCTGCAGAATTTTCGTTGCGAAAAGTCGGCATTTTTGGGAACAAGGGGAACCATTTTTCCCTTTTATACATTCATAAAGTTTTAAAAGGGATACTGCTGTGTCACAAGGTTTGTCACCCCATTTCTAAGCAATGAAAAAAAATGAGAACTGAGGGCTTAATTTTGAGCATAGCTAGTGGGTGTAACATGAGCTTTATCATAATACTTTGAGTCTTGGACTCTTCATCAATCCGAATTACCCCCTATCCTTGCATTTTGTGTTTACCGGCAGGCCGACCAGAAGAGCAAAACATCGGTGACGCCATCACCCTCAGGTACTCCATCAACAAACTGGATGCCCAGAAGGAGTTTGAAATTGACTTTGGGGCATCTATTTGTTCCGGCAGTGATGATTGCATCTTTGATCTGGATATCATTCAGGACTACAGAGTCCCCATTCCATTCTGCAATTCCAATTTCTCATTCTCTTTACCAGGTATAACAAAAGGCTTGGTTTGACATCATAACTTTTTTGACAATATGTTATGTTATTGATTACAGGTGTTTTTGATAACATGTATGTATAATTGCATATCTATACACACATTCAGCACTATCATTACTTTAGAAAGACGTTAAAACAACAGGTACTGAGGCATATGTGGAAATGTTTCAGAGATTTCTTCATCTGGCTTTGGATAGAGTCGGGCCAATTAAGATATGAGCATTATTTTCATTTAGAATCTGAAAAAAACATAAAGAGGCTGTTAAAATATGTTTATGGTTTAACCATGCTGTGTAACCTATTAAAGTGCACTTATAGAATAAAAAATTTATGTGTATTTATGTACACTGAAAGGAGCTTTATCAATGCAAAATGTCTGTTGAGGCAGGCCATAACCTAGATTCCAATATTATTCATACTTCGATCCCTGGTTTTTGTCCTTAGGTGGTGATACCTTGAAGGATTTTGTGACTCAGGTTGGCCGAAATGCAGGGCAACAAGCTGTTAACATCTTCCTGGAGTATATTGGGCTCAGGGATAAGATTAATGATGGGCCATGTGATACAAGTGCCCTTGTTGGAGAGGATGAAGAAGGTACATAGAGTAACTGCATTGAAATCATCATTTGTAGCAATATTTTAAACAGTGGCAATCCAGGGTGAAGGGCATGTGGGGAGCAACTTGCCCCCCCCAACTATTTTTTTCAAAGTATACTTCATGGGTAAGAAAGTAATCAGTATATCTATTTATATTAGCACCAAAACCTGACGAAAACAACACCAAACCACACCATGACATAAAAGTGAGGATTTTCTGGGCCGCGAGTAAGGCTTTTAATTTTCTTTCTCCTGCAACATCTTGTTAGATAAGCCAGAAGCCACATTCGCCTAATTTAACCCCTCCCCCGCCCGTTACACCAAAAGCTGGATATGCCACTGGTTTTAAATCAAAGAAGGCAAAATATTGCAGTACTCTAAATTGAAAGCTTTCTGATTTCTAATCTTTTTTCTTTTAATAGATTATTTCTTGACTCCAAGATAGTTCGATCCCACATAATGGCTGTTTTTTTCTTTTGCTTATTGTCTGATTGCAAATTAATTCTGTCCCCAGAATGCACCGCTATAAGTCTCCCCTCCCTGCCCGCTGGAGTGACCTGCGAGCTATCACACCGATGCCTTGGCATTCGCTGCTGTGCCGAGCTTGATCTCAGAGTGACCATATTGTCAGTCAACACATGGCTGATACTGGACCCTTGTGAGTTCACTCTGTCTATGGGATTTGGAAAGTGGTCCTTGACGTTCACCATATTTGACTATCACTGGGGTAAGTGCATTAATTGAAGCTGATATTGATAAATTCAAACTTTGGTTGTTTCAAACATTGGAAAGAGTTGTTCCATTGTGAAAATTAATTCTCTTCAAGTGAAATTTCTAATTCTTGTGTGGTTAGGTCAGTTTGTTTTCCTTCATGTCTTTTTTCTGATGTTATCTTTTGATAATTCTTTCTTTGCTATCACCCAAGTTAAACGCATTTGTCTCTTAGCTTAGCTGAACAGAATAGTAAAATGTAAATAAAATTTGGTATTGCATTAAATTTAATTTGAAAAGTTAAGAGTCCTTATAATGTACTTGCATTGTTTTCCTTAAAGGAACAGTTTGCACAAGACAAGGTGAAATATCTGGCTTTTTAAGATTATGTTAGACTTTACCAACTTTATTTAGTCTTATGTAGCATTTCTACACATTTATGTTTAATATTACAAAATTTGTTGCAACTCTGTGTAAAAGAAATGTTTCTAAGTGACAAAAAGAAATGCAACTAAAAGGATAAAAGCGTTTTCCTTTCAATTGGTAGTATGCCGTCTTGATTCCTCCATAACCAAACAGTCCTCAATCCGCCAATCCAATTTTACGTACACCCTTGGGGGCCAGGTCAATTTTTTAGTTAAAACAATGTTTTAATCCATGTGACACAAAGGTACCCAAGAAGAACTCAAGATTGGCAAAGCCTTGACCCTGATCTACACCATTGACAAGCTGACAGAGGACAAGGTGTTTGTGCTGGATCTAGCCCTGTCCCTGTGCCTGCCAGAGTCAGAGTGTGACACGCCCTCTATTGACATCCTGAGGAAAACCCGGGTCCCAATTCCTCTCTGCAATGAGAATGCTACATTCACTCTTCCAGGTAGGCCCCCATGTCCATTTTTTTCTCTTAAACCTGCTTCTGTCATGTGGCACAAGCCTACTTGTTTTCAGTGTCATCTGTTTTCTTGTAGGAAATTCTGTGCTGGAAATAACTTCAAGTGGTTAGTCTGTGTACTTGGTATAGGCCTAGTGATACTTTGTTGAAGTGCTACACTTTCATGACAACACTGTAGCCTCAGTGTAGGCCTAGTGGAAGTCTTGTGTGGGTGCTTGTATGCCTGCACTAGAAACCAGGGTAAAGATTTCTGAGACCTGCTGTAAGGTGAATGAGTTCTGCCAAATCAAACAAGAAAAGTTTGCTGCTCACTGCTCTGGATTTTGCATAGCCTTACGCATCTGCATGTCACATTAAAAGCTGTTTTTATTCCACAGGGGATGGAACTATTAAAGGTTTCCTGCAGACGGTTGGTCAGAATGCTGCGGAATCAGCTGTCGATGCCATTCTAGAATATCTTGGGTTGTCTGTAAGTGTTTGCTAAATTAAGTCATTCTGTAATAATCAGGGGAGTTCAAACTTAAGTTTTCTGATTTATTTTCAGTAGTTTGTACAGAAAATAGAATATGTCCAAACCAATAGTTAAATTGGAGTATGAAGTGAATTGCCTACTTCCGTAATACGTATGTAACAACAATGAAGAATTATGAGTGAACATGCATTTATGTTAATGGTTGCACATGGACATGTGAAAGCAACCTAAAAAACGACTTCACAATTATCCTTCAACTAAGATTGATTTTTGTTCTTAAACTTTTTTAGAAATACATCAGTAGGGAACCATGTGTTCGTCCACAAGTCACACAGAATGGTTGGCAGAGATGTAAGTTGTTTGGGTTTTCCTCAATACAATTTGGAGTTGTTGTTCTTTTTTTTTAAGAAGCAACCTAGGATGCGGCCTTTTAAAGACGGTAACTAAAATAAATATAAATTGGTACATGTACATCAATACTACTGTGATGCCATTTTACTTTAGATATGTGCGTTTAGTATAATTTCATCTGTAATTTAAACTTCAACACCCCAGCATCACCCCTAGTCCTTAGTGAAAGCAAGTTTATTCCCCTATACAGTGTGTCCCAGAGATGTCAGACTTCCCCGTCTGCCCAAAAACCTTGTTTGTACCCTGCCGGAGAAGTGTCTCGGGTTCGATTGCTGTCTGGAGCTTCCCATCCCAGGGATTACTACCATCAGCACCCAGGTGTCCTTCATCTTTGACCCTTGTAACTACAGACTTTCCTTGAGTCTGGGCAGCTGGAGCTTGGAGCTGCAAGTCTTGTCCTATCAATGGGGTCAACAGGAAGAGGTCCCTGTTGGAAAACCCATCACCCTGAGGTATCTTTTTAACAGTTCTACACAAACAGTAGCTTATATACATTTCATTTTTCTGTCATTTTTAAAGCAAAGTTCAATAACAGCCATGGTGAATATATAATTTCTTAGGTACCAAAGAATTTGGATGGTAGTTCATACAATATTACTCTTATAGTTTGCCTCCCAGTTCTTTGCAAGGAAGCATTCCCATAGTGACCCCACTCCCTCGGTCTTGTTGATAAAAGACAACTTCTTGACATCTGCCTTGGGCAAATGTTGGGCCACTGTCAGGATGACAACCACGATAGCTTTAATGATGAACTGTAAACTAATTAAGCCTAATATACAATGAATAATTTGGCTCTGTGTAGGGATTGCTTATTTTATAACAGGTTTTGCCTTCAAACCGATGGTGTAAGGGCAAAACCTAGTACAGTTATAGCAAAGCATATTCCTTCCTTGATATAATGAAATGGAAGTACTAAGAGATGTAGGCTTGCTGATACACCATGTACACCATCCTGTTCTATGCTCCACCGCCTCCTGATTACCTTTATAACCCAGCTCTCCACTCAAGTCTGGCACACTCTCCTGAGGATGGCCAGAGCATCCTCTTTCAACAGACCTTGATTCCATGGTGTACCAGCAAGCCTACATTTCATGCAACTTCCACCACGCAAAGCTTCAATCCTGAATTCCTTGAGAAAGAACTAATAGCCAAAAGTCGGCCCTGGAGAATGCTGAGAAACTAGTTGAGAATCTCAACTTCCAAATTCTTGCTTCTCTTGACAATTCAATGTTTTTGGTTTGTTGTTCTCTCAGTGTGACTATCGACAAGTTAGATGCAGAGGAATCCTTCCGCATCAATCTGGACATCTCGATTTGCATCGACAGTGACTGCACCACCACACCAGTGCTTCAGGATTCCCTGGTCCCCATCCCATTCTGCAATCTCAATGCCTCTTTTCAGCTGCCAGGAGATGGCAGCTTTGCAGGGCTTGCCAGGGAACTTGCTGGGAATGTTGGGGAACTGGCTATCCAGGCTGGTCTCCAAAAACTTGGAATTCAGGTCAGTGTTTTTGTTTTTGTGTCGTTGTAGTACATGTACGTACTGAAAGCAGTCCGTACTTCATGGAAATGTAATACAGGTTACATAAAACATTTCATTGTCAGCTGCAGGCTGGTATTTGAGCCTCCAGTGCTCCCTGTACTTCCAGCATATTTGTCTTTAAGATGTAAGATTAAAATTGCTTTTCCGTACAGCTTGTAGATGGCAAGCTTACTGCAAAGTTATCATAGCCCATATGATTTTTTCTTTTTCCTAAAAGGACTAATTCTTTGTGCCTCCAAATTCAGTTACCTCTATAAACTTTATAATAGATTTCTCCTTCATTTTTCCCTGTAAAGTGAATGGATTTTCTGCGTTAGACATGATGTCTTAAATTTTCTATATTCTTATTATTTCTTTTAGCAATATGTTAGTAACCAGCAGTGTGATATGGAGCTGCTTGCCCCAAGCGAAAACAGTAAGTTCAGTGTAACTAGTCTTGACAGGTCTTGGGAGGTTCCATTCCACGCCACATACATGTTCCTCAGTTGAAGATTTTTGTGAATCGTTTTGTCGCGTAATACTGAAAAGTTTTGAATACTAAAAATATTGATAGTGATGGAGTGAGTGACTTTACAAAATGCACTAGGTTGTGAAAAAGAACGTGCAGTTATGAAATTGGTCTGTATATATTAGATATGCCCTTTATCCGAACTAAAGCAAGTTTTTTTGTTTTATTTTCAAGCATTATATAAAATATATGGCATTGTCACAAAACTGTGATGGATTTCACATTATGCATGCTTATTATTTATGAGTAATTCCAGGCCAGGCACATAATCACTGTGCAATTTATAGGCACAAGTAATGACAGCGGCACTGTGCCAGCTACTGAACAAAATCCCTGGCCCTCATTTGTTTTTGCACAACAGATAGCACAGAGCTCTTTTTCGATCTCATATGAGTTTTGCCAAGTTGAAAAATTTAAAGGTATGAGTGTAGACCTACTCTTATACCACCATTTTCTCTCCGTCCACGATAGAATGCCCTCTTCTGAGGCTGCCCCCTCCAACCAACTTCCTAACCTGCAAAATAGATGACCGATGCCTTGGCCTCACATGCTGTGCCTCCCTTGACCTCATCTTCACCCAGCTGTCCACTACCGCTTGGGCTGTCTTAGACCCCTGCGAATTCCAACTGTCTGTTGGGCTTGGTTCATGGTCTGAGAATCTGACACTCTTTGAATATGACTGGGGAGTGGATAAAGTGTTTGATATCAGTGATTCTGTGCGCATAGAGTAAGTACAAAAGTTTATCAGATATAACTTGAAAGCTTTATGTCAGAGAGATACGTCCATTTAGTGCCACCCTTCGCTAGCAAAATTGATCACAACTGCTTGATACTGGATGCTTTCCTCAGTGCACTTGCACTTCTTCAAGTATATTTTATTCCAGCCTTCTCTTTTCTCTCAAATTGCTCAGGTATAATGTTGATAAATTGACAGCACAAAAGGAGTTCCTGATTGACCTGTCTGTAGTCCTGTGCATAGACGGCAGCTGCAGACCTATCCACCTGCTCCAGGCAGCCCACGTGCCCATTCCAATCTGCAACCCTAATGCCACCTTCACCCTGCCCGGGGATGGCACCATTTCTGGCTACCTGGAGAGCCTGGGGGGCCAAGTCACGGACGCAGCAATAGACCTAGTGCTGGAATACCTGAATCTCAAGGTATTTTATGCAAGTCTTGGTTTTGTTTTTCTTAAATAGCACTACTCTCTATACAAATGCAGCAAGGAAACAAAGACATCCTTTGTTGTCGGTGTCATGGATGTGAGCAATGAATGGAAACTACATGTGTTGTCTTAAATATTCCTACTACTTTGCTCACAGCAACACCCATTCTTTTGCACCACATGGTGGTTATCTTTAAGTTGCATATTTCTCAAGCCTGAACAACTTTCAAAGTGCCTCTTTTTATGCTGCCATCTTTACTGCATGAAGAAACTTTCCTTCTTACTCCAATGTGGAGTTTGATACATAACATCAAAATGAATCCTGCTGCAGCTAGAAACCTCTTGCAAGTAGTGCTGCAGTATTAGCCGAAGCGACAGTTGTCAGGAATGACACCCTTGTTTACAGTAAGCTCCCCTGTTTAGTTTTGCGGAGGCGTTGTTGCTACTTGACTAATGTTCAAAACTTCTTTTATTGTCAGAACTTTCTGTCCAGAAATCCTTGCACTTTGCCTCCTGCCTTGCCAACTGGTGATGACAGTAAGTGACATTGGTTCTTGAATTCTGAACTATCAGTAAAACAATTTGAAATATTTGGTGAAAAGGGAGGGTGTCTATTTACAAAGTACGTCTGTTTTAAGGTCTGTTAACAAATTTGTAATTCTTTCTATTGAACAATGTTTGTAATCTAGATGGTCATGCAAATTGCGCTTTCAAACTAATTTACAACATAGTTTGAAGACAACTACTAAGATGAATATCACAATGGAAAATATAAATCATTTCAGTTGGGACTAGATTTACCTCAATGCCTAGATTGTCTCAAGCGGAGGGCAGGGATTTTTACAATTCTAATTTTGCTCCAGGTTGTCCCGTGCAGTTTCCTGACACCCCTCCCCAGTTGTTGTGTCGAATTGGTAGCCGTTGCACCAGTCTCCACTGCTGTCTGAATCTTGACATAAAGGTGACCCAGATCAGCTCCAGGGCCTGGTTCATTATTGATCCATGTGATTACACCCTGTCCGTCGGCCTGGAGTTGTGGTTCTTTAATACATCGCTGTTTTCATATGAGTGGGGAACTTTGGAAAGCTTCATGATCGGAGATGCTCTTGATGTGAGGTAAATTTGTGTAGCATTATAGCTACAAAAGAATTCATAATTACCTGTTAAATGTAGTAATTTTCTGAAAATGGGCCAAGCGCTAGTAATTTGGGCTAATCCTTCTATACGGGATCCAAACAAGTTACGAATACAGTATGAACTCCGTGTAAGAAACTGTGGATTAATACGCCATGTAGATTATTAATGAACCTCCAGATCCTAAGCATTATTCACTGGCTCAGGTGGACATAATCAAGTGTTACTAATTTTCAGCCCAGTTTCAGTTCTTTTATTTCAGGTGTAACCACTTATTTTCTGATTTACCATTGTGATTTGCCGATTTACCTGTATGTTTTGCAAGTAGAACAATGCCAGACTAAGTTTGACTACAATTCATGCAGAATTGTCCACAAAATCAGTGCTGTGCCATATATTTGTATAAATTACTGTTGAGGTGGATGAGTTGTTAAGTTTATTCGGTTCCATGTAGGTTCACAATTGACAAATTGGATGCCACCAAGGAGTATGAAGTGGATCTTTCCTTCTCCTTCCGCATCGATGGCGTGGCCACAGACTTTCCCCTCATGGCTGACCAGAGGATCCCGATACCCATTTGCAATGCCAACTTCTCCCTGGAGCTACCCGGGGACGGCTCAGTGAAAGGTTTCCTGAAAGAGCTGGGAGACAATGTGGGCCAGGCAGCCATACAACTGGTCCTGCAAAAGTTAAATCTTCAGGTAGGATTCTTAAACATTGCTGTCAAACAAATCTGAAGGCAGATTTGGGGGTGGTTGAGGTAGCCAGTTAACCCACCTTGAAACCTTAAAAGTCCTTGCTCTGGTACTGCTCTGGTACTCAGAGCAGCGGTGCACCCATGCAGGGCTCATGGGCTTAAGGCCCCCCTCCCAGATTTCTATTTAAACTTTCTGAAAATGAAGATCAAACATAAACCTGTTCTAATCTACTAGCTCTTATAAAGCCATGCATCTCAGTCTGCCATGGGGTGACCAGGAAATGGAGAATTGAGCGTCAGCTGTGGGGGGGGGGATTCTGATCTTAAACCCCCATGACAGATCTTGAGTGTTTCACTGTTCAGAAACGAGATGTTTCCATTATGTAATTCCAGATGTAGTGACATTGCATAACCAAGGATCAATATGTGAAAACAAAATAATTGCAAACTCTTATGACCAGCCTCAATTTTTAAACTCCTGCCACTCAAATTCCTGCATTTATTAAAATGTTTATCGTAAAAATGGTTCAACTAAATTGGATTTTATATGATTCATTATATATGTATGCGGTGATGTTTTTGTTGTTTTAGGACGTTATCAGTGGGGAAACCTGTGATATACCACCAGCTAGTGCAACAGGTAATCGTAAGTACTATTTTGAAGACCTTCTCAAATTCAAGTTTTCTCCAAACAGGTTTCTTTTCAATCTTATTTTAACAATGAAAATACCAGCTTTCTTTACGCACAGAGTCAAAGCATCAAAGATCTGTGCTAATTCCAATGGGAATCACCCCCAACCTAAAGGGGTGTCATCTAACCCTCTGTCTTTTTGATGCTTTCAAAAAAGTCTTGACTTCGACGTTGAGGTTTATACTCAGGGGGAATTAAAATATCAATAACACGCTGTAACAGCCCTACTCATTTTTTAGTCCATTAGAAATGAATATTTTATTGCTGCTGTTTTTCTGATGCATTAGATTGCCCAATGATCTCCCTACCCTTCCTGGAGAATGTCGTCAAGTGCTCCATTGACAACCGTTGCCTTGGCATCCAGTGCTGCATCACCCTGGACTTTGTCATCACTGAGCTCATGCTCAGTGCAAGGCTTCACCTTGACCCGTGCAACTTCCAGCTATTTATAGCCTTTGAGAACTGGAACCTGAATGTCACCCTCTTCAGTTACACCTGGGGCAAGGTCGAGACTGTGGATATTGGAAATGCTATGGCAGTGAGGTATGCCATCATTCATGTGGTTTTGACATTTTGTCAGTTGCAGAATTCCAATTTTTTTGGGGGGAGGTTTTTCCCACCCCTATAATATGTACTTAAAATTGAAGATGTTTGATAACTTTTAATGATACTCACAAGTACTTTTCCATTTGTACAAAAATTATAGTGCAGGCCATTTTCACAAGTAATCTTGTTTTAGGTCCATTTAAAGGTCATTTTGAGCTTTTTGTATTGATGCATAGCCCTGTTTAGCATCCCTTAAGCGTTGGAATTATATGAGTACAAAAAGGTTCAGGACTGTTACACAAGACTCTTGTGAAATATAACTTAAAAGTGGTTCAGGTGATTTGAGACTCATTTTGTCAGTTTGAATCACATTGGGTCGATCAGAGAGTAACATTTCATGGTTTAAATGGTCCTACGATGCTCATTTTGATAAACTTGTTCTTTTTCTACAGCTTTACTATTGACAAGCTGACAGCAAGGAAAGTCTTTTCAGTCACCTTGAACCTGATGCTGTGCATTGATGACACCTGCACCACAACCCCAGTACTGGACCGTGTCTGGGTTCCCATACCACTGTGCAACACCAACGCCACCTCATTCACCCTACCGGGTGATGGGACGGTGGAGGGATTCATACGAGAGCTGGGCGGACGCATTGGAAACTCTGCCATTGACCTAGTGCTGGAGAAATTTGGCCTGAGTGTAAGTAAATTTCAAATTGATGTGGACTCAGTTTTGCAACTGATTATCTGTTCAAGGCCAGGGAAGAAACTAAAGGCCATCTTGGAAGTGGAAGTTGTACAGTTTGATTGAAAGAAAAGGTAAACTAATTATTAAACTGATTTTGCCAGTTTTCAATAAAATCAAGCATAAATTATTAGCCCTCAATTCCAGCATTTTTTATTGGAAATAAACAAAATTGAGGTATAGAGGATGTGGGAAACGATTGTTCGGGAAAGCTGGCCACAGTTTTTTATCTATTCAAATTTCAAACGGTAAGGAAATTTTCTTCTACTATTTATGAAGTGCTGAAGTTTTCCATTTTGAAAGCAAGGGTTCCCTGTCGCTGATAGGTAGCACTGTAGAGACACAGAGAAATTAAAGCCAGATGAAGATGTAGGCCATATAAGCTTTAGTGCATGGACAAAATGCAGCTTTAAACTGCTATTTAAAAGTCTCTCCTAGATGTGAAGCTTTCTGAAATGGGTATATGAATTTAGTGCAATATGATCAATGAATACACATTTTAAAATGTGTGTACAACTGTTTCACTGTGACAGAAATTGAGCTTCAAATTATGCAATTACTGTTTTTCTAATGTGATCATTTCATTGCAGGAATATCTCAATACTGGGCAATGCAACATGGGAACACCAGGGACATTGAAAAGCAGTAAGTCTTTTATTCATTTCGCCACATGTTGCTCAACTGCGTGCTTCCAAATGATCGATGGGGCAATTTTGGAAAGGGGATCATTTGGCCAGGAGCAAGATAGCTTGTGGAATACTTGGCTAAGGGCAAAGAGGAATCCATAGGTTTCTATTTAGATATGAGGTGATTGGCAGGTACATTTTGATGTTGTTAAATCGGTCAATTAGTATATGCACATTAGACTTGACGTTGTTAGTGTTCAGAGTTTTGTTTTTTTTTTCAATCAGAGCATACTTATATGCAATGCTGAACATGTTTCTTGAGTGAGGTACAAATTTCATAGCAATCCATTCAATCAGCTTTCAGACATCTGTTGTTGTGCTTTCACTGCCTAATGATGTTGCTCTATGTTATTTACATTGTAAGTATATGTATGCAAGGTTTTTTAGTTTTACCTTTGACCATCTATCGGAACTTATCTTCAGTATGATAATTGCACAGACTCCTGTGTTCTGTTACATGCTATGTCTGTGCAAAATGTTGTTTGTTGATTGTTTCCTCGCATCATTATGTTTGAGCGCTCATCATGACTGTAACTTTTCTTGTTCATGATTAAACAGTGACTCTATCTTGATATTTTCCATTCATTGTTTTCCTTCTCGTCAGGCTGTCCGGCCGTGGGTGTCACCCAGCTCCCCGACTTCCTCTCTTGCACCGTCGCCGATTCCTGCCTGGGCATCCGGTGCTGTCTGGAGATAGACCTGAAGATAACCACTCGCAGTGTCACTGCCTGGGTCACCCTGGATCCCTGCAACTTCACCCTGTCTGTGGGATTCGAGAAGTGGGAGCGCAGCGTCACCTTGTTCCATTACCCCCTAGGGGACGTCATGGAGGAGGTTGTGAATGAGGTCCTGAGAGTAAGGTATGACTCTGACCCTGAGTGTTTAGTCACATGCTTAGTCGATCCCCATAGTTCAGCTATTGATTGCTGAAGTATCCCTCCTGGATAACACATGATTAGTTGCTGTTTGTTTAACATTGATCACAACCAGTTGCGTAAATTTGTGCTGGAGGATGGGTAAAGGTGGGGGGATGACATGAAAATTCGAAAAGTTGGGGGGGTGACACAATATGACTCTACATGAGGTCAATGTTCATGATATTAATGTGCATCTGTAATATGTATCCAAAATGGTATGTTTATGGCTTTCAAAACTTGCTTTCCCTTTTTTAGTGATTTTGAATTCATTTTAGTCATTGGAAGTCTACAAAATTCTTCACCAACTTTAACTTTTACTCACCGCAAAAAAGGGGAGTGGGTGGGTAATGATTCAGTAGCCCATCCCCCCCTCAAAAAGTGGGGGATATATATACCCCCTTCCCTCCGAGATTTAGGCCCATAATTACAGTAGATAGGCCATCTAATTCTTAAAACCTAAATGTTGTTTGTCCTTAATAACAAAGGAATATATAGACAATAAGACCAACTTCATAAGCGTGGTCAACTATAAGTTTTGTTGGCCTCGCTGCTTTAGGTAAATCGCTACCGATGCATTCCTCATGTTATGTAAACATTGTGAATAACGGTATCTGACCTGATGGGTACATTCTGATGGGTTTTTACACTCCAGTCCATTGTACATATGTGCCTATCTATACATTTGTATCTTGAAGATGGCGTGTGGCTAAGATCACGGAAGACAAGCAATTTGAGGTCGACTTGTCCCTGGTCATCTGTATAGATGGAGCATGTGACACGCTCACCATATTGGAGGGCAGTCGTCTACCAATACCACTGTGCAACACAGAGGACTCTTTCACCTTGCCTGGTATGCTTCTTCCTTCTTTAGCAGATCATACAATACAGTATTTTTGTCTCACTTGATTATTTGCTTTTCAAATTATTTAATGAACAGATTACTTGGTTACTAGGTCATATTCAGAAGGTCACTGCTCCGATCTTCAACTAGACACTAGAACCATAGCAACTTCAGAAACCTGAAAACATCAACTTGAAGTGTGAGAATTAGCTGGAGATATTGTTGATTACCTTGTTTTGTTGTTTTGCTTTATTGTGAACTCACTAGGTGATGGCACCATATCAGGCTTCCTGTCCTACCTGGGTGGCAATATCGGTCAGTTTGCTGTGGACGCAGCCTTGCGTCATCTAAACCTGGCCAACTTCCTCACAGGGAAGGCATGCTCGTATCACAGACAAGGTAATAAGTTCAAATTTTGGTATGGTCTACCTCTTAACGTGATAAAATGGCTCAGCAATCACTGTGCTGGGTCATTGTTGGGGTAGTAGTCCAATTTTTTTCGTGTCCCTGTCACATCTGACATATGATTGACATATGTAACCAAACATATAGATATAGTGTGAAATCAATTTCAGTGAGAGATCCGTGTAAAATTACACAGGTCAGGTGTAACAGGGACACAAAATGTCACACTTTTGGGTCCTGAATGTACAGAATGATCCTGTAACTAATCATAATGCCCACCTTCTTTTAGATCACACAGAATAAGTTGGTTAATTTGTAGGGGGTGTATTTTGGATGATGAGATATGTTAAGGAGAGACAGAACACATTTTTCAACTGTTTGGCCAAGACATCATAGAAACAAATGCATAATAATCAAAACGGTTGTAACATGGATAATTATGAACTTTAAAAACTAATGAAACCTGCTGTGAGAAAATATTTTGAGGAGCTTGGGAAGATAGACATATACACCTGTTACTAACAATGCCACGACCTCACGACCAAACACTCATATTTACTAGCCGATTATAATATTTACATTGAAGATGTCTGCGCAAGTTCCACCAGTATCCTAGGCAACTGCTCCCTGATTGGAGAAACCTGCACAGAGCTACGGTGCTGCCTGGAACTAGACCTGAAGATAGCAGACGTCTCAGCCACGGCCTGGTTCAAGTTTGACCCCTGTGACTTCACCTTCACGCTGGGCCTGGAGAAGTGGTCCTTCCACGGTTCTGTTTTCAGCTATCAATGGGGTAAGAGCTTTCTGGACTCTGGGTTTAATTAATGAGGAGACATTTCTGGTAAGCCCGTGTTCTGGAGCTCAGCTAAGCAATTGGCTTTCAGCTTTCTTATTGGCAACGAGGGAAGAGGTGTCTAATTTTAGGGGGCACGATTCCATCAAAAAGGATAAGATACACCATGTTCAAATCAAGAATGAGTTATACTTATAACCTATTTATTTCCATATCTGTGAGAAAACATGTTTGTTCATGCCTTTTCAGTCAACATCCTTGGGAGTTGTCACCTGGCACAATACTGCCTTCTTTACTGCATTCTCACACTGAAGGTGTGAATGGAATAGTGATAAAATGTATTGCACTCTAAACATAATTTTCCACTTTCAGGAGAGGAAATGACAGAATCGATAGCTTCTGGCATGACCTTGAGGTAGGCACTGATTTTTTTTACTCATGAAATCTGATTGGATGACTCTTCCATTATTTTATGCAGCAGTAAAATGGAGTTTACTGTACTTTTTTCTGAGAGATTCATGACAGTGACATGATTTCACTGGAGGATAAATCTGATTGTGTTGAAGGCATGAAGGCAGCTCAGTCGTTGATTTTTGTCGCAAGGGTGAAAAGGTTCAGTATTTGGGTTGTGCATTAGAGGATTCAAGGATGGTTTTTAAATAATAATAATAATAATTTATTCATCTATAAAGTGCAAATTCAATACAGATATGTTCAAATGCGTTATACAATGAAGACATTAAATGTGGTCAAATGAATGGAATACAAGAACTTTATGAGAAACATATTTAGCAATCTTTTTGCATTCATTCGCATAGATTAAGTGTGGAGCATACAGGTAGAAAGTATTTGGGATAAACATCACCTGTCAGTTTGATAGTTGGAAAACAATTTGATCGGATAAATTTTTTAGAACTCCATTTTTTTGTAATTGGCTTTTATCTACATTTGCATGCCCCTTCTGCACATGTTCAGATATTCTATCAACAAGAGGGATGATACCAAAGAGTTTGAGATAAGCGTGACGCTGGAATATTGTATTGATGGATTGTGCACTGACATCGACATCCAGCATAACATCCCCATTCCTGTGTGCAACCCAGACTTCAGAAACTACACCCTCTCTGGTGAGTCAAACCCAGCTTGAGACTTCCTGTTTCTTATGTCCTGAATCAGTCCACTCCTAATCAGTCCACTTTTCAATTTGATCTGAAAGTATTTCAGTCCCATCCAGTTCCTTACCTGTATGGGCCTGATGAGCTCAACTTTATCAACTTCCTCACAATGACAGCCATACCAATTTGATCAAACCATTGCACGTGCTTCCCCAGTGTACAACACTATCTCCAAAAAACTTAGTCCCGATTTACATGTATCTGAACCCAGTTGGTTTCAACACCAAGCCTGCATAGCCATACTTAGACTAGCCGAAATTGATCTCAGGTTTTCCCATTAGCCCCCACAAACCCCACATACCACAACCCTTTACACCTCAGTTTGCATTTCTTCTAGTGAAACTCATGTCCTTTTCAATTATGCACTCCAGCCGATGGATTCATAGAGACTGTGTCAGGACAAATCATTCAGGGAGCAACGCTGGCCCTTCTCTCACGGCTTGGAATTGACCCAGACTTCTTCAGCAGTCAACCGTGTGTCAACCCCAGTGGACCACAGTCCTTTGGCAGTAAGTTCAATTTGCTGGAACTATAAATTGCATTCTCTGACCACTCAAGAGAGACACTGATTTGTGCATAAATGGCATAATGTATGAAGGCTCAGTGTATTTTCAACTGAATGTATTCAAACTGTATGGAAACTTAGAGCTTGACATTTAATTGTGTGCACATAGTGCTTTCTTTATCACTGTTGAGATGTACTCGTGCATATATTTAGAATCCAACACCTGAGAAATTTTAATCAGGATCTCTTAATCAAGTTTTTATAAATTTGTCTGATTGAAGATTGCCCTAGCATGCAGCTTCCCAGTAATCTAACCTCCCTAGCCCACTGTGGCATCCTCGACTCCTGCTTTGGCGTAGAGTGCTGCCTGGACATAAACCTAGGACCGCTGATTCACTCATTCAGTGCCTCCATGGTGATAGACCCTTGCCTTGGCCAGCTGACACTCCAGTTTGGCAACTGGCAGTACAGCAAATCCCTCTCACACCTTGACTTTGACACTAGTCAGGAGGTCACCATTGGAAACTTCATCACGCTCAGGTAACTGCATCATCTTTAACATAAAGAAGAATTTTGCGAGTGTTTTGTTTTTGAAAACAGACACAAACTTTTTGTATGATTTACAAAGACAAATGTATTCTTGAATATTTGCCCCCTTCAAATTTCAGGGTGTCAAACAAAGGCTGACATGTTTTCCTAATAACAAAAATTAAACAACAAAGAAAAGCTCCCGTCTTCATTTTCCTAATTATTATATTAAAACATTCTCAGCTTATGTGGTTTATTTTAAGAACCTACTACAATAAGTATGGACCAGCCATGTAAGACTCATGTTGAAGATTTTTGCTTAACTGATGGCTTTAATTTACTCTATGGAATTTGCCTTTTTTTCATGGCACACGTCAGAGTGCTCAGCTGATTGAAAAGACAGGCTCTCTAACTTGTATGTCAGTTAAGCTATTCCTGAGCAACACGGGAACTAAGTTTGGTGAGGTACACGTACCATTAATTAAAGTCTGTGGATTGATTCATGACGTAACTTGCACATAATCAAAAGTAGTGATCCACATATCACCTGTGATTGAATTTCTCACAATTGTCCAGTATACTTATTACAGTCTTTAATACCAGTCTTTGAGTCAGCAACGGTTTATGTATTGTTTGTTAATATAGGTACACCTTAGAGTTGATGAATAGCAAGATATCAGTCAATCTGTCCGTAGATGCATGCATTGATGGGCACTGCACTGGAGAAATCATGATCTTAGATGGTGCAGTGTCTCCTCTTCCCATGTGTTACCCTAATGGAACCATCTCCTGGCGTAATTTACCAGGTATGTTCATTAATAATGATGCCAGTTGAAGAATAAATCTATGTGGAGTTAGTTTCAACATAATTGTCATGATTGGCATTGGGGAACCCCCTTTTAAATCTTTTGTAATCATTCATTGTTTCATTAATAAAACGACCGTATAATAGAAGTCTTCGATTTGTCTTATTGAGTATTCAGAATGAACTAGATTGCAGGATTTGATGTTCTTATGAACATTTTCCAAGCCATTGCAATATCGAACCCCCTTTCTCATAATCCTGGGTATGTACACCCCCTTTCATCAGCATGACAGTGCTTGTTTATCCATTATGCACTCCCAGGAATAACCTCTGTGTCTCAGCTGGGAAGCCTGGATGCCGGATTTGAGGCTGTGGCTACGGCTCTTGGCTTGCCACCTCGTCTAGTCTCAGCCTCACCTTGCCCTCCTGTGATCCAGCCAAGTCAGTCTGGAGGTAGAGACAGTATATGTTGTATTCAAACTACCATTGGTGATCCTCAACATTAATACCTTGAATTCTTTATTTTTCTGTGAACGGAAACAGTTCATCTCTTAAAACAGTGAGCAATATAAAATGGAAATTAGTCATTGCAAAACGATTGCCATCAGTGCCATTCTAACAAGTCCCTGTTTTCTCTTCTCCTTCAGTATGTCCACACCTCCCCACTCTGCCCACCCTTCCATCAGGGGGTGTATGTCACTATTCTGATGCCTGCCTCGGGGTCGAATGCTGTCTGGCAGTAGACCTCGGCATCATCAGTCGCACCCTGAGGGCATGGCTGACTGTGGACCCCTGTGACTTTAAACTGAGTGTGGGATTTGAGAACTGGAGTTACAATGTTACTTTGTTAAGGTAAGTTAGCCAACAGGATCCTCAAAGCAAACAAACAGAAAGATTTCTATTCAAGTATTGTAGTGCTATTTTGTCTGAATGGGGAGTCTTCAGATGCCCTTTTTTCTCATGAGAAAAAAGGGTTTAATGGCTTCGTCAAAATTTCTAAGAACATGTAATGTGATATTGTGCACATGCTGTAATGTTGTTGGGTAAGCAGTTTATGTAACATATCCACACGACTAGAGTAGAGTTTACTGTAATTGGAAGGTTCGAAATAAATAACGTGTCACGTTGAGACTCAAGGACACGATATCTGGCCATATCTCATTTCATAAAATACCACGTCACCTTTACAGTGCACATAAAGATCAAACAGATACAACTCTCCAACAGAGCAGCTGCAGAAAGTTGCAGTCCGTAACAGTGAATTGTCTCTCTGCAGTTACAAGTGGGGCAAGGTGACAAGGGAAAGACTGAGCGATGCCGTCTCGTTGACCTTTACCCTCGACAAGACCGCTGACAACCGTAACTTCCTCCTGTCCCTCTCCCTCCAACTCTGCATCGCTGGGGTCTGCGCTCCAGACCTTGTCATCCTTCAGGACTTCACAGCACCCATACCATTCTGTAATCCAAATGGCACATTGGAGTGGGCTCAAGACTTGGGTAGGTCTCTAGTTCTCTGACTTAATTATTCATAAAACTGCCAGTTGCCAGACAAGCCTTTTTAAGTAGGTAAATCAAGTCTTCTGCAAGGTTATTTACTTTTTGTTAATGTTCGTCACTACCATTAGTCCTCCTAATACAAAAAGCCGTGGAAAACACATCCAGGCATGAAAAATCAACGGTTAGTGCGAACTACTTATTATCATTTGTGCTGTTTTTCAGTGGTTCATTTTGATCAAAGAATTGTTTCGGAGTCTGAAGCTAAATTTTGGTCTGTGCCTGTATTTCTCAGTTGGTGACATTGGTGACTATGCAAGTGGCCTGGTTGTCAACCGTCTCAGCGTCAGTGCCGATGTTCTCCTACCTCAACCATGCAGTGGTCCACCAGAGCAGATCACTCCAGCAACCACAGGTGTGTATATGAGTGAAGAGACATTAACTAGTCTTTGTAAGTTTTATGGAAAAATTTCTTTTTTTTTCAAACAGTGAAAACTTGATATTTTAAAAATCACTCTTTACTGATTGAAATACTTTATTTTATTAGTACTTTCCTCTTAACCCTATCCACCTCTAGTAGAAGCACCCCCTAATTGGTTGAAACGAGCTATATTGGTCAAGAATGTTGATTTTTCGGTAGTGATGCAACTGTAATGAGGGCATTTCATAGTCCTTCGTGATTAAACAAAGTTCAGTTCCAACCAAAGGAGCCTCTGTTGCTAAGGATATTGCGCCCTCTCTTGGTCCAGCTCAAGGCTCATAGTTGTACTTTAGCTGCTTCATTGCATTTCCAGATCTGTGAGCGACTGTTGCAGCACCAAAATGCTGTAAGGAAGGCACAATGCAAATGAAGTATCTTGCAATTACTGAAGATATTAAAATAGCAGACTTTTTCATGCTTATCTCATTTTAAATTCATTGTGAGATGACATCTATACCTCATTAATTACTTAAACATTCCCAGGAAATTTTTCGGTATAGGAAATTGAGGGTTTGGATGGAAACAAGGAATTCTCTGCAGGGAATCATCAACATCCTTCACGCTTCTGCAGCAAATCCAACATAGTTCTTAGGTTCAAAACTGTTAAAAGCTAATGAGTATTCCAATTTCTCTGTTGCCAGGCTGTAGCTCCCCTTCTCTACCATCATCCATCGCACAGTATTGCTCGCTGGATCAGTCCTGTCTCGGGGTCGGTTGCTGCTTGAACTTTGACCTGGGCGTGGTGCAGAGGTCATTTTCTGTGTGGGTGAAGCTGGACCCGTGCGCTCGTACATTCTCATTTGGGTTTGAGAAATGGAGTCACATTGAGAGCCTTGGCATACAACTATTGCAGTGTAAGAAATAAAAGGCTGAATATCAGATTACCTTTTGAAACCAAATCTGGCAAACGTTTCTGATAAATTAAGGGGTAAAATGACCTTTGGCAGATACATAAAACGCATAGGCAAAATTGTGCATTGTATCTTTGTATTATAGGTCCAAAATACACGTAGGATTAAAAACAGTTTGATCTGAAGAAACTAAGTGAAAGCAAGGTTTAGCAGTTTTCTGTTTGGTAAATTTCTCCAATAAAATGATGGTCCTGCACCTTTCAGTTAAGACTACGTACAGACAAGGATTTAAGTAGTTTATGAAGGCTTGAATGCATAGCACAAATGTGATCCTTTGTTTCAAAGATAATCACAGTTTTGTCATTTTATTTCCACAGCTCATTCATTTGAGAAAAACCTGGGAGTTTTGAAAATCAGGTAAGGTCAAACACACCAAGTAACAGTCAGTGCAGACATTCAAACCACTGTTTTTGGCTAACTCTTGCCTGAAAACCTGTCAACACTTTCCATGCATACTCAGGGGCTATAGGTCTCTATATCCTACGCATATCATGACCTTTGCACAAGAAAACCCCTCCACCAAATAATATCAAATAATTCCTCTATTTTGGCAAACTCTCTCGTCACAGGTATGATGTAGAGCGTCCTCACAATACTGTCTACGATGTTGACCTGGACATCAGCCTGTGCTGGCAAGGTGTGTGCGACGAGCCCGTCATCATTCTACGGGATGCAATGTTCTCTGGGCCAGACTGCAGTGGAGGCAGCAGCACAAGGAGAAGGAGAAGAAGTGTGGATGACCTGTGAGTTGAAAGACAATGCTAATTTCTGTCATCCTGAGGGGTCTTCCATTTTCATGATTTTCACAAGCATACCAAGGTTAATCTTTTTGCTAGACCCCATTCTTCACACAAAAGTTGGGGGTTGACTGGTAGCTGATTTGGATTTTACAAGTTGTGTAGGCCTCATCAATAATGGTGTCCCCAGGAATAGGACCGTGGGTTGGAAATTTTTCCGTTTCTGAAATGCAAGTGGGGGGGGTGACTGTTGCATCAGCCCATCCATTGATGAGGCATATCAGATGTACCACCTGTCAAGGAGCATTGTCTGCTACAATAAAAGTTCCTAATTCTTATCCTAAAAAGATATTTTTAGTCCTTTTTAAGTCTGTTTTGTAAAGAATATTGGATGCATGTGCGAACACCCGTCACTTTTGTCGTAGGCCCATATACATTCTTATTGCTGATCGGTTTTGTTCCACCCTACCATAGCTCCGATGACTCTGCTGAGGGAATAGACAACATGGACCTAACAGCCAATCCCATAGACAAGGCCAGGGACTATTTCAAGGCCCTTCTCAACGGATCTTCCACCTCGTACTCGGCAGAGGACAATGCCATGACAAAGCTTCAGCCGGATAAGGTTGTCAAGCCAAGTGAGTTACAGGATTCCAGAGTTTTTGAAATGGAGGTCTTATAAACTAAGTAAGCTTGTACTGAATCTGAACTTGAACCAAATTGAACAACCCTTTAGAAATGCTCTCATAAAATGTTGTAAAATCTCTCTCAAATACTAATCTTTTTCTCCTTTTTGAAAGATTTTGCTTGGATTGAAACATCACGCCTCCTTCCATTTCTTTGATTTATTCCAACCTTATAACAATCTCCCCCTGAAACAATGACATTACACATTAACAGCATGAAGTCTGGAAGGTTTGAAGATTGTTCTAATTTGATAAAACTTATAAGAATAATCAGATATGAATCGAATAGAAATAATTATGATAAACTTCTCACTAATTTGAATATAAAATAATATAAATATCTTCTGGCACTATGCTTAAGTATAAAAATCATGGCATAAATCTTATCGTCAACCACAATAATGTTAATTTGCAAAGAATTGTACTTTGTTTTAGAATTTAATCAAGCTGTGTATCTGATTGATGTTGTAGCGGTTGCTGACTCGGGTACAGCGAGCCGTCGTTCCATGGGTCTCCTTGTGTTTGGAGAAGAAGAAGAAACTCCGCCTACCAGGAGGCGGAGGAGGGACCTCTCTGTCTCAGTGACTTCAGGTAACAATGAGAGAGTGGGGACCGGAGTGCTATTGAATTGATCAGTTTCAGTCAGTATTCTGAGGTACCTGTTTTAAGATTATACATGTCCGGTCACCTGTGTTGATGGGTGCGGCCTAAAGTGGTTTCCTTATTTCACTCCAGGGGGAGCTAGCTTGTTCGACCTCAGCCTGACACCCGGTGCTGACTCTGGCACTTGGCAGGGAGATGTCATCGTTGGTGGAGGATTAACACGTGAGTTTTCGAGGAGTTTGACCTTTGAACACACAGGTTTTGAGCACTGGTCTCTGATAGTTGGCCTTTGCTATCATCCATTGTACTCAAGAATGCGCATTGATTGTGGTACAGCAGTGGTAATGAATTCCTTACAAGTTCTAACTCCCAATTGTTTTGGTGCATTGATGCTGTGGAGGCATCTTGGATGCATTCATTGTTGTACTGATCTGTGAATGTACTCAAATTAAAAAGCACACCTTAGATTAATTGGACACCATATCAGGCATCCATGTTTCATAACTGTTTCCCTATGGACTGAATTTTTCAATGATAAAAAAAAGAGAAAGTTGAGGCACACCCTTGAACTTCATTGCCACAGAATGCTCATTACTCACATGGACATTTAAATGACGAAAACATATTGGTTCTTTATCAAATAAAAAATATATTGTGCATGCTCTGTACTGCATGCTTAAACCAATTTGTAAAAGTAGCATGTCCTCTGCGCTCGAGCTGTAATTTCCTGGATGATAAATCATTCACTGTTTCCCAATGCATCCATAAGCTGACTCAGGCTCGTGAACAGTACACATTGTATTAAAAAGCACTGCTACTTCAGCATTCGTTTGTTTAAAAATAACTGTCTGTGTATTTGCATCAATGCTGTAAATTCGTTTGATTTTTATGATTTGACTCCAACAGAGAAGGGTCTGGATGCTCTCGGTCGTCGCATCGCCAACATGACCATCGGGGAATTGGAAGCAATGCTGGACCTTCAAAACATTGACCCGTTTACTGTGGTTCAGCTGATGAAGGACCTACGCTCTCTCTTCAGGACCTTTGTGAGCCAAATTTTATCCTTATGCCCACATATTTGATGAACTAATGATCTGTTGCACAAATGTGAAGCATTCGTGTTGTCTTGTTTTACACAATGCCTGGAAAAGCATGAGTCAGTCCCTACCCGAGTAAGTCCTAGCATCACCTACAAGAAATTCTCGTGAACAAGCAAAGGAAATCCATTTGCTGGTAGATTTGAACTTATGGTTTTAATTATTGCCAAGCCACATATAACCAATGATTCACCAATCAGCTAGTGGGAAATCGTTCAAGCATTGTATGAAAGTAATTGCCTTGAGGGCTGTCAAATATTGTGTACGATATAGCAGCTGTAATTAACTCTGGGAAAATCAGAATTAAGATCACACAAAAATTACAGCTCAGGGTGCAAGAAATGATACGTGAATGAACTTGCAAAATGGTCTCAGGAAATCTTTGGACTTAATGATGGGCAGGACTAACAAATGATGTAGTTTCATCCTCACAACTTTATTGGAAAGCTCACTCAAGGCTTTATTAATACTGACATTGCTATTCAAAGTCTGATGATGAACTATCCAAAGAAAAACCCTAAACTTACAACAGACCTACATATCTTTTGACTTGCTGGCAGGTGGAAGAGCTCATCGATGTGTTCACTGAAGGCATTGCAGAGGATAACTTTCAGCAATTTGACATTGTACTGAGCGGCACCATTTCATTCCCCAGAGTGAATGCCGTGTATTTCCGATACGAGTACAGGACACTCCTTGGTGGGCTGATATGGCTGGAGTTCAGTAAGTTTTATTTTCGAATCATGAGTTTCTCCTCTCCTAAAAATAACAAATCTCCTTAATCATATTAGGGTATGATTATATATTAGGTATGATTATATTAATCATACGAGGGTTCTGGGGTTATGTGTTTTTCAACATTTTACCTTTTTTAAACCACTTTGATTAAGATCTGTTTTTCCTTCTTTTTGAAGTTGATTTGGCAAATTGTGTGTCATATATCCAGTTTGTTAATAATTGTTGTCACAGGCTGTTACATTTAGAAAAGGAATGTGGATCCTGTTACAATAATCACATTTGTGCAAACCTTAGTTTTGAGAATTCCAAATAAGCAACCTGACTTCACTGAAATGAGAACAAACGTGATCTACAGCTATCATCTGTTTCATTTCATTTTTTTGGAAGATGTGGACCATAACAATTCATCCCTTTCAAAGAAGCCGGTTGGTGGAGATCAAAAATGAAAGCATACATATAGCACCTGTGTAGATGTTTGTATAAATATTTAAATTTTGTGACCTTCCTTGTTTGTAACCATGGTGACCAAAATGCTCTGAAACTGGCCTCTGGTTTTTGATCCTCAAAATGGAGACAGTGATTGGATCGTGAGCATTGATCAGTCAGGGTTTGGATCCTCCTTTCTCATTCAAGAATTTATTTACAGATCAGTTCATTGTTTGGTTTCGTTTCAGTCGTGGAATCTGGTGGTTTCTTTGAAATGCAGATACCCGTGTCAGTCTCCCTTGTTTCAATGCGTGCTACGGTGAGAAACACATGGTTGTGTTGTTTTAGACTTGTATTCATCTGTATCTGCTCTGTGTTGAAGTACTCCCTTGTTATCAATGGCAATAAGAGACAGGGTGGTTGGGACTGTTTTAACTGGGTGCAAGGCACCAAAGGCAGATCCGGGAGGTTACAGGGGCCATACCCTCCCCCCAGCAAAAAAAATGTTTAAATGATGAATGGTGACCTTGTGGTCTTTTTGATTTCCTTCTATTCTCAAAACATGTAAAAGACCCCAAAGGAAACCTCACCCTTCAAAAAGGTCTTGAAAGGTTGCATAAAAATTTCAAATTTTACCCCCCCCCCAAATAAAGTGCATAGTCAAAGACTATACATTCCAAGTGAAAGTAGTCGGATAAGCTCATGGCATGGCCCATGTCAAGCACTCAAGATTCTTTGAATGAAGGAAGTGTGCCCCCCTCTCTCCCAAGGAGGCAAACTTGGAAGATCTGCTTAATTGTATTATATTTGAGGAATTTTTCTGCAGAAATAATTAGCCTTGGTCAGGCAGAAGGGGTTTCATTTGTATAGCCAACCCAGTAAACCACATTCACTATTAAATAAACCTTATAAGTGCAACATCTGTAATTCACTCTTTCTAACAACTTACACTCTTATACAGGGCGGGGCAGTGCCATCCGTGGGGGCATATGCTAGGGCTACCGTGGCTATTTGCTATGGGTTGTGTGGAGAGATGGAACTCACAGCTGAGATGCTCCGAACGTCTTTCCCCACAACGGCTGAGATATTCTTCTCCAAATTCCCGCTGGATGTTGGGTAAGCTGGGATGGCTGACATAGTCTCTATCACACCCGTCTTTAAATTTTTTTAACCAGGCGAAATTAAGCACTTCACTTTTGTAATATTTTTGAAATGTCAAAAGCAATTTGATGGCAATAAAACACTTATTGAACTTTTCCCACATTTCCAGACAGCACTTAGGTTTTACCCAATACCCTCAAGGTTTTCATTATTGGCTACACTACTGTGTATTCTGACCGTTCTTGATATCAACTATTCAATTGTCCCTGAAAATGCCCATTTGCAACAATCAACATTTCAGAGTGTTCAACCACATGTCAGGTGTGTACATACCAGAAGACTCACTTAATTCAAAATAAAAATTTATGACGGTGGTCAACACAGTTAACCCTACTCTTGTTCAAAGCCTTTATTCTTTCAATCACCTTTAAATTGAAAAGAGGAAATTTTAACATGATTGACTTCGTCTTTTCTCTGCAGATTGAAATTGGATGTAGAAATGATCCCGTTGACAATTGTGCTGAAGGGCAAGGTCACCATAAGAATCCCGTTCTTCGGGAAGAAAACGCTTTTCCAGAAGGACCTGTACCGCTACCAAGCCTCCAAAATTTCCAGCAACATCTTCTACATTCAGACCAAGGATCCTGATCCCTCCCCACCAGAGATTTCAGAATATTCTACAGAGGTAAAAATACTTTTCAAGTCCCTCTGGGGGTTTCATCACAAGTCGATCACAGGTCCAATTAGAGGTTAGGTTGGTAACTTGACACAGGGCTACAAGACTTGGGATGAACTTGGCTGTAGTGTGTATTTTTTTTTCTGTTTTCGAATGGAAATGGCAAGAGTCAAAGATGGATGCTGAAAGAAAATGAAAATTCTGATGTGCATTTTTATGAGGAATGACAATGTCCTGGATGTGTGAATTCAAAAAGGGGGTGGGGCTGGACATCATCTGAGGAATACCATTTGTGGTAAAGAAGTACATGCATGTGTTCTCATGTGGCCTAAAATCTTCCACAAAAACAGGGTTTTAAATGCTTCTCCCACTTAAAAATCATTCAAACAACTTTGGAAATGCAGTGTATTGCAGCTACTATCTGCCGTTGAAAAGAGTAGACTTTTTGCTATGGAAAATGCATCCTCAAACCAGCATTTCTTCTTTGATTTCATGCCAAGCTTACTCTGGCATCTTTTGCTTTTGTAAAGGATGGTGTCAGTCAGTCTAGTGCTGGAGGAAACAACTGCGGGATAGAGCAGGTGCCAGGGCTAGACTACACAGAGCCAGCCTTCCAGCTGGAGATGGTGGCAGCTGACGACAAGAGCTTGGTCACGTTCTTCTACCAGGTCGGGACAGCCCCAGGAGGCAGTGATGTACTCTCCAAGACTGAGTTTGGAGGACCCTCGGCAATCATATCCCAGGTGAGTGTTGCCTTTGCAGCCTGCCACCTGTTCCATAATGACAAATGTAAATGTTATGTTATCCTATTCCAAAATCTCCAAATCTAGCATATCTCAAATCACTGATCTTCATACTATTAACACTGGGCAAAAATCTAGATGCAGTCCAGAAAGTAATTTTTCCTGCATTAGATATTAGCCTTATTAAGAATTAAGGTGAACTTTAACCCTCATAGACAATTAGGAAATATTTCTTATTTTTATCAAATAAAAGGACAGTGTTGAAGCCCACGATCCTTGAAATTTGTTTCATATTGACTTCACAACATGGAAATCAGTTTAAGTGGCTTGGGGCTTGAATATATTGCAAACTAGAGTCTTTTGATGTAGATGTTTTTGCTTGTTTTCAATTTGCCATTTTGCATGGAAACTGTTGGTAGTGTTTAATTTAGTATTTACTGGAATCAATGTAATACACATGTTTCAAAGAGTTTATGCTGGAGGTAAATATTGGACTTTAGACAACATTTTTCCCTTTATTTTTCTGGCATGAGTCTTGTTTAAATGTAAGAAACATATCTGCAAAACTAGCAAAACTATCAATCAAAGCAGTCTAGTCTAAATGTTGATGAGTTGGGGTACCGACCAGCTTTTACCAGGATCACTGTTTATTTTGCTGCATGTTCTACTTTCATTGTTAACAGATTCTTCTTGGTGGGCATCCACTCCATTTCACCGTTTACGCCATGAATAACGGAGGAGGCACTGCCACGGCAACCTGCAGCCTTCCGACCTTTGACGTCACCCTCCCGACGGGCCGCATCACGCCAGACTTCACCTCTACCAGCCACCCGCACATACTTCGTGCCTCGGCAGTGGTGTACGACGACTCAGTCATCTTGATGCAGAAGGAAGGCGTCGGGTTTGGCCCTGAGATCTGGGGGGACCAGATTGTACCATGGCATACCGTTGATTTCACAGAGAGGGAAAACGTTGGACCATCAGGTATTAAGACTAGTAGGTCCAGTGCTCTCCTAAATAGGATATTTAGAGATAGATATTTACATTTTGAGATTAGATCCAAACTCGAAATGATGTTTGCAGCATAGACAGATAGTGCTCTGAAGAAGGGATTAAATAGGAAGTTGCCAATACATCCTGTTCACATTGCTGTTTTTTATTATTTGCAATAAATCAATAATATGTAATTAGAAACATATAATTAAAAAATTATAAGAATCATTGTGCAACCATTTATTTTATATTTATTTTTTCTGTCTACAGTTAATGACTTTCACTCCTTCACTGCTGCCAAGCTTGGCCGCCTTATCTCCACACCGACATCGACCATCATCCACCGCAACCCCAACTTCTGTGCGAGGGACTGCCTTGCCCTGCCAGAAACCAAATGCCTGAGCATCAACTACAACTACGGCGACTTCACCTGCGAGCTGCTGGAAGAAATTGAGGGCCATGGGGTAGAGGTTCGCGAGGTAGGGCAAACGTACTCTTGCTGTTATTACAACAGGGAAGGCATGCAGGTCACACTGGATGCAAGAAATTGTGAAATGTTGAAATGTCCATCTATTTTGGAAAAGAGGGATGCTGTTGATCAGTTCCTATTTTAAAAGAAAGGAACTTCATCCGTGGGTTACCCACTATCTTTGCGGAAAACATCCTTTATAAGGAAGCTCCTTGTTGTGGACATTTTTATTCAATCTAGGTACATTCTGTCATATTAGGACACTCAAATAGTGCAACTTGTTTTGTCAAACCAGTCATACCTTGACATTCTGAACTTTGAATGGGTTTTTCCAGTTTTTCAAAAGGCAGGCAAGGCTAAATATAATGTATGACTTATAACATTTTGTGATTGTGTTCATTATTTGTGGCATATTTTTCATACAGCTGTTATATCTTTATCCTTATGAATAATCTGTTCAGTATCGTAGAAAGCTATTACCGTGGGAGACTTATTTTTTTCCTCTCCATTTTTAATTCATGTTCAAATTATGCCACTTTTGAGTGTGTGGACTTTATTTGTATTCTGTGCACTGATGGCGTTGCCCCCGGCGCCACCTTTTAAAAGGTAGTTATTTTGCCCCCCCCACTTCATAGGCCTACCAGCTGTTGCAGGTACATATTTTGCAACCTCATAATTGTATTTTGTTCAGTCTAATGGCCGAGGCTCACCCCCCCCCCTTTTAAAACCATTCTGCCGCTGTTGACTCTGTCACAGACAGCAGGAGTACTGGCAAGAGGTAAAACTGTGCTTCCAAACTTCATCATCATTTGTACTGTGGTCAACTTAGCACTGAGCTTGACTTCTGTCAGCTGGTGCCTGAGCAGCATAGTGTTGAGAAAGCAACCTCATACAGTGCCCTCAACAGGGCACGCTCAGAACTAATAGTAAACCACGCTTTATGACCTTGCATTTCAGTCTGGACTCTTTTCCCACTTTGAGCGGCTCGGTGTGGGTCACGCTGTTGAGTTCAATCATGAGTCGCTGGGGCTTGTCCACAACAACCTCTACTACTTCAACATTGAGCTCTTGAATTTCGTGGCTTATGAGAACATCATTTCATCCGTGGCCATCACTGCAGACTTTACGCCACCAGAACCAGGACTGATCATCAACAGGACCAGGGATGAAGTGGTGCATGAGCCCTGTGTGGATTTCACTCCAGAGGAGTGGGAGAGACGATGCATTGAGGACACACCACTGGATAACCATCGGTACAAAATGACAGCTAATACAATCTTCTGCTGTTACACCTTGTGCCATTTATATTTTTTTCTACATTTTGATGATACCTACCACAAATGGACATATGCTGTTAGGGGTAGGAGTTCTACTGGTTGTTAATTGTTCAGCAACTTGTCTCATGCCCTCAAAATGTTATTTCTGATGATAATGTTATCTTGTTCCTCAACCTCAGATATATCTCTGATGGCCCTGGTTCCATGACGGTGTTCAACGGCCATGAGGAACTAGTAGACATGCTGTACACAAGAAGCAATACCTTCATGGCAGGTAAGGGTGGGTGGAGCTTATAAGATGGGGGCAGAACTGTATTTTCTCATTATTCTTCAAGTAAAGCTAAGGTCTCTTACCAAATGGCCAAAACAGTAATCATTGGGCTTGAGCAATCAATTTCTGTTTGCTCAACATGAGAATATATTATCTCCCAGACATGCTGCAGATAGTGTTATCAACAATATTTAAGTAAGTCAAGTCACTCTATCTGTACCCAATCACTATTGATCGAGTCACATGTCACAAAGCCATTCAAATAAACTGTAAGTTTCCATCAGTGGCATATCCAGCAGTGGGACAGGCATGGCAGGGGGGTAAGGTGTCCCCCTGACAGATTGTTTTGCTGCTATGTTTATTTTAAATGTATTTATTCAGTTTTTATTGTAATATGTATGTATCAAATGTTAGCACCAAAACCATAAGAAAATAACACCATGAAATGAAAGCTAGGATTTCGGGACCGTGAGTGAGGCTTTTAATATTTTTTCTCCCCAACATCATGTCAAACAAGCCCAAAGCCACATGCCCCCCTGACACGAAAAGCTGGATACGCTGCTCCTTTCCATCCTCCAGTACTGCAGTACTAGTGTAACTAGACTTGCAAAGTGCCTGTCTTTTACAGACCAGAAAAGTAAAAGCTTCATGTATGTGCTTCTTTTGTAGTTAAACTTTGAACATATTCCTGCTACATGTATAGTTCTGGCTTGGGATAATGTTCAGGGACAAGATGAACTGATGAGCAACAGTTCAATGGAGAATGGCATGTTTCTCTCTTTAGTGTGTATTTTTTTTTTTTTTATTTAAACAAAGCAGTCCGTCTAACATCTGAAATAAGTTCGACTCCTTCACTTATGTATTTAAGTCCCCCTGTTTGGAATTGGCTTTCTCTTTCTGAAGTTATCCCATAGTACTAAAAATGCTTGTGATCACTTCGAAAGTGTTCTCTTTTGTGCAGCCAACTGGGAAGGTTTCCATGACAATGAGACCGGCATCCATGGCTACACCTGGTCCATTGGTTATGATGTCTGTGACGATGATGTCAGTATGCACATTGACCCCCATGCTCATCTATTTGATGAATCAGAGTGGACCCATCAGGGACTCGTGGTCAACGTCAATCTCCCAGGTATTCCAACATCAACAATCAACAACTTTGGGGGTGCATTCAAGCAAGTTACTCGTTTTACTCCTGAGCGCTCGAACGGCTGGAGTACAACCCACGGGTCAGCGAGAGTATACTCTTGCTTGAGGAGGAGTACGCTCCTGCACCTGAGTGTAATGCGCACGCATCCTACTCATGTTAACAAGAGTAACTGCGCGAATGCACCCGTGTTGTCAGATAAAACTATTGGATAGGATTGCTACCATATATTGGCAACTATAGTAATTACTGTAGGGCAACCACAAGTGTGCATGCGTATTGTAGTTGTCTAATACGGGCGATTCACAATAGTGTGCCTCCAAGAGTTTGCAATGAATTCGCCAATCACAACGCCCGAAATTTGTCGACCCTTTAAAACGCGCATTGGGTCGACAAATTTTGTGCACTGTGATTGGCCAACGTGTTGCAAATTCTTGGAGGTGCACTTTTGTGAAATGCCTGTATTGTTACTCATCAGATTTTTGAAGAGTGCATCAAAGGACCTCTTGAATCTTAACTTTTTCAAACCATAGACTGCAAGGGTTTTATGTTGGGTGAACATATCTATTAACTTACATATTTTGATGTGGCTCAAAGTTATTTACTGTATTTATGATTTTTAAATCCTGGATCTGTGCCTGCCACTGAATAAAACTATGCAATAGAAACAATTCTCTTGACAGTTCCATTAGAGTTTTGAGAGCATAAGATAAATACAATTTTCTTTGTTTCTCACATCATCAGATGGTGCATATTTCATCACTGTGCGTGCCCTCAACAAGGTGCAATTTGGTGGTCCCATGGCACTCACTGTGTGCCACAGCACCCCACTCGTTATCGACAACACTCCGCCCATCATTTACGGCATCCATGATATCACCTATGACTCATCCATTGGGAGGATTGGACTGCAGGTCAATGCAACGTAAGCAGTCTTTTCTCGTAATAGTTTTAAATTCCATTATATCACTTAAGATTGCTCAATTGCACAAAGATACACATGTAGGTTTAAATCAGGTATTTGTTGTTGATCGGCTGTAGCAGCAATATTTAACATTAACCCTAACTCTCCTCAATCCTTCACCTGTTGGAGGATTGAGGAGGGTTAGGGTTAACAAGCAAGGTATGACTAAGTCTGCAGGAGCATGGCTGTGCTCTCGTATCCTCTTATATGTATTATATGACTTCTTAAACCTTTCCATACATGCACGTATACGCACAAATGGCAAACTAGGTGGGCATTTGGGAACCTGTTAGAACTTTCTCTCTGTGCTCGCTGTGTGCATTTGGAGAATGGAAAGTTGGAAAAATGTCACTTGAGGCACATACATGTCTGGTTTCCCTGGATATCAGTGAATTTATTTTAAATACATAAGAGTAGCATATGTGATATGCAGAAAAAACTAAATAATTTTTTGTGTACTCAATGATTTTGAAATTTGAATAAAAATTTGTTTAGGACATAAATCTTGTTTTGTGAGTAGAGAAGAAGGAACAGATAGAGTGGAACTGATTAAAATATATAGACAGGATTTCGTCCCAATAATATTTAAAATATGTTTTCAAGCAGATTCTTAACTGTGCACCTTTAAGACAATTTAAATATTTTATTCCATCTTCTTGGTTTCTCTTGATCTTACACAGCGACCCTGATTCTCATCTGTTTGAGTATCACCTCGCAGCAGGTAGGACACCTAGGGACAAATCGCTACGTGATTGGGAGGCTCACGTGTTGGCCGAGCAGCTCTTCATGGACTTCAAGATACCAAACGGCATACCGTGCTGGCTTAAAGTCCGAGCTGTCAACAATGGTAAGAAAGATGCTTGCACTTTGGAAAGGGCAATCAAGGCAGATGGTGAACATTAAATTATCAGTGTACCTATCCATTTTAAATATCACCACACTTTGCATAATAAAGTATATCGCTTATCATTTATAAAAACAAGAATTCTTTAAAAGTGCCTATATATGTCACCTGGCTCATAAGCCTAAGGGTGAATCCAGAACTAAATTTTTAGGGGTTCCAAACTCGTTTTGGGGGCCAAAAAATTGTGAAATTGTTGCATATAACCTTTTATGGCCTTTCTAAATTTTGGGACTTTCTGCATGCTTTTAGAAGGAAGGGAAATAAAATAGACGAAAAAAAGTCAAATTTTTGTCATTAGTCCCCCCCCCTCAAATTTTTGGCCCCTTTTTTGAGGGGGGCATGGCGCCCGTTTGCCAACCCCCCCCTTAAGCCACCCTTGCACAAGCCTAAGGTTCAGAAATGGGAGGAAATCCCCGAACAAGTTTTGAAGGGAAAGCCCCTTGAATCAGGAAGGATTGACACTCAACCCACACTTTAGCCTTGGCAGGATTCGAATCTGGATCGCAGAGTATCTGCGCTTACCTGACTTCCCCAAAATGTGGATACACAACATTGTTTTAAAACCAAAGCAATTATACCTCCATCCCTATTTTCAGTGGTACCAAGCCCTTTACAGGCAAGTCCTCAAGCATTGTCTGATCACTTGACTAATGTCATACGCATTTACATGTGCACTTGAAAAGTGATAGACCTTGCGTCTTAATATGGCACCCCTTATTATTGACTGGCTAGTGTAGGTAGACAGATTAAATATACATGATGTGGGTGTGTTTTTAACTCTTTCCAGTTGACCTGAGAACTATCGATCATGCCGATGAGCCAATTTTAGTCGATGACAGTCCTCCAATAGCCGGTGACCTGTTTGATGGGCCCTATGCTGGACGAGATCTTGTATTTACCAAAGACAGGAATGAGGTAAATCTCTCTAAATGACATGTAAATATTCCCTTTCCACGATAGTGCATTTATTTCTAAATATTGTATGAGCTTTTAAGAAATGGATATCTCAAATTAGACCTTGTCAGCAGTATAAATTAAAAAAACTGCTGTAAAAGTAACCTACGGATGTTCCTCAGTATTTGACTTTTAAAATTTTTGTGCCTTGTTATCTAGATTTGTGCCAATTGGTACAACTGGTATGACCCCGAGTCAGGTATTTCCTCCTATCTTTGGGCAGTCGGGACCCAGCCCAGCCTGAGTAATGTGGTAGACTATATCAAAGTGTCTCGTCGAGAGCACAGCGCCTGCTCCGGCTATGTGACCCTGCAGCATGGTGAGACGTATTACTCCACACTTGTAGCCTTCCATGGCGGTTATGACAAACTCAACGTGTCAGCTTCTTCAGATGGAGGTATGCAATCGTATTTAGTGACATTTTCCTCAGGGCAATGGAAAACTTACTCTTCCCCAAAGCACAGACGGAATTTCATAACTGTCTCAGTGGTGGTTATAATTATTCTCTCAGCCATAGTTATCTTGATCATAGCATATTCATTATCTTCTATGTTCTCAGTGACTGTGGATCTAACTCCACCGATTCAAGGAAGTGTCTATGATGGCCTGCTGCCAGGACCCACAGATCTAGAATTTTCCTCAAAGCCCGCCACTGTGGAAGCCCAGTGGGAAGGATTCTCAGATCCTGACTCAGGAATCGAGGATTACCAAGTCACAGTCTATCGTAAACACAATAGCAGGTACAGATGGATTAGTTTGTACTAGACTGCAATACTGGTGTATCCAATGTAAAGACCGCTCAATGTGAGTTTCTCTATATTTCTGCTTCCTGGATAGGGATTTTTTCTACTGTAAAAGCCGTAGAACTCAATAAAATGTACTGTATATGCCCCAAATCCTTTTGAATGTTTCATTTCATGCAGCTCTAATGTCACAAATGACTTTGAGGTAATCCACAAGGCCGAGTCAGTTGGCAGGGATACATCCTCCATCGAATGGCATCACTTCCACCTCAAACATAAAGACCAGGTTTACGTCAACCTACGCACCATCAACCAGGCTCTGAATCATATCGACACCCCTACTAATGGCTTCTTGGTGGACCTGACCCCACCGAACCTGCGAACCCTGGGAGACGGGCTGGTGTATGGAGAAGATGCTGACTTCCAGGTGAGTGTCATCCTCATGTAGGTGCTGCGCTGTCTTACTATATATAAGGCACCTTATGCCACCCAACCTATACTGCAAATAAAATATAGATAGATAAGTGATGAGACAAGATACACACACTATTAAGTAAAAAATGTCACAGTTATAAATCTAATTACCGTCATTCATTTGTCCAGAACAGTCACACGTCAATTGTATAAACAAAAAAAACCAATTACTAAGATTTAATTTGGGACATAATTGGATAACCTTTTTATATGATGTGTGAGTGCAGACCATAACCTCTTACTTTTATCCAGTTTGAGAGCTGGTGGAAATAAACGGTTTAATACTGCACTCTTCAAACTAACTCATTTCTGACACAGTGAGGCACAGTGTTTTTTAATCTGTATGATTTGTTTACATTGTATCACGCAAGTTTTGACTGCCGCTTGTGCCCCCCCCCCAGATTCCTGTTATTAACCTTTACTAAATGTAGCTTAGGTATCGTGTGTTCTTGATGTACACAAAATGCTGCAATAGACATCCTAGTTGTCAACTAACATCCACTAACTTGTGTTTTGGTTTATACAGTCACATTCTGACAGTCTTGCTGTACACTGGGACTACTTTGATGATGAGTCAGGCATTGAATCCTTTGAACTGGCCATCTATGAGATGCGACAGGGGAACAAAATCAAGATCTTCCCTGCAGGTGAGACTGCATGTGGAACACAGCTTTTGGCTAACATTACTCGAAGCCAGATGCTGTTTACATTTTTGCATTTGCTTCTTCTAAAACCTCTCTCATTGGTTTCAGACTCTGACCCAAACAGCTTCGAATTGATCTCGGACGTCAACGCAAAGTCGCACATGCAGACCGGTCTAATGTTGCGTGGAGGGTCTATCTACATCACGCGTCTCAAGGCCAGGAACCAGGCAAAATTGGTAGCGTCTCACGAGACGAGCGGCATTAGGGTGGACCCCACCCCTCCAGTGGTGAGTCTCGCATATGCTGCATTCTTCTTCTGATAGTTCAATATTGGCCCTGCAATTTGCGTGTATCGTACATATATGAGTAAGCATGTTGTGTACTTTCATTTTATGCAAGCATATTGAGTCATGTACATGAATATTGTTCACTAAGGAATTTAAAGACCTTGTCCAGAAACCCATCAAGAGTTTGTTACTTTGTACACCTAGCATGGCACGATGCTGCCACACAAATACTATAAGGGCCTTTCTGACTTACAGTTATAATGCGCAGCAATTATCCATACCATCTGACGCATAAATAAGGTAAAGATAGAAGGGGAAATGATATAAGGAGGAATTTATGCATTTATCTAAAATGCATTTCACAGATTTTATTTACATTCTTGGGTAACGTCACCATTGGGTAGTGTACAGAATGAATGGGACTTTTTGGAAATAATTTCCCATGGAACATTGTCTTCTACACTTATCCGAGGTGATGTTGTGTGATGGCACTGCTCTCGCAATGAATATTTATACACTTAGCATGCACGTGCATCCCGCGCTGTTAGTCGAAGAGTTGAAGAAGCAAGTAGGCCCTAATGAACGTATATATCACCTGTCCACAAGTACACTGCTGCAGGTTAATACTAAATTACACTATATTATATACACAGATTGAAAAGCACTTCTGGAAAACGTACTGGAGAGTTACTGTATTTGCATTCACAGATGAGATATGTCCGTGGTGGCAACCTGGATGGAGAGATTGAAGAAGTCATCTATGGGTACTTGTACCAGAACAGTCACAGCACCATCCAGGCATCTTGGCTAGCTGTGGATGGACAGAGTGGTATCAAGAGCTACTGGGTGGCAATTGGAACAGCTCCAAGTCAGTAGAACAAAAAAATAATGCCTCCAAAAGAAACTTATCAGAACTTTTTTGCTAAATTCTGAATATATTTTGCAAAGCTAAGGATCTGTAAAGACCAATTATTTCTGATAATAACCTTGAGTTACCAGCATCATTTAAACATCCTGCTATATCACATTTCCATTGTTTAGCTTTAACTGACCGTTAAAAAGCTGCCACAGCATGAATCAAATAGCTATTTTGATAGTAATATCAGGCCTTGAAAACGTTTGTACGACCTCCTTCATGATGTTGGATGGGAAACTTGTGATATTTAACATGCTAATTTACTCACTTAGCTGTGTGTTTTTAACGACAGGCCAATCGTGCCACGGACAAAAAAAAATCAGTGGGAAACTAATTCATTATTATGAATTACAAATTCGTTATTATGAATTATTACATGGAATTATATTCGCTGTAATGAATAAAGAAGCTTTAACAACACCTAATTTCATACCTTAGCTGGTGATGAGTATTGTTATGCGCAGTTGAGTACATTTGTGTAGTATCTGCACAACATGAATGTTTCCATATTATTATTATTAATTACTAATTCGTAGTGTTGGTAATCCATAATAACGAATAAGTAATCCGTAATAACAAATTAGTAATACGAATTAATGATTCCTAATAAAGAATTAGTAATTTGTATTAAAATTAGTTTCCCACAGACTTTTTTGTCTGGGGCACAAGTGGGCTTTCGTAGTTTTTACCAATGTCTACTGAAACTCACTGTGACACATGTCAGTAGAAAAAACTAAAGTTGTAGCTCCACAACAAAATGGAAAGGAGCCCCAGGAGAATCTGATTATCTGTCTGGCATTAAGGATTAAAAATTTCTGTGATTGTTCCTTTAGATTCCGAGGATATCCAACCTTTCACCTCTCGTGGCCCCAAAGGCAACAGTGTCCTCTCCAATTTAGATCTTCAGCTCACAGACCCATCTACCTGCAGCGACGAGGCATTCACTGAGGGTTGCCAGCCAGTCTACTACGTGTGCGTTAAGAGCGAGAATGGAGCAGGGGCTTTCAGCGATGTCGTCTGCTCCTCCCCGATCAGAATAGTTGAGGAGGATCAAACAGGTTGGTGCAAGGCCTACCACAAACACCACATTAACACACACACACCAAAATTATTTAGCATCTCTCTTTGAACCTTCATTTTTGGGAAAGCCTCGACCAGTTAGGTCACAGCTTATTTCAGCTTAATTAACACAACACATAATGCAAAGTTTTAGTGTTTAGCTGTGCCATGAAATTTTGTGCTTGAACATGGACCAGACTCAGTGAAGTGTGGCCTATGGTGCCGAAAATGTTGGAACGGCTAGTGGTGCTTAACCTGTGGAACACTATGCTCAGCAGATTTGGTGAAACTCCCTGCGGAAATGTCAGTATTCTGCTAAATATTTTTAAATGCACAGTAAAAAAGATGTCGATCGTGAAAAAGCTAAGAAAATTTAATGTTACTGTGCACTTCAAAACTTACTTTCACCGTTTGCTTATCGTAGGGTATGTAACCGATGGCCCCAGCATGCTGCAGGATGTAGATGCACAACATGAGAGAACTACAGTCACCATCTGGTTTGATGATTTTGAGGTAAAGTTAACTTTTTTGTTGTGAATCTTCATCACTTCTTATCCAGCCTTTAAAATGACTTGTTTGCAGTGCAGATAAATTTACCTGAACTGTAAAGTTGTTAGAAGTTTCAGGACTGGTCGAGGAATTGTTTTGTTTTTTTTCTGTTTTTTAATTAACACTTTCTGGAATTGAATTATGTTAAGTATTGGAAAACCAAAAAAAAACTTCTTTGAGCATAGATGTCAATAAAGCCTGTACATGTTAAGACCATTAAAATACATATACTTCTGTGCTTTGTAACTGTCGATTTATAGAGCCAATTGCATGGCATTTCTCACTACGAGTGGGCAGTGGGCACAACCCCTGGTGGTGAAGACATCCAACCTTTGACCTCTGATGGCATAGTGCCTGGCAGTGATGAAGACGCACCAGGTAGGATGCTTAGCATATCTGTACCTCATAATGGCAGTTCTGGGTAATACCTGGCTTGCCCGGCCGGTTTGCCTGGCACCCTGACTTGGAGGCCATCACTGCGGTGTTACCATTTAACATACCTCTTTGACCAATTTGGTACCTTAATCTATCAAAATGTGTCCCTTCCTCAAGTTTAAGAGCATGTGTGTAAGTGTTATTACCCCCACATTTAGAGCACCTCTTCAGGTTGCCTAATCTACAAGTTTCATTGTTGAAGTCGAGTCCATTACCAGGTCCTTTCATAACGCCATTCATCAGTACAGGGTGAGAAATGACAGTTTTGTTACAGTTCACCTGAATAGTTTGTGACTTGGCTAAAGAATGTATTGTAGCGTGTCCTACGGATCAGGGTTTGATGCTGGTATAGAATCACACACAGCCGCAACTCGCTGTTTTGGTCACGAAATCTGTTTTAATGCTGTCGTCCACAACAATGCGTTTTCAGCTCAGCTCTAAACATGGCGCCTGTCGGCAGGGACTGCGCAGGCGCGAGGTGGGAAAACCGCGGGCCATTCGCATACCAGTGCGGGCAGCCAGCCAACTCCATGCGGGTCCGAGCTGGCGCCCCCACCGGCCGGACCCGCCGGCGCTACAGTATGAAATGTGATGGTGGCAACACTATATGGACTCAAGTACAACACCGATAAATTTTTTAATAAACATGTTATTAACAACTGGCATGTCATAATACAGGGAGTAAGTAAGTTTAGGGCTCAGTAGCTCTAAAAATCACCTTCAAATACCTCTTCCTTTTGGATTGATGCATGTTCTGTAATTGTGACTTTATTTCCAGGATTAGCAGGTAAGGGCAAGGCCCAGTCGCCTCTACCCCTCCAACACGGCATGACGTACTACAGCACGCTGCGAGCCATCACCAACGGGGACAACGTCTTGGAATCCACGTCCAATGGCTTCACGGTGGACATCACACCTCCTGAGATCATGATCACCGACCTAGGCCAGTATGATGCAAGCGTAGATCTGGTGAGTGGATTAACTTCTCATGGGGAAATGCCAATATTTAAGCTTGCACCTGCTCAATACAAAACCAAAATTCCATCCAGGTATGGAATTGGTTGATTGGCCGTAACAATTTAAGATAATGATTTTAATCTTCAAACTTTTTATCAGCAATTTGTCCCACACATGCAAACTACCATGAACAATTGCACAATGCAGTTAATCTGTATTTACCAGTATTTCACGACTTCACCTTTATATTTAGCAAAAAATTGAAATGCAGTCAGTAACCTCAATGACTAATTTATCCATGGAAGTCATGACATCTTTGAAGAGTGGTACGATGTTCACCCATCTTTAATCCCCAGAGTCTGGAAGGCGGTATTGCCCTCTATCAACCCAACACAGACTCCATAGACGGCACGTGGGAGGTTTCAGACGAGGAGAGTGGCATTACCGCTACCTACTTCTCCATGGGGCAGTACCCAGGAGGAAGCAATGTGTATCCTGTCACCCAAACCAATAAATCCTATGTGCCCCTAGCACTAATAACTCCTTCAGATATAGGTAAGGTGCAACTCATTGCCTGTAGGGCTCCTTTTGGGGTTGTTCCTTTCCCTGACTTTAGGTCTCTTCGTTTTGGTTGTTTGGAAGTAGTTTTTATCCGTGAAGTGATGTAATATGGTAATTTTCTGCATATCAGCCATAAATGGTTCATTCATAAAAGTTTCCATTGTGATGGAAAGGGCATGGTGATGGTATTTGCAGTAATGATGATGAATCTGTCAGGCTGTTTCCTTTCTTCTACCCCAATTCCTGGATACACCAGGAATGTATGTTGTTTTGTTAACTTGCTGGTTGAAATTTGCTGTATGGATGATTTTTCTTCCCACTGAGCTATTATATTCTGTTCCTTCTTATCTACAGGGCTGCCCAATATTCTCACAGTGCAGGCCATCAACAGCGTCGGGCTGAAGCGGACGGTCTACACCACAAGTATAACTGCTGATAACACACCACCCAGTGTTGGTCAGGTATGTGTTCTTGTTGCTGGCAATCAGTAAAAAAGGCTGTGTGTTGCAGGTACAGTTGTTCTGTAGATGCTACATAAATGTATGTTTCACAGACTGCAGATCCAGCATACTTTGTACATACAGCCACTTATCCTGGCATATCAAAGACCCAGATCTGAGGGCCTCATAAATTTTGCACCATCCCTGAAGAATCTGCACACCAGGCACTTCTTGATTAAAATGACTTTCACTCATTAATCCAAAAGTTACGTTCACTGAAAAAAATTCTGTTCTGTAGGTTAAAGGAGTTAATCTGAGTTTTCGTCTTATCCTTGAATGCTGTTTTAATGGATCATCCTGGGATCTCCCACAAGATACACTCAAGGCTCAAGTCATCACTCAGATGAGAATAGATTGCCTGAAATTCTATTCCAGTGATAGAGATAATGCAGACTAATATTTTGCACCATCCTTTCATCCCGTTTTCTTGTCAGGTCCACTGTCCTGCGTTCATCCATGCTAACAGCGCCCTGCTGTGCAGCTGGTCAGATTTCCTGGATGCTGAGTCTGGTATTGACCACTTCCACCTGTTTGTTGGCTCAGCACAGGGTCTTGATGACGTGTTTCAATCTGGCTACCTACCTGGGCATCTTTCTCACTACAGTGTCAAAGGTTGGCTACTCTAACAATGGAATCATACTTTCATTCAGAAGAGAATACTTACAAACACAAACAAAGCTTAACTTTTCTGAATTATCAGACAATCATCATAAACAGTGTTACTCCACACTTGCATAAATCCCCGTCATCTAATTGGTGGATTGTTGATCACATGGCATTGAATTATTTGTACCCAAATGCAACACGTGCACGAAGCATGCGCGATGCATGCAGAGTGAAAAAAATTTATAACAACTGTGCATATACAAACGAATAATGAACACCTCTGGATCAATTGCACTGTAGCTTTTAGTGGTGCAATTTCTCAATGGCAAAATGATGAGCGATCAAGCTCCGCTGTCCATAATTCTACAAAATAATTTTAAGAATTTGATTTTGTAAGTAATGCTGATGCTGCCAACATAAGGAAACAGATAAAAGGCTGCCAAATGATTAAACAAGCTCGGAATACGATGTCGAAAAATTAACAGATTCACAACTGGACAACTTCCAGTTTGAATCAGATACTTAATCCAGCTGTACTCAGAGTGTAAGAATAATTGCATTCGGTGACAGATGAATTAGTCTATTCGACTTGGCTTTGCGTCGTGGTATCAGTGGCGTAGTCACAGGGGGGCACATACCCCCCACAATTTCCCTTGTCCCCCCCAGGTGCCCCCCACTAAAAAAAAGGATTAATGGATATTGAACAAGGCCAACAAAAACTTGCCCCCAAAAAACAACACCACTGAAAGCTGGTGCCTCCCCATGAGATGCTGGTGCCCCATTGTGCCCTCCCCACAAGTAAAATTCTAGCTACACCACTGTGTGGAATAGACCGTTTCATCTATCACCTCGTGCAATTATTCTTACTATTGCACTCATAAATATTCATTATTTGTATATTATAACATTATCAAAAGAGAGTCAGGAAAGATTGCATTGCTTCCAAGAGCTCTGTGTTTGAAGTGCCTATGTTGGATTCTGTTTGTGTGATGTTGCTTTGTAGAAATCTCGTTGCTCAGATTTACAGAAAAATCTTGGTGGAAAGTTTCCAGTGACAGTAATGAGCATGCAGAATGACATTAAATTTGGAATTATGTTATTGAAAAATGCCACTTTTCCCAACAGATTTGAATCTGATTCACAACAAAGTCTACTATGTCACCGTGGAAGCTTTCAATGCTGTCAATCAAAGTACAACAGCATTCTCTGGTCCTATCGAGATTGATGATACTCCTCCATCTTACGGCCTGGTGGTAGAGCTGCCTGGTGTGTACACCTTCAATTTCAGTGATCCTGTGACTCTGCCGGAATGGGACTGCACAGATGAGGAGGAATGCTTGCGCCTGGACGGAGAGTGTCTGGAATCACTCACCCAGCTACAGATCCTGTGGCAGGCATTCACCGACGAAGACACCCAGATCACTAAGTACGAGGTTGCCCTGGGCACCACGCCTGGAGGATCACAGGTCAAGCCATTCTACGAGGTAGCCAAGGACCAGACTTCAGAGCTCATCTCTAATATCGATCTGAGCGATATCCACAAGGTCTACGCCACAGTCAGGGGCTATAATGAAGCAGGACTTACCAGCACTGCGGTGTCCAATGGCATCTACGTCAGCCGGTTCAGTGCTGGACTCCAACCACTCCGACCATTCGAGGTCAAGGACGGAGTAGATAGCAATGACATGGATGACTCAGACTTCCAGACCGCCCTACAGGAGCTGAGTGCAGCATGGGATTTCAGTGGAGATCCTTGCCCAATGAAGAAGTATGAGTGGGCTATCTACAGAATTGATGGACAGGAAATTCAACCATTGACTGACGTTGGAGGTAATTGCACAAATGTTACCCAAATATTAAAGTTTCATCCTTGCATAACAAGGCTGTGACCCTTGCCTCATTTTGCAATCAGTGAAAATCATTGACACTGTTACAGTTTTAATTCTTTAGTAACAGCATTTCAATGTTTTCCGTGCCTCGTTATTTAATCACACAGCAATCTGTAGAACGAAGAGAGGCTTGGTTTAAATTTCCACATAATTGTTGTAACAACATGTAAAAAAATTAATATGATGCTGTGACTTTGAAACCACTTTCTGTTGACCTAAGGGATGTGAAATTAAAAAAGTATGACTGTTGCTCTCTTTATGCAAATCATGTGAGCATGTTTAATAAACCGTGTCTGTCATTTGTTACATACAGAACAGACATCTGACTCCAACACAGATGTTAATATGATAGACGATGAAACCTACTACACCGTGGTACGGGCTACCAATGCCCTCGGCCTGGCTGTCACTGTTCGATCTGATGGGATTACTGTCAAGCGGGAACCCTTGATACCTGGCCAGGTCTACGATGGCCTCCTGGTGGGCTTCGATTTGACCTACCAGAAGGAGACAGACACCATATCAGCAAGCTGGAAGGGTTTTGGAAAGGGGACACAAGTAGCAGAAACTGTAGAACATACAGGTTTGTCTTGCAGGCTCAGTTCCTTTCTTCCATAAAGTGGAGTCTTAATATGTTTTGCTATGTTGGCTGTTATCCTGTCATTGATCTCTTGTCCAGTCAAACCAACTATTAATGTGTCTTAAGTGTCATATATCTGAATCATAAGTTGGATCTAGTATTTTGGGGTTTGGCGTAAAGAGACTCATCAGACTTAATTTAAGACTATGATTATTTTGCATGAATTCAGGAAAGATAATTTTGAAATTTAGCCATATTTTGGTCGGTTTTTTGGTGTTGAAGCAAAGCCAAACCCATCTTCACGACAAGTCGGAGTCTGAATAAACAGAGTGACTTGAGCTTGATTGAGGAATGGAACATGATTTGGACTTTAAACTGAGTCATGGGATGCATTTCCACATTTCCAATACATACTGACCGTCTACCTGCTGTTCCCAAAGGAAACGCTGAGGTCAACAAAGGCCAAACCACCCAGCAAACTGTTGATTTCTATGAGGCAGCAGTTGGCACTGACCGGCGCTACCCCAAGACCAGAGACAATGTAGTACCCTTCACCTACATGGGTCAGAACACGTCAGTCACCTTCAGAAACCTGGATCTCACTGCCCTCGACTCTACCTATTATGTAACAGTCAGGGGACACAGCGCTAGTTTCTCTACAGCTGAGGTAACATCAACTGGGATCAAAGTTGGTGTGGATACCCAAGTGATTGGTAAATATGTGTACCTGTTTCATTCTTCCCTTCATTTCTACAGACAATCTTCACTTTTACAATTGTATTTGGAAATCTTTGTTTTGTAAGAAAAACGGTAAAATAAAGAAAATCATTACTACGCTTTCAGGACTATTCATTCATAGCCCTAGCAATCCCAAATCCTCTGATTCCAATATGATTTTACATACACCCTAGGAGGTTAGGGTTAATATATTGGAAAGTTTTGACATTTCCAATGGAAGACATGCTAACTGAAAGGAAAAAGTGTTTCTTAAATTTGTTACAATAGTAAAGTTCCTAATCAAGACTGCCCAGGTTGTACGTGTCGAACAAGGAAGACAAATTTTTATATTACATTTGTTCCAGACACTCAAAAAGCCACCTAAAGCCAGATAAAAGCAATACCTGTATGATTTCTTTTCTGACATGCACCTGTAGTGACATAATCAACTGAAGAATCGTATTCTGTTACTTTCTTTATTCATCTAGTAACTGAGGTTGAAGTTCCAGATTTTGTGAACTCCCTGTCTGAGGTCAAACTTCAGTGGGACAAATTTGAATCCACAGTCCCCATTCTGCTCTACTACGTTGGCCTGGGCAAACCCTCTCCCTCTGTCACACCACCCGAAGACATGGATTGCCTGGATATGCTGCTGGTAACTCCACAGTCCCGGGCTACGTTCAGTGAGAGATCAATGCATTTTGTGGGCAAAGACACCTTTGTGGAGCTCAAGGGCCTAAATCTGACACAGGAGGGGTCTTATTACGTGACTGCTGTGGGTGAGTTTATAATGATCATATATAGTGATCAACTGGTATTCTCAAGTGAGGCATTCGGAAAGTGATGGATTCATAGGATGTATTTATAGAAATAGAGTGAATGTTTTGAAACCTTTTAAATCTGTTAGATATCAGTAGTTTGTATTAGGGGTGCACCAATAAGCGTTTTTCAGTTGTCTTCTACATCTGGGCCCACTTTTGTAAAGCTGCTTAACAGTTAGCAGAAAAGTCGTGCTTACTTTAGCACAAAAATTTATAACCTTAAGCACTATTTTATAGCAGTGCTTGCCCTGGTTGTGCCTACGATTGCATGCACACAGAGATTTCCATGGTTTTGCCACTTCCCTAAGCAAATTTTCCTCTGAGGGAGGTGTGCCTTATACCGTGCTTACTGCTTACGGTCTCCATGAAATACATGGATCCTCTGTTAGCATAAACTTGTGTGCTTAGCAGTGCCGTGAAATTGGGTCCTGTAATTTCCCAAATTTTCTTACAATTTGTATTTCTGTGTATTAAAAAGCACTGTGGAGCAGTATTGTAGTTAAGACCACTTAAGATCTTTACAAGACCATGCGAGACCAACGCAAGACCAACACAAGACCTCCAGTCTGAATTCAAGTCACAAGCTTTTCAAATGAACTGCAACAAAAGCACTTCTTTGTCATTTTTCACCCTGTGAGTTGTGACTGATCTTGTGCATGGTCTCGTGCCTGGTCTTGTGATGGTCTCGACTACAACACTGCTGTTGAGTCACAAACAATTTCAAAATGTTTTCTGATGTTTGACAGTTCATTGTACTACTTTCAGGCATGAACGAAGCAGGGCAGTGTAATGCCTCTACCAGCTACTTCTCTATTGATGTCACTCCTCCCACTGAGGGTCGATTGCGTGCTGGGCCTTTCTACGACATGGTAAGTGCAGTCCAGCTTCTCTCTGTTATTTTTCATAATGATCTTACACATCCTATTCATCAGGGTGTGCTCAGTGCTGAATTGTTCTATGTTGCAGTGACTTCTTTTGAGATCGCCTACAAGCTACTCATTTTTTGGATATCACACCTCCCCTGAATCTTCGTGTGTTGTGGTGAGACTTTAAGATCTTTTGGCGTCCCACTTCTAGTTGATCACTCCTTTACTATGCGAAACCATAACATGACTTTCTGGAGGGCAGTATAACACACCTGCACAGCCATAGTGATCTCCTAACAAGATAATGTGAGGGAATAATTGGCATGAGAATCCTGAAAAGCTGAACTAAATTAAATGGGCTGGACCATCTCACTACAAAATGTACTCTTCAGTTTTGCATACAAAGTTTTGTATCTGCATACCATGTCATTACCCAGCACTTTGTATCCTTCCACATTGAGTGAAAAATTGATTTTAAATACTAAATATAGTTAAAAAGTGGACTTTGACGGAGATTGGCATCGTTATTATCGAAATAATAATCCTACCAGTTGCCACTAATTTTCTACCTTCTTCTTCACTGCTAATATCACTACATCTAAAAAGAACCAGGCTTCTTTGGACCACCAAACAGACCCAATGGTCTCAGCTATCGCGGGCCTGATCTTTTTCAAACTTGGCATGCATGTTGAGATGATCATTATGAGTACATCTGTGCAGTTTCAGTTTAATCCGATGTTGGGTTTCATTTTGTTGCAGATTCTGCCCCCCTCCCTTAGGGTCAATTGCTAATTATCTACTCACTTTCAACCATTGAATGGATCTCATAGGAATACTAGCATCCATGCAGTAGCATACCTAAGATTTTACTAGTGTGGGGGCACAAGGGGACTCCAGCTTTCAAGCAGAGTGTTTTTTTGGGGCCAAGCTTTTGTTAGCTTTGTTCAATATCCATTCATCTGTTATTTTTAGTGGGGGACACTAGGAATTTGTTGGGGGGGGTGTCCCACCCTGGCTACGCCCCTGGATCCATGAGAACGTTCCCACATTAAAGGGAATGGTCCACTTTGTGAAAAGACCGTTCTGAGGTAGCATTGGGAATGCAGTGTTTCAAGTGGAACAGCTCCCCATCCCAGAATGAGAACAAAGCATTCCCAGGGGGACATTCCAACTATTCAAAGTTGTAAGATACTCCCATATTACACCCTTTAGGGTGTAATATGCCAGACCCAATCTCTATATAATAGGGTGTAATAGGGTAATGTACTGTACCTCCATGGTTTATTGCTCTTTCTCTTGACTGTGAAACCCTTTTGGTAACCACAGCTGGTGACATACACCGACAGCGACGAGTCTGTGTCTGTGGTGTGGGAAGATTACAAGGATGACGAGAGCGGAATCAAATCCTTCAATCTCCGCCTTATGCAAGCTGCATCATGTGACGTCAGAGATGACAACAACTTGACACCGGTACCCGACCAAGACTGGCTGGTACTTGGCCCAGGCATCAGGGATCACACATTTGTGGACCTAAACCTAGAGGTAAAGCAATGGCAAACCTTGTCTTTTATTGACAATAAACTAATTAATAGATTAATATTGTTGTTTTAAAAATCCACAGATGCCAGAATACTTAAGGCCTAATACTGACATTTGTCATTCAGGCTGGTAAATTATTTTGTCATTTCAACATTTTAATATAGAAAAGAATGTAAGAAAGAATTAGAGGGAAACAGGTTGCAGCTTTGGCATTTGGTATAAGGGGTATAGTCCAATTTTATCACAGTAAAACTGTATAAATCACTGGATCATTTGCATGTGCACAAAACAAATTGCTTCCTAAATTTACACTTAGAATCCACCACAATGTATTGGTCTTTAAACTCCAGGTCTTGTAGCTAGACCTAATTTCTAATCTTTTTATGAAGCACTTTAGAGCATATATCGTCTGAAAAGTTTTAAATTTATAAAACATTCCTGTACCCTTTTCACACTGCTAGCTCTACTGAGTATGGTCCTTTTGGGCATATTTCATCATCTGTCTGGAGAATTATGGAAATAAACTTCATATTGACTTTACATTTATGCTGGTGTTCCTCTTATCAAAGCATGCTGCCGTTCTTGGATATTTCAGTTTGGGTTCTTATTTTGATTTAGTCTATTTAAACTATTTGTCTACTATTGTACTTTCCAGATGAACCACCCTTACTATGTTCAGCTGTTAGCTGTGAACCAGGCAGGCGATAGTGTACAGACCCAAGTTGGACCCATCTTTGTGGACTTGTCAGAGCCAACAGTCGGGCTGGTGGCAGATGGAATGGACTTCAAGATGGATATTACAGACAGTGGAGACCGAAGCCAAGTTTCTGGTAAACTGATACTCCTTGACAGTTTATTGTGCCATTTGCTGATTGTGTTATGTTTAGCTGAAATACTTGACTTTTGAAAAGAGTAGGATATTCCACCTCGATTTTAAAATGCAGCCAAACCCCATAAAAACTGACTATTGAGAGTCACTTGAACAATATTTGTACAATTCTTTTTATTGAAAGCTCATATTTTGCAATGTTGACATGCTGAGATGCTTCCACAGAGCAATACTTGCTACAACAGGTAGCCATATTGGTCAGGTTGAAGTTCAACACATGCTTTGTCTTGGTCTTTGGACAGCACAAAAAAAATGAAAATGAGGGATTACAGTGGCACACACATCCACTGCCAGAGTCTTGAAATGCTTAATGGTTCATCAACCCATCAGCCATTCCTGTAAATAGAAATTACCAGATCCTATTTACACATCTTCCGACATCAACCGGTTAATTTTCTTGTTTTTAATGTTGTGCTGAAAGGCTATTTCTGTAATGCCCTCATCTTTTTACAACTTACAATTTGACTTGATCATTACAGGCACAATTCTCCACCTGCCCAACCCAGTGGGTCCCGCCTGTCCATTGAGGGACATTCCCTTCACTGATCCGCAGTGGTCAGCACTTGACTTCAAGGGACTCTGGAACATGAACAGGGACAAGTGGGACTTGGAGTACCATTCACAGCAGGTAGGTCGACAAAATACTAGGCAGTGACTTTCTTAGTGCACATGCGTGCATTCACAGGGACATTTGGGTATCTTGAAGGAAGAATAAATTTATTTTCCACTTCAAAAGCACAGTAACCCTCAGCTTGACAAGCAAAGTGTTGGTATTATTGATGGACAGCTTAAAAATTAAAAATGTTTGCTGAGGTTAAAGTTGAGGCATACAGAGACTCAGAGGCCAAGTTCTGAAGCAAGATTTAGTGATATTTCTTTACTAAACATTCAAAATAAAACTGTCCAGATGAAGGAGGGTGATTAAAACTAGATTTCCAGTCCATTCCTCCTATATCTCCCAGTGTTATTATCGTTAGTGTAATTGTCAGAGAGATCAGCCATGCTGTGGGATGTAGTGAAATTTCTACTGGTTATTAATTTGGGGCCTTTATTCTTACAGCAAGACACGGATTTAAGTGTGGTTTGAGTAAGCATTTGCCCTGGGGATGATTTGATGTTGCATTCTTGAAGCTTCTCAAATAATTCAGAATTTAACTTGTACAGGTGTTTGCAGCCAACGAGAGTTTGACACTGAAGATGGAGCGGGACACTAGAGGGCCACGCATGCTGTCTGGGGCCTATGTCACCAATGCTCAGATTGTCAGGAGCTCTGAGTATGAGGTTAGTGTTCTCAGTCGATTTTGTGTTAAAAGTCAACAAAATATACAGCCCATCATTCCGTTTATATCATGCCCAAAGGATTCCCCAGTGAAATCAGCTTTCAAGGTGGCGTACGGACCTTAGTTGTTTGATAAGTGACAATTATAGTGGACTTGATTAATACATCACATAATGCCAGACACCTTGGGCCTAAATCCCAGGCGGGTATATACCCCCCCCACTTTTTAAGGTGGGGGAGATGGACTATGGAATCATCCCCCCACTTTTTTGTGATGAGCAAAAAATGTAAAGCAGATTGTGAAGACTTTTCAGTATTTCCCAATGAAAACAATGTTTGCAATATCACTAAAAAGGGGAAGCAATTTTGAAAAGCCATGAATATCCCATTCCGATGTAAGATTCTGCATGAATTTGATACACATTACAAATGTACATCTTTACCATAAACATCGCCTCCCCCATAAAATGTATATGGTGTCCTCCCCCCTTTTTCAAATTTCAAACTTCCATGTCTGGGCGAGTCATCCCCCCACCTTTCCCCATCCTCCAGTTTCCAACACAGATTTACGCTACTGCCAGACAATCTCTTTGTACATTTACAGAGATGCATGTTCTGCCACTAAAAGTGGTCTTCTCAGATAACTGTATGTGTCTTGAAACTGATCTGACTGAAGTGTGTTGGCTCCCTTCTAACAGCAAAACCCGGTTTTTCTATAAATTCAGGGTCCAAAAGTGTTACAGTTTTGTGTCCCTATTACATCTGATGTGTAATTTAACCTGGAAATATTACTGAAATTTGACTTCAAACTGTTTGTAGTTGTTTGGCAGATAATTTGCATTAATTACTGATCAATCTGGAACATTCAAGAATATGTTGTAAACTTGCATCGCATGTCAGATATGACAGAGACATCACAAAAGAACTTGGGTGCCAAATTTACAGAATGATCCATTTGTCTTTGATTTCAATCCATTACATTCAGTTCCCCAATTTCCATCTGATGATTTCTGTCTCGTGTAATGCAGAGATTTACTGAAACTTCAAAGTGTTAATTTCCACAGTCAGTTGGGATCTCACGGAAGTCTGATATTGATTTCATCTGTCACTCAGACACTCCTGTCATTTGGTTTGTAGGGTTTTGTAGGAGTTCCCTTACAGCTGTTTAAACTTCCAAAGAATTGCTGGAAACTTTTATTTAAAACAAGGCACTCTACCATTTTTGTCACTGTTACATTATCTAGTTTGACTTGAAAGCCGCATCATCGGAACTGCACAGCGTGACCAGTATCCTATTCTGGGATGGCCCAGATGGAGTGATCGGAGAGTTTGACTTTGGTGGACGAGAGAACTGGCAGGAAGGGATCTGTCAGTGCTGCTACACACAGCCTCTTAATCAGGTAGGTATAAACATGAAAAAGATAAGGAGTCATCCATCTTTTTTATCACTTTCACTAGTATTGAAAGAGTACCGTACTGTTACTTCTCTCAGTGAGCACAAAGTGGAAAGTACAGGCTGGGTAAGGCTTAATTAACAAGGCCTCTAATACCCCATCCAGAGTACGGTTTGTACACTCAGGAAAATTCTGCAAACAACAGATGGCCGTTAGGTATATTTGCTGATCATTGTCTTTAAACACTGCATTTGATTCAACAAAAAAAGAAAACAGATACCTATGCACATTTTTAGTTCAGATTAAAATTGCCTCAGTGTATTCCATGCCACATATGACTTCATGCACGCATTGTGTGGGCCCTACATCAAATGAACTTTTCCCTATCTTTTACATGCACTAAGGCTGTTTGTGTTTTTAAAGGAACTAACTGGCTTCTTGAACGTATATTTGGTTTTGAAGCAAAAAATGATCAGACAAGATAAGAAATTCTCAAATCAAAGATGCATTGAGAAGTAACTGACGTTTTCCCTACTTTTGCCGTTATTTTGTTTCCCCAGTCGGCTTGCCCATTGTGTGATTGCCTTGACTTCCTTGGCATATCTGATCCTGCGGACAGTAATACGACCGTTGCTATTCCCACGGTCAAGTCGCAACCCAACGGTGCAACCACAACAGAGGCAGCCCAAGGCCTGATCATGACCACTGCCAAAGTACCGTGGTCCATCGAGAGACCTGACGAAGATGGAGACAGTATCTCTGATGACAAAAGTGGCAGATGGATTCCACAGAGAGCCTGTGGCTTCCAACTCTATCCAAGTGGGTTGATATGTCCAGTAACTTTTTTGATAAATGAGTGCCATTCGAGTACATACGACAACTGCTGTCAACTGCATGTCTGCAGACATTGATCAGTTAAATTCAAGCAACGTAATGCATTCACTTCACATTAACAGTGGCAAAGATGTAAAATTTTTCTGTCATCGTGGGACACTTATTGACCACCTTTTGTTGCAACTTTATATAATGACGATGTAGGATTGTGCACAGTGAGTTGAAAATTAGTCGCAGGATGTGTTCAACTTCCCTTATGCTATGATGCATTGTTGATTGTATTGTCTTTTGCCAGATGGAAATAAATCGCAGGCTGTCTTGTGGTGTCGCTACTTTGAGGATGACTGGCCAATGACGTCAAACATTGTGGATCTGGACTACGACCCATCAGTGGAAGAGCGTCATTATTCCATTAACTTCAGGGTCATGCCATTTGATGCTGATGAGGTAAATTCTGTTCATGAGATATTTGCTTCGGCCAAATGCCCGTGCTGTATCAACTGACATTGCCACAGGGAGTTCTTGTAGAAATCATGAAATCATCAATTTCGTGGATCATCTCAGCACCTTTTTGCTGAGTTTAGAAATAAGCTTTACTCACCATGAACAGCTTTTTAGGCCAAAATTTTAATTTGATGCACATGTATATATCTATTTATTTCTCCTCATGAAACAGTAGTTTTTCATGTAGTAGCTTAACCAAGTGTCTCATCTCAATTAAGCAGCTCAATCAGTTCTGTTTTGGATTCAGGAGTAGGGATCAGGAAGCCATGAATAGAATCCCAGCAAGTGAAAATTGGTAATTCTGTCAGGCTCTCATTTCAGGAGTGTGCAAAGTAATTGTGGTCTTCCATTCCTTGTAACTCTCATTGATGCTTTCCCCTTGTCGTAGGATGAATGGTCCTTTGAAGTGAATGTTGATGGTAAGCTGCTCTCCTCTGTGACTGGTGTACCAGTCATGTCCTCATCTACAAAGCTCATCCTTCATGTCTTCAATCGTAACAGCTACATTCCTGAACTGCTGGATCCCTTCAGTCCTCCATCGGTCACAGCAACACTCCGAAACCTGAGGTCTGTATAATTTGCTTCCTCACTTGTTTACCCTTTTGTGAATTTCAATTTTGAAAAGGTCACTTACCACTTCCACTTTTGCATGTTTCATTTTTTTAAAAATTCTACATCATGCATCCATGTATTCAGCCACATGTTTCCTTTTCTTCTGGTTTAGAATGCCACCTGACCAGAGTAAGCTGTGTCGTTATGGGGCATCATTCAGGGCTGGGACCAGTCCTGTCTCCCGCTACTTTGCTGGTGTGGGCTCAGTGGCAGGGGCCACAGATATCGTGGCATTCCAGGAGGTAATAAGCTTACAGTGCTTCAGTGGATTAGTCAACCATTGGGAAGCTGAATTAATTGTAGGCTGTGAACTATTCACCACCTAGTTCTGGTACACATTTATACTTCTGGTAGGTGGAGAGATGGAAGTATGGGTAAAGTGGCTTGCTCAAAGACATGTGGCTGGCAGCTGGATTCTCTATTGTCCAACCCACTCATTATGAGTAGCAAATCCTAACCTGTAACACTCATGCTTCAGATTTGATCCTACACCCAAGTTGATTGTAAAAATGCACAAGCAAATTTACCTGAGCTGGATATGAGCTTGTGACTTCTAGAACACCTTACTTGTGCTCCAATTGAGCTCCAGCTCTACTGTCAGTAGTTCTTCCCATTTATCAATATCTCTGTTCACAATTCAGAAACCCAAATTGCAATGTAGCTGATATCTCTGTTGCTTGTTTGTCTGTTTACAGTTTGGAAGGCCATGTGTCCCTTGCATCAGTCCCTGTGATCGTTACCAGTGCGACCCCTCATGTTCCATGGATGCTGTGGCCATCACGTTCACACTCACTGACCTTCATCTGCCCAGGCTGGAGCTCCTGAATGGAACCAGTGTTGATAATGACACAAATGCAACAATGCCAGCCCCCAGACAAGATGGGTTACAGTATCCATTTTTCTTGACAGGTGAGCTTTTCTGTACATAGAAGCCAAAGAAATAACTATCTTTTGTTTACAGGAAATGTATAATACTGATTAATCGATTGCCAGTGTTAGATGGATGGACATACTTTTTTAAGCAGTTTTTAAGTCAAAAAGAAAGTCAGTTGTGTATTTTTGTTGAAAAACCATACTCATATACATGTATATCGAATTCACTAGTTTTTGTGTGTCTTCTAGTGTTGTATGCATTAGCCCCCGCTAAACTTCATGCATGTTATTGCAAAGCTGGCTTAGATGATAACGTAATTTTTAATTTCAAAGAATTGATTACATATTCACTGAAGACAAATGTTGAGTAGTCTGCTAGTATCCAGATTATCAATACTTCAGTGATAAATCAAATGTGTCACTTGGTACCAATCAACATCTCCAATGTAAGAGAAATATCCAATGAATTTTGAACTTTAAATTATTAGTGTTTTAAAGATTGATTGTCAACACAAACTTGACGCACCTCACTGTTTACTCCACAGTCAAAACATACTTGGGAAATGGTAAAACTGCAGTGGCTTCTTCTAACGGTTTCTACATTGATGACACTCCAGCTCAGCTTGATGTGTTCTTCTACACTGACCCCAACTTCAATGAGTTTGAGCCGACAACTTTCCAGTCCTCAGGTTCTACAATTAAAGTCTTGTGGAGTTTCGTAGATTTGGAGAGTGACATTAAGGTAGAATTTGCATTGTCGGACAAATTTGCTATATAAAAGTGGGACTTGCAAAGCAGGGCAGGTCTTGGCTTAGATGAAAGGCGGGATGGGTTAACTGTGAAGAGAGGGTTAGATACAGGTATCGTTTCTCTGTTTCCTAAATGTATTTTGGGCAATTCACAAGGGGGTATAATTCCCTGACACCTCCCTCCCAGCCAGTATCCCCAGCATGAGGTTTGGATGGTGAAGAATCAGTACGTCACAAAGATAAAGAGCACCGTGTATGGATATGTGGTGACCTTAGCAGTGTAACAAAGGGTGCGCACAGCCCCACTCACCAGAAATTAGAGAAGGTGCTCCCCTCCTGTAATTGAGGACCCCCTAAGTCCCCCCACCCAAAAAGGTACTCAATTTCTGCAGATTCTGTGGATCTACAGAAGGCTTTCAATTATGAGCCACCAGTTGTTTGACATTTGGTGCTGATTAGTTTTTTCTGAGCACATCTTTCTGCAGAGTTGTGATGAAGGTGTAGACAATGATAGGAAGACTGTACTTTCCAGCACCAGCAAACCGTTTTTCTTTCAGGAGCATTATTGGGCCATCGGAACCTCTAGAGGTGCCACAGACCTGCAAGACTTTGTCAACGTTGGGTTGAACCAGACGGCTATCAGTAAGAATCTGACAGGGGTATTGCAGCACAACACAACATACTACGTAACCCTGAAGGCTGTCAATGGAGCAGGCTTGGAAGCTGTAGTGGAATGCGATGGTAGGTAAAATATCAACAGTTGGATATGCAGACAAACAGACAGCAGTCATGTGGTGTGATTAGATTACTGCTCTGAACTCTGAAGACTATTGTAATCAACAATTTGTATAGTGTCTTGTTCAGCTGGCACTCCATTATTTAACCACCTGTGAAGGGCTTTCAGTGGAGGGCTTCCAGCGGAGCTGACCTGGTTCTTTTATTGCTTACGATAGCGCAATGAATTAGTATCTCTTTTTGGGTTTTCGTTAGGTCACATAGGAAGGCGTTGGTAAGTTCTAAGGTGGGGTAAACTGGTTACAGTGTATTACATTTTGTTTCATGATGTGTTTTTCTGTGCTGAGAATCAGCAGTTGTTTGGATAGCAGTGCATTGAGTTTTCAGCAGAGTTCTTTCGGAAAAACAGCAAAACAGATAAAAGTTGGTTTTGGAGTTGGAAATCCTGTGTATGTGTGCCCTTTCTAGCTTTTTGCTTGTTTTGGAGGATAAGAGCCCAATAAGCTCACACAACACTATCAGGAGAGCAGTCTTGGAAAAACAAGAACAGAATGTGATGGTATATTATATATAACGGGTAGAGTAACTTGCAAACAAACAGTTTCGCACTAATAAGACAGAATATATGCAGGCCTGTGACTGCTGATAAACACGAATTGGACAGGAAACTAAGAAATAATTCACAAGACTCTAAATAATGAAAAGTCGCTTTTGGATATCCCAGGCATAACTGTCCTTCTGGAAGAACCCACTGCGGAAGGAGTTAACACCACCTCCATGTTTAGCGAGAAGTTTGAGGAAGAAATTTTCCCACCAGACGTGGAGAAAAGTAGTGACCCCTCGAAGACTGGGACCTCCTGGTCAGAGTCCAGTGACAAATCAGTTGCTCGCTACGGTAAGATTGTCAGACTATGTGCACAGATTAATGTGACTTCTTTCGAAATTCATTATTAAAATAAAACCACTCCCCATCAGTGTGTTACCTAGGTTACCAACAGTGGGTCTCCCCTCTTCATTCCTTTGCATTTAGTTGCATGTTACCACCTGTTACCACCTGTTACCACATGTTACCTCCACGTGACCTCCCATTCGGCCTTGCCTTTTGTATCTGAAGTTGTCCTTCATATGTTATCTCATGTGACTTCCTTTGAAAAAAATTACCTTGGGAGCTTTCTTTTCATCAGTGCGGTAGTCTCTGTAAGCATTGTTCAGATTACCATCTGAATCCATCTTCATCTGGATAGTTGACTCCAGATGCCTCCATCTCATCAGAAATGATTTAAAAGCCTTAATTCAACAGGACAAGCAAGGCCAGACATCTTTTATATGTTATGGAAGTGCCATTCCCCACATTAGGGCAGTCAAGTGCTGTTTAATATGTGCATTTAATTATCCTATCCGATGAAGTGTATTCTGAAGACGCTTCCAAACCTTGAAGGCTCTGTAATTATTCTGTTATCATCAGTTTACTTCAGAGTATAACCTTTTCGTTGAGCAATTTTCACAAGCATTGGACTTCCCAGTCCTTGTCAGAGAGATTCTTGTTATCCTGGGTTTAGTTACCCTTGCATTGTATCTCCTCTTTTCCATGCATCTGATTATCTTTGCTTGGTGTCTGCTAATTCATATACTTCCACCAGAGTACTGTGTGAGCAGTTCAGCAGAGCTCCTCGAAGACATTGTTCCCTGCATGGTCGTTGGAGGCAACTCGTCTGGCTCAGTTGCCATTGAGGATGGTGTGATCATTGTCCGAGCCGGTGACCGGGAGGAGAGGTACAGCCTCACTGACTTCCAGATCCCAAAAGACTCAACCAACATAACGGACACTCCACCTAAGTTCAACATGGAACCTGGCAAGTAAGTGTGCCACAGTGTGTGTATTCTGATGTCTCCAATTTGAAGACATATTGTGTAAAATGGACAGTTTTTCAAATTTTGAATTAGGTATTGGATATGTGCCATACATTGGCAGATGATGCCGATGGGCCACAACTCCGCCACAAAGGAGCACTATTGTTTCAAGAATAATGTGAGAAAGGTGGGTGTGGACCATGCCACCCTTCCTTCCAAGAGGAAGTAAAGAGTACCAAGACTTAGCCTTACCCCGTCAGAAAGCTCACAATAGGTTACATGAAGAAATTTCACATTTTTTCTAATTTAGGCCCCTTCATACAAATTTATCCTTGATCTTTTTTCCTGCATGTTCAGGACTCTTCACACTTGGATGAGGGTGTGCAATGCGGCTAAACGCTGTGTGACCAAATCTGCAGGAACAACCACTATACTCGGTCAGTATGTAATTGAAAAGGGGTATACTTAACAATTGTTGACTGCTGTGATGTAGGATTTATGATGTTTTGAATACCTGAGGGACGCATAGTGCCCCAAGGTTTTAAAAATAGTTAGAGAGGGACAAATAATGTAATGCACCACCCTGCTTTGTGTAATGTACCCAATAGAGGATAGTGACATGATGATGACATCCACTGACGGTACAGACCTTGTCCTGGCATCACCAACTATCCAGAGGCGGAGGAAGAGGGCAGTAGATAACCACTTTGATTTCACTCTGGCTACAACAGGTGGTAGGTTCAAGGAGAAATCAGTTTACATTACCAGTACATAGAAGAGTGCTTTGTGATAATTTATTACACAGCCACCATTGCGCCTCAACTGAAAGTTTTAAAGAGCGAGTCTTTGGATTGTTTTGCCAGTCCACTTCTCCAGTAGTGTATAATAAACTTTATATGTGACCCACCATCCCCAAACGAGGCTGAAGTCGGTATTTATGATGTTGGGCAATTCCTCTCCTTCATCTTTTTTTTACACTTTAAAGTGAAATTTCTGTTTGCAGTGAGCTTCTTACGGGTAGTGATAGCTGTAAAACTCCCGTGAAAATCCAAAGAGTGGAAGTTCCATTTTATGGTTATGAAGTTAAGTACTTCAGCCCGGTTTGGGGATGATGGGTCACATATTCAGAAATTCTTGTAGTGCTGTGTACTTCAAACCACAAGGTAACCTTGGGGGATTGTGCAAGCATAGATCCAACGTGGTACAATTTACTCCAACCAACATCACAAACATCCACAAATAAATCTTCCTTGGTATCTACTCACTTGAAACTGTTTTGTTGAATTTAAACTGTTCGTTGAATTTAAACTGGCCTGCCAGCCTGCATATCCTCACCAGAATACTGAATGGTCCACTAGTACTCAACGCCAATCTTGTACTCATGTGTATCACAGGTCTCCACCAGGGCGGCTCACTCCTCGTAGGCTTGCTAGATGTGAACCGAACCAACCAAGAGTTCACGTCTGATGCCTCCCTTGATTATAAACCTTACATCACCGATCCTCTGAACACTATCCCATACACATCAAGACTGCTCAGGCAACGGTGAGTCTGCAGAAGCACATTTTAACATACCAGGGGCGAATCCAGGAATATTTGGGGGGGGGCAGGCCATTTAGATTTTAGTATAGTATGTGGACACAGAATTTATGCATTACATCGTTACTGATGCCCTAACCTTTATATATGTAGTAGGATTGTGTTTCTTTTATTGTAATTATTATTTAATTGCACTGTTCTTTTTTTTTATTTTTGGTGTCTGATGAGGGGGGTTGACCCTCACATCCTCTAGATCTGAGCCTGCATGCAAATGGATTTAGTTAGATGTTGTGTGCAGCAAAATACAAACAATTTTCACTATTTTAACAGAGGTACAAGCACATTAGTGTAGCAGAAAAACAAGCATTTATGTCACCTGGGCTGTTCCTCTTATTTGAAATTATGTCCCACAGGGTGCAATTGTACAGCTGCTCATTGTGAAATACAGTAACATGGTTCTTTCAAAGCTAAATTGATGGGTGATCCAATGCCTTTAATCGACACAAGTAAAGTGATTAATTCACAGAAATTAGTTTAGATGGCCATTTGTTCTTTACAATATGCTTTACTCTGATGAGTGCATTCAAGGGGCAGGCATATCTGCATATCTTTAATTAATGTGGATGCAGAATGTACTGATGAGATGGTGATTCTGGATGCAGTTAAGAAACTAAGTAAACTTTGCTTTTTACAAATGTTATTGAGCAATAAGCCACTTGCGAGTTAAATTTGAATAAAACTTTGTACACTTTGTTATCTGATTGCACAGAAACGTAACAATTTGAATTTCTCAGACCAAAGACACTGTTGCTATACCTCGTGATTCAGGGCAAGCTTTTGCAAAGTGACCACCATCTCTGGAATGGACTGGTTCCTGTGTGCCATTCTTCTCCATTGAGAAGAGTGTATTGTTGCAAGACTTCTCTTATGTAACTAAGCAAAAGGTTGCTCTGAATCACAAGGTATAGCAACAGTGGTTTTAGTATGGAGAATTCAAGTTATGTTCATGTAAAAAAACTCATCAGTACACCAGAGTTTATTCAAATTTTAACTCGCAAATGGCTTATTCTGGCAAAAACCCCAAAAGTGAAAAACTTTGCAAAGTAATAACAAATTTATTTGATTGGCCGTGTTCTTTTAATTAAATGTGTCTTGTGCATGAGTAATTTGTTGTTTGAGATATTTTCATTATAAATGTGTGTATTCAAGAAGTTTGTTATCATATATTGTACTTTGTCCGTTCTCAAGCAGTACAGCTGGCCATTTTTGGAAATCAAGGATAATAACTTTAACATTCTATGCTGTGTATAGGATACGTTTTGTGTATGAGCCAACATTCTATGTCACCAGTCTTGGGCAGACAGAACTGCGGGGACCAATGGTGGTCAGCCTTACTCTAAGCGCACCGGGGAGCTGGACCGATGCAAAACCTCGGCTTATCTACTGGAATGTTGGTAAGGAAATAGCAACTGGACAATTACCGTAGTCTTCCTGTTCTGTTGCAAGTCCCTAGTATGGTGCTGATGTACCTGTCACGGCACATCCTACAGCACCATGTTCTTTGTTACCCCCATTCCTAGATAACAGCATTATCCCAAATCATGCCTCTAGTGAAATGTTGCCAGGATGAAATGGTTTCTGCATAATAAATCTTGAGTTAAGGATGCAAAGAAGTACGGTGACATAAAAAAAAAAAACCAGTTTTTAACCCTAGCCCCCTAGGGTGTATGTAAAATCATATTGAAATTGGAGGATTTGGGACTATTAGGGTTAAAAAATGCATTTTTTAAAGAGAATCCACTCTAGGACACTCTGGTCTCCAAATGACATACATGTACCAGTCTTAAGAAGCACACAAGCACTGTAAGAAAACTTTCCATTGAATCAAAGTTTTTCTTTGCTCTATTAAGAGATCTAAATATTATTTGTGTATTATATTTCTTTTGATATTATAGCTTACTGTAGTATAATGATATTTTCTTGATGTACATTATTTTGTTAAGGCTTTCCCCAAGCAGCTTTTCCTTTTCTTGTACTTGCGTTTAATCTTAACTTTTACATTACTAAATGAAAAGATTGATCATAGATGGCATTTTGTGAAACTAAATATCCCTTGAATTGAATGTGAACAAATTTGATTAAAACTCAATTGAAGCATGAAGTCTTTCACAGCTCTCTGTCTATCCCTCATTTCTCTGCATCTAGATCAGTCTGAGTGGCAAGATGCCGCCAAGACATGCAGTGAAGTAGATAAGATTACTTATAACGATGATGCAAATCAGGTCAACGTGGAGGTTTGTGTACCAGTCTTTCTTCTCAGTTGTAATGCTAGAAACATAAGTGTTCCATACCGAAATGGATTGCACATGTAAAAACAATCAAATCTGGTTTAAAATTTGAGATAGAAAGAGGGACTTGTTAGCATAGCCTTTGTGAACATGGTTAGCTCTCTACAATCAGGTGGCTAGGCACATGGCATATCCAAGTTTTGAGTCGGGGGGGGGGCAAAATGGAAATTTTTCTAAATGATTTTCACATTTCTTTTTTATCTTTAAAAAAGGAATTCCCCATCCTGAAGGTATTTGCATTGTTTGTAAAGTATCAATTATTTCAAGGAAAGTAGCAGTCTGACAAATGTGCAAACTCTTACAAGTGTGATACATTGAGCACATAATATCAAGTACAACTTAGGATTGCATTGAAAAGTGAACAGGACTTTGAAATGTCATTAACTTTTTGATGATGAAAGCAAGGTGTATGAAGCACAAGAATTAAACTTTGGTAAACACTTCACTTCCTTTATAGTAGAGTACTTCCTCGTCTTTTTGACTATAAGTGACTTGTACTTTTAATAGGTTTGTTCTACGAGGTCTTCAGCCTCACCACCCTCAGAGGGGAGTCGCAGGAGGCGCGCCACGGACTACGTGACCTTCTTCAGTCGGGAGACCCAGTTTGCCCTGGTCCAGGTCACCAGCACCATCCCAAACAACGCACCAGAGATCACAAACCTGCCCGACAACTTCTTCATGAATGAAGATGAAGGTTTGTATAATATGCACCAGTTCTTGCTAGGGTGTATTCTATGCCCTGGAGACACAATCAAAGTCAGTTTTCAAAAATGTAATATGCTCAGCCTATACTAAAGATGACAGGTGTTTCAAGTTTGCTGGTATGATCAAATTTTATTATTCTTTGGTTTGGCACAAAACAAAGTTTGGAATTGAAATGGAGTCTGAACGTATCTGGAAGATTGGCCTCATAGACAATGTGACTTTCACGGTTACAAGTTTTTCTTTGTATAAGACACAGGTTTTTGCATAACATACTAAGCCCCCTTGTCATTTATCTTTCTGTGGTTCTTTGCAGGTACTTTGGTTTACACTCTCCAGGCCAGCGACCCTGAAGATGATATCTTAATCTTTGAGCTGGTACCAAATGGAGACATGAGAGGAGAAGCAAATATCACCCAGGAGGGTGTTCTGAGCTTCACGCCATGCCTTGACTGCCAGGGAACCTTCACTCTGCAAGTCACTGGTTAGTCTTCCAGAGCAATTGCCTCGCTTGCTGTGTTTGTGTGTGGGCTCGTATGGCTGGCAATCGATCCCAATCTCATTTTCATGTATTGCCTCTAATGAATCTTTCCAAAGAATTGCCAGGTTTTAACCTTAAAAGAACAGGTTTTTTTGGGGGGGGCATCTCATACTTGGGGGAGGACAGAACCTGCCTTCAAACAAATCAGCTGTACCATGCCCAATGTTTTGTATTAACCTTGACATGCATATAAAGACACTCATTATTATAATATGAAGTTTCAACTTAATTTACCTTTATGGTTTTGTTTTTACAGTCATTTGAAGTCTGTGGGCTCATGTATATTTACTCACATTTATCAAGGTCTTGATTGAAATCCTTTGGGGAGGAGTAACGAAATTAGTGATTGACTACACATAACAGATTAAAGATAAATTTAAGTTTGATAGTTCTGCTTGATCTTTATGCACTCAGCGCACGTGCCCCCCCCCCCCCTTGGTGTTGGCAATGAGAAGAATGTAGTCAATGCTTGAATGTCTAGCCACCCTGGATACGGTTCTCTCATAAAGACTCTCTGAGCTTGTGTACGTTCAGGTGAAAAGTTGCTCTTTTATGAGTGTCACATGCGCATAAAGGAGTGCGAATATGAGCTCCATCTTGTGAGTGAACAGCATCAGTAACTGTTCAGCATGGAATCCACACTGTTTTCATAAAACTGCTTTCCTTCATTTTTGATGTAGAAGCTCATGTTTTTGTATACCCCAAAGTTGTCAACATTTCTTCATTCTTTCCCTCAGTGAGAGAGGTACAGTCGTTGCTTGAGATAACGCCACTGTCTACTACTGTTGCCATTTCTATCAATGTCCAACCAGTCAACGATAACCCTGTGTTGTACATCGCCCAGGATGGGAACTCTGTTGGAAATGGCAGAATGGCATTGGTAAGCCAAACTGTCCTAACCATAACCAGAACCTTGACCACTAAAATAACCTGACACTAGACTTGCCATGTCATCATTACGCTAGAAGTCAATTTTTTTTGCTTGGAAATGATCAGTCTTATACATCTTTGCTGATTGCAATACTGCATTAGATATATCAAAGGTTTCCCTTATCTTCTCCGGCAGCTCACTGTGGAGCAGAACACAGGATTCAACGTCGCCTACAAGGACCTCAGCTTTCAGCTCGGAGCCTTTGACCCAGACATCAGTGACAACCTGACCATAGTGACCCAGCTTCCATCGTACGGCACCCTCAGGCTTGCAAGGGAATCGAAGGCAGTGCCAACTCAACAGAACTGCCACCAGTCCTCTGGTGCGGATGACAAAGTACCAGCCATCCCCTGTGGACTCGATATACCACATGAAGTGGTAAGTGGGGTTGTAATTGAAGATGTCATATTCTAGGGTTCTGTCAAATTCAAGCCTCATTTCATAGGAGCATCTGAGCACTGAGTTGTGGAGAGCAAAGAATAGATTTGTGTTGCACCAAGATGTGGTTACCTATCTGTCTCAAACAGAAGCACCCCTTCATCGGTTTGAAAAGAGCCGCGTTGGTCGGGAGTATTCATTTTGTTGGTAGCAATGCAACTGTAACGCTTGCATTTCCTAGTCGTTCGTGAACATGCCATGTGCAGTGAGTACCAAAGGAGCCACATTGCTATGGAAACAGCACCCTCTCTTAGTCCAGCTCGAGGCCATTACAAACTCCAAAGTAGTCTTTTTGTTTTTTCAATGTTTGGATTTTACCCCTCACTGAGGTAACATAAAATGAGAATTGCACACGCATGCCTTGGCTAAGCTCATACTCTGCTGTACGTATCAAAATTAAACCGGTGATTAGTCATGGAGTGGTTTAGACATGAGTGTCACCCGAGTATGCTCATTAACTTTGCCATGCTGGTTCTTTACACAGCTTGTGAACAGTTAAAAGTGAACATAACTTATTGTGGCAGTGCAAATGTGAAGAGCAAAAGTTTTTCCAGGACAAAATTCCATCACAAGTCTGATTTTTGTAAAATTTAATTTGGACTCTTGCACATTTTGGGCTAAACCCTAACTTCTCCAATGTGACATTTTTCCATTCAGGAGGACATGAGTTGGACAACATCCACATTCACCTATACTCCAAATTCCAACTACCATGGCAGGGATAGCTTCCGGGTCCTTGTTGAGGACCGATCACAGGCTGTGTCTCAGCTACTGGAGGTACAGATTGCAGTGCTGGTCAACCCGTGCATCAACGAGGGCATCTGCAGAGGTGAGCTATACTGTTTGTACCCATCGAATAAATTCCCAACTGGGGCATTATAATCCAGCTCTAGATATGAGCTGGAATGTGTCAGCAGGAAGCAAATTTCAGCAATAAACTTTCAAGCCACCATTCATATTGCTCCAAATTTAGGTTTTCTCTTGCAGATTCGTACCCCATTGTCATGTCTGTGATGTGGTTTTTACATTCCACAGTGGGATTTTGGAGGATAGATTGAGAAGCCATGAGCGATTTATGACACTCAGATCCCTTCAATGCAGCAGGTCTGTACTGAATGTACAATCACATCATGCCGGTCCCCCGTATACATGGCCAAGGATTAAAAGCATCCAGTGGACAAAACTATTACCTATTTAAGACAAAGAGGGCAGTATATCCACTATCTTGGAAACAGTTTTTTCATGATTTGAAAGGGAAGGAACTCATCACTACCCGTAAACCTAATGATTTTTTCTGTAGTTTATCTACAGGAGTTAGTTTCCCCAAATGATATTTCAAACTGTGGACAGAATTGAACAGTTTCCTTCTTCCCACACTACAGGCCCTGCTGAAGACCCAGACTGCACCTCTCCTGAAAGGAGCAATGGGTTCGATTCCTACTCCTGCATTTGTGAGCCCGGATGGGTTGGTGAGATCTGCCAGACCGATTTGGATGAATGCCAGTCCATACCGTGTGAATACCCATATGTCTGCTATGACCGCCTCGACGGATACGACTGTGCCTGCCCGTTAACTGACCCGGTGTGTGATGACCTGCACTGGAGGTGGGTATTCAATAATGCCTGTAATAGCAAGTTGTGTTTAACTCTAGAAAAGCCGGTCTTTTTTCAGACCAATTCACAGCCGGGGCAGAATCTGACCCCTAGTTTTCATCAGCTTTCCCATGCCCAACCTTTGTGAAACTTGGCGTGTGTACAGGTACCTCTGGTCTGTGAAGTTCGAATTTAATCCGGTGAACGGTTTTCTTGTTATAGTCACTTAAATTTATGGCCACGCTTGCATCAGACCACATGCACTGCGCACTTTAATCAAGAAAGTTATCATTTTTGGCTGGCGTCAAGGGCAGATCCATACCAAATTTTCAGGAGGGACTATCCCTGTTTCTTGAGCCAAATGTTTGAAATTTTTGGATGTAATCTTCTATTGCATTTCTGAGGGGTGAGGCTACATTCAGAGTTTTATTTACATATTTGTGGAGGGAACAATGAAATAGAGTAAAAATATCACCTTTCTCTTTTTAAACTTTTGTTGGCTCCCTTTGTGGGGAGCATGGTCATCATAGTGTCCCCCGATCCACTGACTTGCCCACCACATGACCAACCACAGAGGCCCGACCAAGAGCCCTCTGAAAGGGTCAATATAATGGGTTTGAGCAGAGAATGAAAGGCTAGGCAAATGCTGCTATGGAGCTGTTACCTAGTACAAGACCGTAATGTACAGTACCTCACTTGCTCCCTTGAGCAAGCTCCAGTACACAGAGCACCATGTATTTCTACTGGGATCGGTTGCACAGCACATTTAAAATGTTAAAACAACTCTTTTAAAGCTCTCCAAGAACTCATGAACAATCATAGATGTGCAGTAAATCTACACAATGTTGAATTTTCCCTTTTTAAGCTGCATTAACTATTTTTGAAAATCTTAAACCTGGGGTTTCGTAGTTTAGACCTAAGGGATTTTGTTGAAGTCATATTTCAATCACTGTACGGTCTTCAAGGTATCTAAATTTAGACCGGTATAGTTGTTGTAGATCGAAAGTTGTGACCCAAACAGTTGAGAATACTTAATTAGAATTTATAATTGTGTACAGATTCATAGGTGCATGAGTGCACAAGCAATATGTAAAATGAATATTTAAATGTACTTGAGGACTACATAAACAAGATGTTTCCTGGGCAGGTGCAGCTATGCTGCACGTGACTATGCACACTAAGGAAGAATGGAAAATAATATTTAGTGTGGATTTGATCTAAAAAATAAGTTATTAGACGTGTTATGGAAAAAGAATGTTTTGAGGAAGTTGGAGAATGGACGGGGAAAAGTAAGCATTGAAAGGAAAATGAGTGTATAATGCACAACAGAAGTGAAGGAATTAAAAACGCTGATTATGCCTTATCTGCAACTCATAAGACAGTGTAGTTGTCAACTTGTGTTATCTTGTACTGTCTGCGATCCAGTGTTTTAATATTCTCCTCACCTACACACAGAGACTTAAAGTCGTTCCTCTACAACAAATTTGACACGCTGCTGTATTTTCATAACTTTATGGACCTGTGGCCCTACATTGTGTTGTACACGTATATCAGAAGTCCTAGTTGTTAAGGTTTTAAGAAGTATTTTTGAATTCTTCTGCAGAGTGAAGGTAGTCCTTGGCGTGGTTTGCAGTTTGTTGATTCTGTTCGTTATTGCTGCTGTTGTCTTCTTTGTGTATAAGAAGCGATATATCAAATCGTAAGTAAACAAATAAATGCTTTAAACCAGTTGTTAGCTAATTTTGTCTCTCCAAGTCATCCAACCAAGATAAAAGAATCATAATTTCATTTTACCTCCAAACTTCCATTTACCAGCAAACTTTGGATTCACAAAGGCTTGAGACTCTTCAAATGAAAGCCTATCTCAATTTTCTCAAACCAGAGAAGTTTTTGCAACTTCACAGTAGTATTTTCAGGTTGTATGTACATGTGCATTTCACGTAAAGATTTGATATGGGCAATTACATCCAGGTTGACTTCACTAGCTCCTAGTTTGGGCGTCTTTAGAAAATCTGAGAGAGCATGCCACTTGAAATTCCAAATATGATTGTGTTTACCATTTGGTATGCAGATGGAGCGTATCACCTGAACCTGATGACGATGGACTCCCAGCAATTTCCCATGAAATCAAGGAAAACAGTACCTCCACTGCAGCTGCTGATATGTCCATGTTTGTAGTCAGCACTGGCGAATGCAAACATGTCGGCAGTGATGGCGACAACCAGGCTGGCACCAGCAATGTGGGTGATGCTTCTTCTGAGAGGCCCAAGTCAACAGCATCGGTTCATTCCAGTGGTTCTGGCAGCTCTGCAAGTTCCAGCGGCTCTTCCAAGAGGTCAGGCAAGAAGTCCAAGAGGCCCCTGTCTGGCCTTGGCCGCTCCAATGCCATTGGAGATTCTTCCCTCATAGTGGCCAAGGATAGTGAGGGTCATGATCCAGGGAGGTCCACTTCAGTGGACCCCAGTCCCTCAGTGAGCCCCACTGTAGCTGATAAATGGGCAGAGCCAACCTTGCACACTCAGAGCTCAGGAAGTCTGAAGAATGATGCCAATCAGAGTGGAGAATCTCCAGATGCCAAACCTACGGAGTTTCAGCAGGAAACTTCCCTGGGGTCTGACACCGAGCCCCCTGATCCTCAGCTTGTCCCTTCAGTATGGGTGGAGCCCCCCAAGAGCACTTCGAGCCTGAAGAAGAAAACTGGGGCCAGTAAAGGAGAGGAGATGCTGCTGTTTGAAAAGAGGATTCCACGCTCTGACAATCAGGATGATTCCGACCAAAACCAGGTTGATGTTACCACTATTTGGCAAATATAATATAATAATAATACTTTATGTTTAGGATTCCCCTCGAGGATTTCCTTGAATAAAATGGCATCCTAATGTACGAAAAAGAACATACTATGTGAATAAATATATATCTTGACAGCTTCTCTCCTCTGCAGCACCGTGATGAAATGCATTTTCAAGTTCAATCTACATGACATCTTTGAAGTTTGAAAGCCCATTTTGGGTGCAAGGCACCACTGTTCTTCAAGAACAAGTACTTCTGCTGTAGAAATCGTGAAAGAGGAACCCCCTGACGAGCCGAGCCTGAACAAGTGTACAACAAAATCACCAAAATCAATAGTTTATGCATTATTTTCTTTTCTCCACAGCCTGCTGGAAGCCGTGAGAGCTTCAAGGATTTCAGAGACACGGACCTACTAATGGATATCGACGAATCGCACGTGTAATGTCAGAGGCCACCGAACCAATGTTTGCCTTTGCTCCCTCTCCACATCTGGTCAAAAACACGACAAAAACTTCCCCAATCAAAACAAATAAATCAATCACAGATGGCAAAATTTCACAGATTTCAAGATTGTTAATCCCCCTTAAAATGTCCCAAACGTCGCCAATTTGGAGTATGGTTAAATAAGTCCTTTTCATCTAATATTCCCTTTAAGAGGATAAAATCTAAATCACAGGATCACCGGACAACTTGATGAGTTAATATCCTACAAATTCTCCACATATTAGCAAGAACACATGCTGTGTGCAGACTGCGAAAATAAAAACCGTTCGATTTTCCAGCACCCGTTCAATCAGAATTTGTGCAAGTCTTTTAATTTTGCCAAACATCATAAAATGTGTAAAGAGGCACATCTACTAAACGTCTTGTTCGCCCAGGCCCAGGGGAGAAATAAGTCAAAGGATTAAGGACCTAGGAAATGATTTTGATAGCATTTTTTAGTTTATTCTATGTACTCATATTCTGTTAAGTAGCAACTGGTAATTTAGTTCCACAATCTTCAGTAATATCACAAAATAATTGTGATCGAGACTAGAGTGTTGGTTGTTACACCTCGAAACGTTTGCCTCAAAATATCTGCCCTCTTTCACAGATAAGATGGCTTAAATGTTATCACTGACAGATACAACACATCATTCAATGTTTTGTGGAAACAATTTGGAACACTAGATTACAAGACATTATACCACCTAATCCTGGATACAGCAATAATACAGATTCTTTACAAGAGTTGAAAAAAATTAATTAAAATATTTGAGCCGCTGTAGCAATGAATAATATATCAGCACAACATAGAAGAATTATTTGGATATTTAAACAAGGACCAACAAATTACACTTTATTACTCATTGTTACACTACAAGCTTAGTACGAATTAGAGTAAAAATTCAGTTTTCCTTTTACATTTGGCCAATTAAGTAATTAATCTAGTTCATTACACCTGTTCAAGCTGAACTGAAATGTGTTTGTTAGTAACTATATAAACCCAGATTGGATTTCTTAAAATATATCATTAATCAGCAGTAAATGTTACCCTATACATTTTGAAACCTAGAATACATTTGGCAAATCAGCCAGCTAACAAACCATTCATGTGACCAAAAGTTGAATTGAAATATACATTTGGTTAATATCTTATACTCGAAATTAGCACTGTATCCTACAAACAGAATAAGATTCAGATCTCATATACTGTAGCTACTGTAGTTAATAAACTGTTGTCGTGAGCAACAGCATATCCATGAATTGTGTTCTGTACTTAATTGAAGCCAAGTTTAAACAATCCGAGATGCCTACATTAGGCCTGTGCCGGGTACCCGGGTACCCGCCCGTCGATTTCAAAACCC